TTGCGTAGCGGACGCCCGAATGGGACGGACGAGGCGCGTACGTACACCGTAGCGCGCGTAGGGTGCCCAAAGGAGGAAGCACCCAGGAGGCGGGCAATGCATGGGGAAGCCCAAAGGGGAAGGTAAACGGGAGGCGCGCACCACCTACGGGATTCCCGAAGGGGAAGGCGCAAGGGGGCGCAAGGGGAGCTCGTCTGGCGCGGAGGTGCTCAATATGGCAGGTGGAGGCGCGTGGGGGAGGCCGGAAAGGGATGGTGCTATGCTAGCACGTGCGGAAGGCGCGTAGGCGTGGCTTAGGAGAGGTGCATCTCTGGATGGATCCAGAGGCCATCTCTGGATTCATCCAGAGCCCGGACTCTAATAAGAGATCCGGATGGATACCACTTGGACTCTAACTAGAGATATGGGATTAATCAATATGACAGCCTGGCCTGGCTGTTACTAACTCATGTTACCGTCGTTGGCCTGCTGTTAGGCCTCTATGTGAAGACTTCGGCGAGTACTGAGGAGTCGCTTGTATTCTACAGCTGCCAGACGAATACGTGAGCTCTCCGTGCTGATATGGAGTACATATTCTGACAGATCCTTTCCCGTTCATCATAGTAAGTACACGGAGGTTTGCGTATATCTTGAAGATGATGGTGCTTGCACCATCAACAATTTCGCAAGGGAACACTCGTGCAATGCGATGTGCCGCTCATTGAACTTATCCCCCCTTCTTGTTGACATTGACATACCCCCGTCGCTCTTTGACGACTAACCTAGACTTCCTTAACATTGCCCCGAGCACAGTATACCCGCTTGTTCATACAGCACTTACTTTATATTCCCACACACGTTGCCTAATCCCGCATACGTTCTACGCTAATAGCATTCCACTCGTTCTACGTAGCCAAGTCATGGAAACCGTTCCCCCAACATCTCTAATTCTATAGTACGCCAAAAATCGAATCTAATGGATATACTTCGTATCAGCGAGCGCTATAACCCGACAACAGGACTTCAATAGGTATTCTCCAAGGGTTATGTCCTCGTCTCTCTAGTTGCCCCACTATGAACCGATTGCGACGCTTGATCATCTCATCGAGAAAAAAGGTATACCGAGTAGCTTCCATCTCCCGGACAATCGACAGATACCCACCAAACCATGCATTCGTCTCCTCGCAGATAGACGAATTGACCTGCCACTTGTCACCGTCGACGAGGTCTGGAAAAGCGGCAGGGTTGCAGTACTGTTGACATTCGGTGTCTGACTCTCGATGCTTCGTCTTGAAATGGAATACGTCGACAGGAAGGCCAGTGTTGGAAAAATACGAGTCCCCCGATGCGTTCAAGTGCTGGCGCAATTTGCAGTTGTTGTCGTAAATGAAGATCTCGGGAGTGGATTGCGGTGTGGGGAACACCGCTTTCAGATGGTCCTGTGGAATGTTCAGCATATAAGCATTGCATAGCAATGGTACGCAGTTCCGGTGGTACCTTGACCGCATTGACCGCTTCAGAGCCAAAGAATGTCGCTCGCGAAAGGATTATACCGCAAGGACGTTCGACGAGCTGCTCGTTGTGTGTGCGTTTTCGTCCGAATCGAGCCTTGAGAGCGAGCGTCCCTCCCTCCGCTTTGCCGCTGCATGCAGGCTCTGCAGTATGTGCTGAAACCGGAATGACATTGACCTTATAATATTGCCCAGCGTTAACGAAACTCAGAGAGACATAGAGGGAGCGACGCACCAATTCCAAATCCAGACTGCTATCGTTGCTCCCCTGTTGTTTGACGACGAGAACTTCATCGTCAATGTCACCGTCCTGGCCCTCAGAGTAAGGGCCCGCCACACCGGCAGTGTCAGGGAAGACGGCGTCGGATGGCACACTGACGCCACTTGCACGAAGGCGAGCCCGTAGTTGGTGGATTGCGCGAGAGTTGTCCTTGCGATAAGCGTTCTCGAGAGCGCGGTGCTCGGATGAATCGCATGTTTGAAACCCAGAGCTTGCGGGCCGTTCACAGGAGAGAACGGCACATTGGTGCGCAAAGAGGGGGGCATGAGCGGGGCAGTAGATGTCACGCTTAGAGGTGAGATTGATCTTGCAATCGTGAATGGCGCAGCAGGGACGTCCCATAGAAAGGCCGTCTCCGACCGCGTACTGAATCTTCACTGCATTATAGTCGTGTTAGGCAATGTGGATATGATATATAATAGAGAACGCACCAAAGGACCCGTCTGGGGCTTCCTTGACTTTGAAGCATAAGTCGCAAGCATGGGTCCATTCCTCCTGCCCGATTCCCTCCATCACTTTATTTCGCTCAGCGAGCACCACAGCCAGGCGGTCTCTCTGTGTTGGGCAGTCGTGGGGTAGCTCGAGACAAGTTCCATGTTCGGCCTTATCCAGAAGGAGCGAATAGAGGAGGAAACCGTTCATAGCTAGATCACCGTGCATTTCCAGTGCATATGGCCAGTCGGCCTTGCTCAAGCGACTTCCAGTAGCTCTTCCATACGCTTGGGGATTGTTCTGAGCAGATGCGTTGCACCGAGCGAGTGAGGAGTTGTAAATGCGTGCACAATTACTTGCAGATAACCTAGTATACATGCGTATGCTACGAAAGGACTCCGTTAGGTCTAATGAACAGACGTACCAGCCAAACATCATGCCATTCCCAAACAGCTCTAGTACCGCAGCCTCCACGAAAAAGTGTGTTGCAACTTGGATGACGCTAGGGGGAGGGCCGCCGTAGTAGGTTCGCAGCGAGCTTGCCTTGTCTACTGTGTAGTTGTGGTGATAGCGTCGGTGGCACACTGCGGACAAAGATGAATGGCGAACTGAGTGATATCCTGTATATAAATACTCACCATGGCAGTAGAGGGAGGTGGTGAAGACGGGCAGTGCGCCCTCCCGCAAGGTGAATAAGGTGGCGCGGTAGGTTATTGGCTCCGTGAGGGTCATGATGTCCTTCTCCACTCGATAGTTTGAGCACTCGGGACGGAGGCAAACCCGAGTAGGAGGAAACAAATCTCGATAACCTAGGGTTCATGAAGACGATATACAAACACCCCTCCAGTAGAAGCACTCACCAATTGCGCGGGAAAGACCATGTTCATGGAAAGCAGCTACTTCCCCCTCGGTTGCCTGCACCTCGTCCTCGCTCCAGATTGCATCCATGAAGGCATACCAGTACCAGGATATCTCAGTATAGCTTTTCCGAAGAGACGCGGCCAGAAAGTCGTGTATGTGTGTAGGCAGCGGTATGGCGGGTCGTGTGCGGTCGCGTTGGTAGATCTCGATGTTTGGCTTCACAAGTTTACCCAAACGAATGAAGCTGAGCATTTCCTGCACAGTGATTTCACCTATATGAGGAGTACTAGCAGTCAAGGATGAGATCTTATGAAGAAGCATAGCGTCGAGGTACGAGTAAAAGGACAAGGTCGAGTACGAGAACAAGGTTTCTACATTGGATGATCGCACTCGTTGATCTTAGTAAGCACCTTGAAAGTACATTTGGTGAACTCCACAGGATTTGGGCCCCAAAACAGTTTCTCTGTGTGCCCATGGTACGCCAAAATGTGTCTGTCATTTTCTATAGTAGACGACCTGGTCGTCAGTAGAGAATAATCTAGTCAGTGCTGCAATAACTAGAGGTCGCGGGAACGGCGTCTAATTGCCGGCTGCGTAATCTAATCTATGATAGTATCCACTGTGATCTGATCACATCTGTTTGTCCTTGCGTGCGTCTGCTGGATTCCGCCGGAGTCTGGCGGAGGATTGTCTCCCAGTGGGTCAAATGTTCTCACCAGCGTGCATCTCGACATGCTGCACTGGCTATAGGCGGATCAGGATAGTGCTCAGGTCTCGCACTCCCAGCAGTTTTCATACTCCTTACCAGTTGCGATGATCACTCGTCCCTTCTAGCGCACGATGAGCCTTCTCTGTTATCTGCGTAATGCCCTGGCCGGACAGAAGGCTGCTTGCGCGTTTCTGCATCATGACCGCTGTCATACCTGCTCGCAGAAGGGTCGCTTCATGCAAGAAGCCGCCACGGCACGTCGCCTCGCCCGCTCTCCTCGGTACCCTCCTCGTTTGTGCCAGTCACCGTGCTACAGTCCCTAGCACGACAGCTTCGCCTAATCAAGAAGTCAAGGATGTGGAATGATCATAGAATTCCAAAACGAGATACCAGTTCCAACACACCTGCACGATGCACGTCGCTCGCATGAGAGTGATTTGTTCCTTGCGTTCCCGGGGGATACGGGACCATCCGTCCATCTATCCAAACAAGCTCGTGTCAATGAATATAAGAAGCAATACGAGAAGACTTCTACTCGCCATTTCCGTACACACATCGTGGGTTCCATGATCCACAACGCTCGCGAGACTTCACAACATTCCGCGGACAGCGGCCCTGTACGCCAAGCGATGCATATACAACAAGACACGAAATGTAAACACAACTATACAATACGATATATAGCACGACAAGATAGATGCACGCGTCCACAGTCCATCCGCATGCGCCCACAATATCCTACACGGACGGCTCTGTCCCGAACGGCCCAGGGCCCACAACGACAGGACCCTACGCCAGCGCGTCCAGGCGCCCCGCAAGGCCCGCCAAGAACCCGAACCCGTCCTTCGTGACCGTCCGCCCGCTCGAACCGTTGATGACCGCGCCGAACTCGACGACGAGCGCCGCCAGCTGCTCGTTCCCCGCCGCGCGCCGCACGTCCTGCCCCAGCCGCCACAACTTGTTCATCTTCCCCTGCCGCGTCTCGCGCGCGCCCCCGTCTCCTCCCTGCGACGCCTCCGAGGCCCCGCTCGCCCGCGCCCGCGCCGTGCGGATCGGGCCCGCGAACACGCTCGGGTCCGCGAGCTGCTTGTGCAGCGCGTCGAGCACCGCGAAGCCCTCCTTCGTGAGCATCCGCGACCGGTTCTCCTCCATCGTGCGCGCAAAGTCACGCACGAGCCCGGCGAGTGCCATGTTGTCCGTCGCGGCCGCGACTTCTCGTGCGATCTGCGCGAGGCGCGCCGCTTTGGTGAGCCGCCCTGCCGCTGGGGCAGCGCGCGCGTTCTCGTCCCGCGAGCCCTCGTCGTCGCTGATGAGGTTGATGACCTCTTTGCTCTTTGGGGGCGAGGGTTTGGGCGGCTTGCCGCCTTTCTTGCCGTCCTTGGGTGCGGCGTTAGTGTCCCGGTTGACGAGATTGTCACGGACGCCGAGCACCTGCCGCTCTCCAAGCTGCATGTTCGCGAGACCGTTGAGGACACCCTCCAGTTCCCCAGAGTCTTTCCGCAGTGGTGCAGTTTGCACACGCACAGTGGGCTGTAGAGTATGCACATTAACATCACATTTCATTTTTACAAGGTGTGGCGCACATACCTCTGGGTTTGGTGGTGGCCAAATGAAGGCCGGACTACTTGGGAACCCGTTGTCCTCTGCGAGGTTGGCGAATTCCTCAATCCACCGCTCATAGTCTGGCCGCTCGGCGAACTGTAACCGGCGGCACGACCTCAGGAATTCCTCAAACACTGGTGGCAGCCCGCGGCAGATGTCTTCCGGCGTAGCATTTCGTTTCTCGTACATAAGACGATTATGCGCCTCGTCTGTCTTGGGCACCCCGTTCCGCGTCCAGCTCAGCCCGCCAGGCGTGAGCATGTGGATGAGCATGAGCGCAACGGCCTCCATGTCGTCTCGCCGTGACGGCACTGCAACCCACCGACCTTCAACATACAGTTCGCACACAAGGAGGCGATGGGAGACGCGCACCTGAGCCACGGCAGTGCACGCGCACGGACGAGAACCAGTAGTTGCCGATGAAGTCGCGCGGCGCCTTGCTGTCCGGGATGTGGCGCTTCGTGCGCTGGTCGATGTAGAACTTGGAGAACCCAAAGTCGATCATGTAGATCGTCGTGTTGTTCGGTGGGAGGCCGAGCACGCAGTTGCCCAGCTGGATGTCGCGGTGCAGCAGCCCGCGCGCGTGCATGAACTCCAGCCGCGCGATCTAGCCGTCCCCGGTACGTCAACACCCTTCTTTGGCATATCCGGAACGAAAAAGGGTCGCAAAGTCAACACCCGCCGGTGCGCGCGAAAGTGGCAATGGCGAGGCAATGTGGGGAGGCGGGGTACTCACCACTTGCTGCGCGATGCAGCAGACGCTGCGCAAATCCCACACGTCTGTCGTTTTCTGTCGGTGTAGGCTGTCTAGGCTGGACCCGAGGAGGTCGATCGCGAGGTAGTCCCAGGTGCCGTGGTGGCCGGACGCCCAGAGCGTGGGCATGCCCTCGCCGCCCTGCAGCGCGGGGTAGAAGCTGCGCTCATATCTGTTCGTCGGGCACGCCTCGTCTATCGGCTGTAGTTTGAGCGCGACCCACTGGTTGGTGTGGACGTGTCTCGCGCAGAAGATGGCGCCTGCGTCGCCACATGCGTGAATTGATGCACAATTTGGGACGGAGGGCTATGATGCGATGCCCACCTGAAAATCCGGCGCCGAGCTTCTGGTGGAGCTCGTAGTTTCCCACATAGCGAGGGTATTTGGGCTGGTGTGCCATATTGCAGATGGCTTTGCTGGTGATAGTCTGGTGGCCGTGCGCGTTGGGTTGTGTGTAGGGTGGCTAGATGGCGCGATGGGCCGTGCGTTGGCGGGAACGTGTGTCTGAGCGAGCCACCAGATGACTGGGGAGTAGGGGGTGCCGCGTACGGTGGTGAGGAGAGGTAGGTGGAGGCGGGCGAGACGGAGGTGGATGTGCTGGAGAGCGCGCGGTTCGACACGCCTCGCGTAAGTCCAACATGAGTGTTCACGGTCACGTGCTCGTCGCGTTCTGGGAGCATGGCCGCGTCACCCAGCTCCCAGGGTGTCGGGGTACCGGTCTCTGAGATTGCTTGACATCCACACTCGTCGCCAGGAGAGACCGCGCACCCACCATGCACCTATTAAAACATAAGGGTCACTCAGGCTAGCGTAGCTTTGCACGAGAACCCTTGAGACCAATAATAACCTCCAAGAGTCTACGCGATTCCCAAGCAGGTCTACGATGAACGGCTGCGAGGATCGGTGGCGGGTCTCCAGCCAAGCAAGCGATCTGTCGGCCAGCGGATTCAGAGTGGATATGCGAGGTATACGATTATTCCTGTATACGGTACTCTTCACGATTAGGGCGGAAACAACCCGCGCACGTTCCCGTGCTGTAACGTAACCACACGTGGTGGACCTCTGGTCTCTAGTCTCTAGCTCTAGTCTCCTAGTAGTCTGTACTGTTCGACTCTACTCGTCCTTGTCCACGATCTCGATGCCCGAGTCGCTGCCCGCCGCGTCCGCGAACACCGGGCGCGACGCCGCGAGCCCGTGTGCGTTCTTGTAGAACAAAATGTCGCCCTCGTCCTCGACGAACTTGCACTCCTTGAAGACGCGGTACATCTCCGCCCACCCCCCAGGCCGGCCCTGCAGGTGAATCCCGTTCTTGCCGAGCAGCGCGCGCAGCGCGTCCGTCGCCTCCCACGCGTGGTAGTGCGGGATCTTCGAGGACAGGTGGTGCGCGACATGCGTCTCCGAGATGCCGTGCGTCGCGAATGCGCCGAGCCAGCCCATCACGCTGCCGAGGTCCCCGAGCAGGTTGCGGTCCATGGTCGAGAGCGCGCCGCGGGGGAAGGTGAACTCGGCGGCGTGGTAGTGGGGCAGGAGGGGGTCGGTGTGCTGGAGGAACGTGATCAGGATGATCCAGTGGTTTGTCCTGGTGAACGAGTGAACGTCAGAAGTGTCCGACCATCAGCGAATGTGCGTGACATACCAGAGGAACGGCATGAAGTAGACACGGAAGACCTCGAGGACACCGAACTGAGCCGCGGAGATGATGATGGCGGCAGCCCAGAGCATAATTCCGACGTTCGAGATGATGATCTGGCCGCGCTGATCAGGGCGGAAGATGATCGATGAGGGGTTGAAATCTATGTCGGTATATCAGTATCGTGCAAGCCATGTCCAATATCGAAGGCCACGTACGGTTCGTGCCCTTCGGGTACCGACGCTGTCCAGCTGCGTTCGCCAACAGGTACGCGGGGAAGCCAGCAATCTGCAAGATTATCAGCAAAACAGAAGCCGTCCATTATGTGCAAGAACTTACCAGGAAACGGAAGAAGAAGTACATGATGCCGAGAGGGGTGTCGCCAAGAGCCTCCCAGAGTTCCTTCTTGACCTCCTCGGCGACACTGGACCCGGCAAGGTCCTCCTTGGTAGGGTCGAACGCAGGCAGGCCAAGTTCGGAGCGGGTGCGCGGGACATAGACCTGGTCTTGCGTCATGTGTCCGGTAGACGCATGGTGCTTGCCGTGACTGATACGCCATGCATGATAGGGCATGCCAAGTCTATTCGTCAAAAATATGATGGCGGCGGGGAAGCATGTGAAATGAATGGTTGTGACGAGGTCAGTGACGGGCGCGCCAGAGAAGTTGCTGCGCCGTACCCAGAGTGCAGAACCCAACCGACTGCGTTGTTGATGGCCTTCGAGTCCGAGAATGCGCCATGGCCACACTCGTGGGCGAGAACCCAGAGGCCGGTGCAGAACAGACCGACGATGAAGGTGTACAACGACCAGAGGGCGAAGCGCGCAGCCGGGTAGAGGATCGCATAGGGCAGGGCGATGTGCTCGGGACGGAGGAGCGCGTCGAGGAAGTAGGTGCCCTTGTACACGGCGCCGATGATGGCGAAGTCCATAACGCTGACGGGGGAACGTGAGATTGCGTGACGCGACAGAAAACGGGTTTCCACGTACACGTAGGACATGGACCGGAAAGTCGACCGTTCATTGCAATGCGCACTGGCTCACGACAGAGTCCCATTAGTCCTGTATCTCGTTGCTAGTCTGACGCTCCTGTACTTACGGGATGACCGAGAGCAAGTCCTTGACGGAGAAGTCGGGGATGACCACAGGCTTTTGCTCGACGGTCGTCCGTGCGGACGTGGCTTTTGTCGACATGTTTGTCCTAGCAAACGAGCGAGAGGTAGAGAGAGAGAATAGAGACCAGACGTCTATGGATACCACGGCAGTCTAGGGAGAGTCGCGGGCGGGGAGAGGGGACGGAGGAAGAGAGAGAGGGTACAGCGAATGAAAAGCGGGAATTTTGTTGGGGACTCCGCTTATAGAACAGGCACAGCTGTTTCAAACATCCCCAGACTGGACGAGCGAATACGCGCACGCTTCGCACGCGAAATGTCTGCCGTGTGATTTGATTAAAACTTCAACTTGGCCTCTGCGTCTGCGGGCTTGCCCGGACCCCATCACTCTGCAGCCAATGCCCAGGATGGTGGCGGTATAGACACCGCTCGAAAAGGCTGGGGCCGGGGACTGGGACAGGCTTTTGGAGCAGGACCGACGATCTTGCGGGAAGCCCAGGCTCCATCGCATACCTTGGCGTTCGCGGGGTCGGGAGGGAGTGCATCGATCGGAAGCGACACAGCTTGACAGGCGAAATCGCGACGTGGCGCGTTCGAAAATACGCGCACGCGGTCACGTGCATCTCACGCTCGCGTGCCCCGCGCGTGGCGCCTCTCTCCCAGCGACTCCGTCTTCGTCCGTCTTTGCTGCGCGCTGTCTGTTCCGCCCGAGATCCGCTATGCCTCGGAGCACCATCTGTGGCACATCCCCATGCATATATGGACGAGTCTCAGTCTCTTCGAGTCGCCAGCGCGCCGCCCGTCGAAATCTTAAAGAAGCCTCCGACACGTCTCCATAGCAGCCCAGCACAAGCCAGGTTGGCGATCGCGTGGTAAGACGGATATGAGCGTCGGAAGCACGCCGATCCTGCCTCCGGCATACAGCCACAACGGTTCATTCATATCCTTACTCCTCACACAACTTGGCAAGCCTCTCGTGTATGTCATGAACATCATGGTGGAGCCTGCTGCTGCGCACACCCAGATGTCCAGATGGTAACAATACACCCATAAGGTGGATACCAGGCTATACCAGGGCAAGAGCGGCCGTCGGCTAAGTACCAGGGACGCCACCCCGCACGTTGCAGCGCCCGCGTTGCGTATACACACCGCATATAGCCCTCTTCCGCGCGGCCTTTATCCTGCCATATCACCGCGTTGCCGAGCGGTGCCCGGATGGCGCCCTTAGAGGTTGGTTGCTCGTGGACTCCACCCTCGGCGTTGCTCATCGCAATCATCGCACTCGCACGCCCACACTCCTCGGACCTCGGTGTCCGCCCGTATATAAGGCGGCGTGCATCCTCATCGTTGCGCCCACATTATGCATGTACGAACTCTTGTGACGATCTACGCAACGCTCGCGGCCTCTCCCGCTCTATCACAGCAGATCTTTGACGTCGTAAGTGCTTCACTCATCGATCGCAGTGTCTACAATCAAGGACTGATCCTCGTCCAAATTTCAGTGGACGACGACTTGGGACCGCACCCAGCTGCTCAACTACGAAAACCTCTCCCCAAATCCCGTAAACTTCGTCGCTGCTACTGGCACAGATGACGGCGACATAACTATCGACGATGGCACCGTCCATCAACGCATGGCCGGATTCGGAGCTAGTCTGAGTACGTCTGTTCGCTCGTGATTCCACCATGGAGCAATAGCCACTTACACCGTATGAACCCATCATAGCCGACTCCTCCGCGCTCCTCTTGAGCAAGTTGAAAGTGAGGAGTCATTCCGGTGCTGCACCAAGTCACCTGCATGGAGCCGTACTGATCCCGAGTCCCGTGTGCGCGTAGGACAAGAACGCTGGCAACTACTGGTCGCTCTTGGGCAAGTTGTTCGATCGTGAGTGTCCACTGTAGCTTAGAAGTCTTGCGTTCAGCTGAAAGGATCCTGCGCCTTTTAGCTACCAACGGCGCAAACGCCGCGGGCCTGACTTATCTGCGCGTCCCTCTCGGCGCGTCCGATTTCTCTGCGAACGGTAAGCATCCCCCTCCCGCTCTAGCATCGCATAGGTCGCTCATCACTGGGCGACACGTAGTATACAGCTTCGACGACGTCGATGGCGACACGCACCTCAATAACTTCGACATCGGCAAGGCACCTTCGTACCTGTTTTCTACCATCAGGGACATCCAGGGCATCAACCCGTACCTGAGGGTACATATCTTGCCATGGTCCCCCGTACGTCCCGCTCAGCCGATTACACGGACGCTTTGCTCATCTGCGCATTTCATGATGTTAGCCCGGTTGGATGAAGGATAGCGGAACGATGAAGGGCGGAAGCTTGGTGTCGGGATACACAACCGTTTGTGCGTCAACCCGTTATGTTTCAACGGCTCGCATCTAAGCTGGCTCTTTGCTGCGCACTCAGACGCGAACTACCTGCTCAAATGCCTGCAAGGCTTCCAGAGTCGCGGTATCTTCGCATGGGCCATCGGTATTCAGGTGCGTCGCTCTATTAAGACCTATTCGGCACTGCAACTAAACCCGTTATGCTCCGTAGAACGAGCCGCAGCACAGCGACACCACATACCCGTCGACCTCTATGACCGCATACCAAGAGGCGCAGATTGGCGCCGCCCTGCGTTCGCTCATGGACGCCAACGGGTTTGCAAGCGTGCGTCTGATCGGATACGAGCACAATTGGGATGACGCCGGTGACTACCCTATCAAGCTTGTGAGTCCTCCTGTTTGGCGGGGTTCGCCAAAGGAACGTCCTAGGGCTAATGACGTATGACCGAACAGACGGAAGATGCGGAGAGCGCGTTCTCCGGGGTCGCGTTCCACTGCTACGAGGGCGACGTCGCGCAGCAAAACACGTTCCTGAACTCGTTCCCCGACAAGGAGGTGTACCTGACCGAGTGCACGGGCGTCGACGGCACCGACTGGTGGGAGGACATCAAGGTCAGTAGCCCTCTTGCGTCTCGGCCTCTTATGCCCGTCTCACGAAACTCCAACTCCACAGTGGTACATGGACAACCTGTGAATTTCTCTCTCCTCGTACATGTCCTCCGGAGAGACTGCTGACCTTGCGTGCTCCACAGCTTCATCGGCTCGGTGAACCGCGGTTCGTCTAGCGGCCTTATGTGGAACCTCGCGCTCGACGGAAACGGTGCCCCGAAGCTGCCTGGGACGGCCAGCTGCAGCACCGCCTGCCGCGCTGTCGTCACCGTGAACTCGGACGGCAGCTACACGCTGAACCAAGAATGTGAGCCAGCGCTCGGCCGCGGTCTATGCTTGCGATGTGCTAACCGGCCACTTGTCAGTCTACTCCATGGCGCAGGCCAGCAAGGCCATCCTGCCGCGGGACACGAACGGGCCGTTCGCGCAGCGCATCGGGTCCTCCGTCGGCGGCGGCCTCTCGGGCGACCTCCAGGTCACGGCGTACGTGACCGACCGCGACAACTCGTCCGACTGGCGGCGCTACAGCCTCGTCGTCCTGAACTGGAACGACCAGAAGAGCGGGAGCTTCAGCCCGAGCTCGGTCCAGGCGACGATTGGCTTCCGAGGCCGGCTGGCGACGTACACGTTCCCGGTGGGCGTGACGACCCTGTGGTGGTATGCGCAGTGAATTACACGACCACAAACATGACGACCAAGTACACTTCGTACGACTCAACGGACCTAATGGACCCCTCACGAACCATTATGTATGAACATACCCCCATAGATGCCGGGTACGTACAAGTATGGTGCTTCATAGATGCGAGGATGTATCCATACCCAGTGATTGGTTCGCAATACCATATGCCTTCATGTTTATACCAGTATACTCACATCGATGCTCGCGAATGCTTTATGTAAAGCGTGGCCGCCGACTCCCAGTCAAGAAACAACGCTGCCCGGTGTGCATAGACGCGTCGCGTCTGCTTGGCGCTATACACGGTCACGTGGCTATCAATGCGGGATTGCAAGTTCTTGGCGCGTGGCTCGAGGCTCTCATCGGACGTCTTCCGAGTCTTCCCGAGGCTTCGAGGTGCTGTAAGGTGCTATGCGAGGCACCTACAAGTCCTTTCGAGTCTGCTTCCGCTTCCAACTACTTCTGCGGTTCGCTGGACTGGGCGTCACAATTCTGAGAACAACAACACCGGTACCCTTGTTCTTGCATGCCGTGATCTCGGAGGCTATCGCTATTCATTCCGTTACTTCTAGGTCGGCTTACTATTGGTCGTCTGCTCACTGCAACCCGAATCGGTGCCGCACCTATCCCTCTGCATTCTTGTTGGCGAAGCTGTCGCAGTGCCTGGCTGGGTGTATGTCCTCGGAGCTTTCTCCAGCCATCGCTGGTTCTCTGATAATCCCATGTGAGCTCTGGCAGGTGATGACGCGGGTGCACTCTACCCCGTTTGTCGAGCTCTGCGCGCATACTCATGGCGACCATCACGATGACTGTCTTCCGCTCCCCGTGAGCTGCGCACGCTGCTTTGGCTTCGTGACGCACCTCCGTCATGCGCCTAGAGCGCCGGGAACGCGCACACGCCCTGCTCTGTGGGCTCGCCGCGGACGTCACTTGATGACGCTTCTCTGCCCCTTGCCACACGCTGCCGTACGGGCCCGTCTCGTCGCGACGCGATAGCCCAACTCTCTCTGTCCTCCGTATCACCCTGCGCGGCCACCCAACCGCCTATGATTAGACGGCTTCCTCGCCCGGCTATTGTCGCTTGACAGGCACGCACGCGCCCTATTCCGGTCTCGAGAGGCTCGCCTTGATGCACCCTCCACCCTGCATTCGGCGTGCGATGCACGCGCTGGTTCAGCTGGCATGATGGTCGCATGGTTCTGCTCGGTAGGCTGAGCAGAAGCCTGGGCTCTGCCGCGGGGGATCTGACAGGCCGGGCGCGCGGTGAGTTGCTGTGGGACGCGGACGCGATGGCAGCCCCGGGCCCTTGTTGCGCGGACGAAATTGCGTATGGGGTTCTGTTCTCAGGGCTGCGGCTCGAGGCGTGTGTCGGAGATGAACGCAGACGGGAGCCTGAGGGGATATATAATATTGTGGCACCGCGCCACCCCGGCGCACCGTCCGCCCCACAGCTTCGAATTCCGACAAACCGCGGTCCCGTTCTGTCCTGGTCGCCGTCGACGCCGTCTGCTGCTCGTCCATCGACTCTCTCCTCCGCGCTACCATGATCATCCGCCTCTCGGTCCTCACTGGAGTCGCCCTCGCGGCCGCGCCCGCCGTAGGCCAGCAGATATACGACATCGTGCGCCCCATCCACCTTCCTATATGCGCACGTACTCACAGGCACCGCTGTGGCGGTACAGTGGGCCACTACCTGGGACCGCGCACAGTCGTTCACATACATAAATCTATCCCCCAATCCTATCAACTTTGGCTCGCCCGGCGCAATAGGCGCAGCAGACATTACGGTCAACGACTCGCCCCTCGCGCAGGCCATGGTCGGCTACGGCGCGACCCTCAGTGCGTCCATACCTCACGTCGTGCGACCCGTGTGCAGGGCTGACAGCCCCGCGCGCACGCGCCACCAGCTGATTCCTCCGCGCTCACGCTGAACAACCTAAAGGTGCGTTCGCTCCCCGCGCGCGCGGGGCCAGATGACACGTCCGGTGCTCACGCCAAGCGCACCGCCTGACAGAACCAGAACTCTAACAACTACTGGTCCATCCTGAACACACTATTCGACCGTAAGGCGCTCCGTTTGCGTTTCGTTACGGGATAACCAACGCGCATCTGTCTCTTTCCATGCAGCGACCGACGGCGCGAACGCCGCGGGGCTCACCTACCTCCGCGTGCCCCTCGGCGCGTCCGACTTCTCCGCGAGCGGTGAGTGCGCGTTGCGCGCGTCTCGCGTACGTTCTTGCCACTGACGGGCGTTGTGGCACAGTGTACAGCTTTGATGACACGTCGGGGGACACCTCGCTCGCGAATTTCAATATCAACAAGGCACCCTCCTACCTCTTCTCCGTCATTAACGATATCCAGAGCGTCAACCCGTACCTGAAGGTCCACATCCTGCCGTGGTCGCCAGTAAGTTCTGCATCTCAGGTACGCGAGAGCCCGGCGCTTACGCGGGGTGTCCTCGTCCTGTCTCGCAGCCGGGATGGATGAAGGACAGCGGCACGATGAATGGAGGGAACTTCAACTCGGCGTTCGTTAGCGTCTGTGCGTGCCACACCTTTGACACGCCGCGCGCGTGTGCCGGCATCTGGCTGACGCGCGGCCGCAGACGCCAACTACCTTCTCAAGAGCCTGCAGGGCTTCCAGAGCCACGGTATCTCCGTGTACGCCATTGGCATCCAGGTGCGCCCTGCGTCCATGCGCACTGCGAGCATGGAGCTCAACGAATCCGACTGCGGCGGGCGTAGAACGAGCCCGAGAACAGCAACCCCACCTACCCCACATGCAAGATCAGCGCGAGCCAGGAGGCGCAGATTGGGTCGGCGCTGCGCACGCTCATGAACTCGAACGGCTTCTCCGCCGTCCGCATCATTGGCTACGACCACAACTGGAGCGACGCTGCGGGGTACCCCGTTCAGCTGGTAAGTTGACTTTAACTGTTGCTCCACTCGGCGTTGTACAAGCAGCGGCGGAGATAGGACGGACTCTGACTGGTACGCAATAGATGGATGACGCGTCAAGTGCGTTTTCAGGGGTCGCATTCCACTGCTACGCAGGCAACTTCACGCAGCAAGATTCGTTCCACAACGCGTTTCCGAGCAAGGAGGTGTACTTTACAGAATGCACGGGCGAGTATGGAAGCGATTGGTGGACTGATATCAAAGTGCGTACCTCTTTGTCCTCTTGCCTGACGCATGGTGGATTGATCATACACCTCAGTGGTACATGGAGAACATGTAGGTGCACATTTCTGGTCTCGCGCTACTCGTTGAGCGTGAACTGAGCGTGAACGTGATGGGCCCTTTGCAGCTTTATCGGTTCTGTGACACACTCTGCAAAGAGCGCCCTGATGTGGAACATCGCGCTCGACGGTAGCGGCAACCCCAAGCTCCCAGGCACGACGAGCTGCGGCACACCTTGTCGCCCGGTGGTGCAAGTTAACAGTGACGGTAGCTTTGTGTATCACCAGGAATGTCAGTAACTCCTCGCATCCACACTCTTAGCAGGACAACGCACTGATCTGTATCTTGCTAGTCTACGCTATGGCACAAGCCGGCAAGGCAATCCTCCCGCGCGACGTCAACGGACCATTCGGACAGCGCCTGCATGTCACCATCGGCGGCTCGAACGCGCAGGGCCTCATCGCGACTGCGTTCGTCACAGGCCGCGTCAACCCCTCCGACTGGGACCGCTACAGCCTAGTCGTGCTGAACTGGTGCGTACCTTAACAGCTATCAGCCACGTTACGTACGGGACTGGCTGTTGATTCTGTCATGGCTTGCAGGGACGACCGTCCAAACGGCTCATGGAACCCGACGCCGATCCAGACGACGATCGAGTTCCGAGACGCGCAGGCGACGTACACCTTCCCCGTCGGCGTCACAACGCTCTGGTGGTACGCCCCCAGCGCGAGCCTCGACGCCGACGCCACAGAAGACGCGGGGGCGGGACAGCAAGAAGGGAAGCACGCACACGCGAAGCAGGCGAAGGAGCCGTTCACGGCGTGGGTGCACGCGGATATCAACGGCGAGCGCCAGCGCCCGATCGAGCTCGCGTTCCGGTGAGAGGTCGGCTGGCAGTTGTGTATTGTATATATACCCTGTACACTAGTATTAGGCAGCGTGTGATGGATGGTTTGGAACGACGAGTTGTGGGGGTATGTGCTTTCGAAGTGCTGTGGGGGTGATGGACGTGTTGTTTGTTGATGTGCAGCACGTCTTGGCATGTGCCCGGAGCCGAGTGGGCGGGGCACCCTCTCCAGTTCAAATTCCTTAAGTTATTTTGCACGAGTACTTGGCAACTTACTTACGACGATGATCTTACTGGCATGCAGTGATCACCAGCTTCCGTACAGAGATATCACGGAACAAACTGGGTTACCGAAGCAATCAGAAGCCCTGCATTTCGAACACACAGGCAAGCAAACACTTTCTTTGTGTATCCACCGAATAATGTGGCAGGTGCCTTTTCTAGCGTGAAATGCGAGCGTAACAAAGATGCATTCACAACCGGGTTGTTGGAGGCTGCGTTTGTTGAAAAGGCTCGAATGGTTCTCTCAAATTGGCTCTTCGGCTTACTGCACTGGGCGCTTCTCGAACGTGGGCACCACGAGGCTCATACTCCACAACGCCAGCACCGCCACCAACGCTGGCCCTGGGAGTGATCGAACGTGGGCCCCAAGCGGCAGTGCAACATCGGTCATGGAGCTGCTGCTCCGAGTCCGGCACCAGGAACGGCCTATGAGCACCACCCCCATGATTCAAGCGGCGGGGTAAAGTCAAGACAGCCGGGCATCGACCAGGCACTGCTTAATCCCTCCATCGACCCCGCCATCTCGCGAAACAGAGGAGCAGGAGTGGAGTGCGCCACCGGTGCGGGGCAGCCCCCCACGCCGGCGGGTGCGGTCATCAAGCTCGCACCGCCCGCCACACGCGCCGCGCGGGAGTCTCGGGCATCGTGTGCGTGTCCAAGAAACCCAGCGCACTACGGCGCGATCGTGTATAATGCCATGATGCGAGGTGTTACAATACTGTATGCGGAGGGGAATCTACCTATTGCTACATATATCATGGAGGTGGGGACGGAGGTGATAACGCTAATATGATCATGATCGACGACGGACATCAGCGTAGATTCGATGTGCGGTGCGAGCAGGGGTGTGGGGTGGGGGTGGGGGTGTGGGGCAAAGAAGCAGGTGCCAGAGCGAGGCGAGCCACAGAGCGAGCGCGTTACAGCCAGATAACGGAACAGCGAACAAGACGGAATGTGCAACAGTCGACCCAAAATGCAGCGAGAGAAAGCCCTGTGGTGTGTGTGATGATGACGGATGTGTATTCAAAATAAAATCCCAGCCCGAAATGGAATGAAGCAGAGAGCAGTGATCGTCTCGCGCCGCGCGCGGCCCAAAGCGTGTGTAACGGGCGGCGCGCGCGGCGGGGCGCCGTGAGTAGTGTAGAATATTATAAGTAAAGCGTGCGGTGCGTGCGTGCGATCGTGTATGCGTGCGTGCGTGCGTGCGTGCGGTGGTGGCGCTGCCAAGCAGCGGTGAGTCGTTTCGTGAATGATTCGTTTTTGAAAAGGGGGTGCAGCGGCGATCCGATCCGGTCGAGCGTCCGTCCGGCCCCGTCCCAGCGCCGTCCTCATCGTCCCTCCCGCGGTGCCGGCGGCGCGCCCGGGAGCACGTCGACCGAGATCGACGCCTTGCCGTGCAGCCGCCGCCCGACGTCGACAGCGGCGCCCGGGGTCTGCGGCTGCGACGGCGGCTGCTCGACCTTGTCCCACTCCTCGAGGAGCAGCTGTCCGACCGCGGGCTCCAGCTCCGTCCCGTCGCGCGACACCTTCACCTCCCGATCGTGGTTCCACGGGTTGCGCAGGTGCCTCGTGCGCGTGAACGGCAGCCGGTGCGAGCGGATCCACTCCACCTTGAACGGCTCCCCCCATACGGGGCCGTCCTCCTGGTGCCGCTCCGCGGGTGAGGGCTCGTCCGACGGCGCAACGCCTTTGCCCTTGTCGCGGGAGTCCTCGGCGTGTGGGCGCTCGTCCTCCTCGGCGACCGTACGCAAGGCGCTGTCCTCTGACTTGCGCGCTTCGGCGGGTGTGGGGTTGCGTATCGCACGGAGGGGCGCCGCCGGGTCAAGCTCAATCTCCTCCGGCTGCGAGAGCGCCTTGGATCGGCTTGCACTCGCGATGACGGGCGCGGCCGGGCGTATCCCTCCCTGCGGATCCGCGCTTAGTGCGGTCTGGCCACGTTCTCCACTAACCATACTCAGGTTACGGTGTGGCTGGAACATCTCCGCTGGTGCGGACGCACGCTCGTGAAGGTCCAGACCCCGCGAGGAGGATGGAGGCGGTCGCGTCGAGGTCTCAGGCGACAATTCAAACGGCGATTCGCCATAGCGCTGTTCGCTGGGGGAGAAGTACAGGGGGGCCCTGTCATGGCGCGCCGCGGTTGGGCTGTCCGACGACTGGGTGGATGAGCGGCGCGGCAAAGAAGCGTCTGTTCGGGAGGCCCAGGGTACGCGCTGCTCCCCACGGGTGATTGGACCTGCCATCCTTACGGAGCCGGAGCCACGTTAGACTGGTACACGGAGAGGAGAGAAGACACCTACTTCGCATATCCGTAAAACTCGCCGCTCTTATTCACGCTGAAGATGAGGTAGACTTCTTTACTGGTACGGAAGGCCTGGTCCAGAATGCCCTCGTTATGCCGCTGCGTCGCCCACAAGCCCTTCTCCACACTCAAGTCCAAGTCGAACTGCAAGAGATGATCAACGTCAGCGAATTCGACGCGGAGGGTGCGCGAGATCATTTACCTGGGTCAGCGACTTGAGTATGAAATAGCGCTTGGGGAAGTACGCGGTGAGAATGCCCGAGTTGGTCGACGCGTACGAGCCTGAACTGCTCGAGTGCGGCTCCGGCTTGCGCCGATGCCCGCGAACGCCCTCCTCGTCGCTGGAGAGCGAGAGCCCCGCGAGCATGGGCGCCGCGTCCGTCGGTGAACTCGACGGCGTCGTGATGCGATCCGACTCCGACGTCGACTCACGCCGCTCCGCGCGATCGCGCTCCCTCTTGTCTCGCACCCACCTCATGTGTATGCCGGAGCCCCGCTGGCCGCCGACTCCCGCCTTCAAGTCGTCTTCTCGCGCACGGACGCGGCAGACGAGCCGCGGACAGCGTGGATCGCTCGGCCGCAGGGGAAGACCGTTGAAGTGCTTGATCGCGGCCTGCAGATGGGGCTCGGACTGGAAGTTGACGAAGGCGCAGTTCGAGCGCGCGATGAGGAAAATGGAGGAGACGCCGCCATACAGAGAGTCGGACGAAGCCGTCGACGTAGACCCTGTCGCGGTTGAACCGATAGGTCCGGCGGGTGCGCTCTGCGTAGACATCGGTCCGACCGAAGAACCAGGGGAGGGCGGTGAGTTGAAGAACCGCCAGAGCTCGTCGTGCGTCGCGTCCGAGGGCACGTTCCCTGTCCACATCACCCACTCCGAGCGATGGGCTGGCGGATTGGGGTGATACGGTCGTCGGGCCGGTGGCGGGCGCTCAGCAGTTGGTCGACTACTGGAGCTGGCCGGAGACAGGTTCGCCGACCCTTGCTCTGGCGGTCGTCCGCGCGGTAACGGCAGTGATTTGTCCGGTATCAGATGGCTGAACTGGCCCTGCGCTGGACTGAATGGCGGAGACGTGTACGGGATCTGCCCTCCTGGAGGCGTGGTCGGGCCTGGACTTGGGCCGGATTGAAGCGCCGCCGACATAGGGAACATCGGCGCGACAGAAGAGGAGCCGGACGGCTGTCCATACTGCTGGGGCTGTTCGCCCTCGCGTGTATTTGGAGGGTTATATGACATGGCATACGGACTCTGGAAGGACTCGTACTGCCCAGAAGCGGGCTGCGGCGGTAGATACCACCACGTGCCCTGGCCTTCTTGCTCAGATGGGTAGTGTGGGGCATAGGGCGAGGAGTATTGTTGGGGGCCGTAAAGCGAGGGAGAAGGTGCAAATGAGTGTGGGGGGTAGGCGAAGGGTGGCGTTGAAAAGCGCATGGGGGAGTACGGCGTCTGACCAGCATAAGACGCGGAATGCGGCGGGGGGAGCGTGCCAGAATGTGCGAGTGGGGGCCCGGAGGCCTGGGGCGCGAGGGGCGAGTGAGGGGGCGGGGAGGGATGGGCTTGTGGACTGGTGTGCGGGGAGAACATCGCAGGGCTGGTAGAAAACGAGCGGCTGGAAGACGAACTGCTTTCCGGGGAGTGACCTGGGAACGGGTACACAGGCGAGTGGCCTTGCATCATCGGCATGAGCGTGCTTGGGGAGTAGCCGAGCAGCTGGTTGTGCGGCGGTGAAAGCATGGACTGGTCAGGCGCGTGCAGGCCAGGGTGTGGCGGGGGATACGCGTACTGAGGTGAGTGGTGCACCATGCCGACGTGCGGTTGTGCGGACATCGTGTATTGTCCGACATATGCGCCGCGCTGGCCGTAGGCGTACTGCGGGGGAGGGGGGCCCTGGAATGGCGGAACGGGCGGACTAGCAGCCGGTCTGTTTTCTTGCGGTGAGGGGAGGGGCGGGGGGTAGAGGGGCCCGGCGGAGGACTGGAAGGAGGGGCGCGCGGGCTGGCGACGAGACGGGCCATAGTGCGACACACCTCTGCCGCGCGGGGCCTGCCTGCCGTGCTCGGAGGTGGAGCTCGTGGAGCGTGAATCTGACATATTCAACGCCGGCGGTGTGGCAGCATTCCCCGAGTTATAGGCCGGGGTGTGGTCGGGCAAGTGCAGAAGATCGCTTATGTCTTCTGGACTGTTCTCGAACAGGGAGGGCGGGGCTAGCGGGGTGCGGGGCTCATGCGCTGCGTGGCGGTCTAGGCAGGACGACATCGTTCAGCATGGACGCGAGAGGGAAGAGGAGGATATTTACAAGGGGGCAGCCCGGCGGAATGGCGAGTGGGGGTGGCAGCGGGGTCTAGAAGGAGAAATGCGAAGAGGACATGTCAGAGAAAAAATAAAAGGGATATGAAAAAAGGATCGGAGAGAAGGGCGGGCGAAGGATTGCGGGGGCCACTGGCAAGTTGGCGGTGCCAGCGACGAGCAGCGATCTCGATACGAAAAAAGGAAGGGAGGACGTCGACGAGTAGCAAATTAAAATCAGGCATTGTTGCCGCCCTCGTGGCGTTCAAACTCCGGTATAGGCGCGACCTGCGCGATCGAGGGCACAATCACGTGACCCGCGAAGGCACACCGTCGATCGAGCCTCGCCCGATTCTGCAGCGGCCCTCGCCCGGCCTTCCCGGCCTCAGTCCTCCTCCGCCCAATAAACGACACATGCAAGAGTGCAGATTACTCACCCGACGTCGGCGTTCTCCTTCCTGCGCTCCGGGGCCCGCTGGGCAGCGACGCGGCGTCTGGCAATCGTACAGGCAGCAAATGGACGGCAGCGACGGCGGATGCGGATTGGGTGTGAGATTGGGAGGTGGATAGCTGCAGAGCGAGGGGGTCATGCCGGTGCGGCAGCGGGCCTGGACCGGACTCAGCAGAGGAAGAAGGCGGCGGCTTGAAGCTCGCGGCCTCGGCAGTGTGCAGCATCTGCGTCTCCGGGCGGGGGGTTATATCGCGAGCGGGAATTGTCGAGGAGGTGCTTGCGAAGGTCGCGCGCATGGTGTGGTGTGCGCCAGAACTGAATGGGAAGCGCGAGCGAAGGCGATGCGTAGTGGTGCGCGGTTGGAGGAGTAGGTTGGTGGTGACTCAAAAGAGACGTAGGGTTTTTTTGGGTAGGCCCGGAGGGAGGGGATGTGATAGTGCACGGGGATGCGGTGCGTGGCGACTTGGATGGTGACGGCGGAGGACTTCGGACGTTATGAACAGGCGGGGGACAGGGGGGTGCCCAAATCGGGCGGTGGATGGCGGCGTAATGGGTGGAGACGCGAAGGGGGGTGGCATGATGAGGGGTGGTGATTTGTGAATGTCCTGTGGATCACCTCCCCCGACCCCGACAAGCGGGCGAGAATGTCACAGCGAGCAACGCAGCCAGCGTCCGGGAAGTTGGCACACAGGCTGTACGCGAGGGCGCGCGGGCGAGTGGACAGCGCCCCCACTTGGATCCATCGCGGCCAGGGAGGGAGGAGGCGGTCATCCATGACACCGCGCCAGAACACCCGTATCAATCCAACACACCGCCAATCCCGCCAGTGACGTCACCTCTGCACTTTTCACCCCTTCGCACAACCCCCAGCAGCGCCTTCCCCTCGCCCAACGTCCCCCTGATTCCCCGCACACACCCCGCAACGTGTTTTCTCTTCGCCCGCAGCGCACCCCGCCCGCGTGGGCTGTCTGAGACGTGCCCCGAACCCGCGACGTGGGCCACGCGACGGCCGCTCGGGCCCGAGAAGTCGCCCCGGAACGGTAGCAGGTAGGCGAGTGGTGGATAGTGCAGGCTTGTTGGCCGGTGTGTGTCCAGCGCCGTGGCCGAATGATGTCAGCGAGCCAGCAGCGAGTCGCGACGGGAGCCCGTGGCGAGCGTAGAACACGCCCCACAGATCTGGCTATGCGAGATACAATTACAGTCCGATCAGCTATACTCGCCGCCATGATGTCATCCCCCGTCCCCGCAGGCGCCGTTCCTTCTTGCCCAAACAGGGCCACGCCCTCCTCCGGCTACTCAACGCCCAGAAGCACCCGAAGCAGCCAGTCTGTCCCCCTGTTCCTGCCGCCTGTGCACCCCGGCGGCCCGTACGTACGCAACAGCCCCCGGCCGTGTCACCCGCCGCGGAACATAACAAGCGAACGCGACTAAAAACGCGCAGGCTGCTTCTCGCGGCATGTGCGCGCCATTGCACCACCCGCCCTGACCAATTGGGGCGGTGTCCCACAGGAGAGCAAGCTCGAGGAGCTGAGAAACAATGTTCCGTCTGTTGTACACATGTGTGAGGTACCGTACACCGCCGACCGACTTCAAGCGCTCCAAGGACTCTCCAGGGCTCCGATCCCAGCACCATCAATGCGCTACGCATCGTACCTTCCGTCACGCCTCCCCCGGAACGTCGCGGGGCACCCCGGCGCGCACGTCGGACGCGAGCTCGCAAAAGTGCCCCGCCAAGCCCTCCTTCACTTCCGTCATCGTCGCCCTCACCGCGAGCAGCGCCGCGCGCTTGCACTGCGGCGACAGCGCGTCCCCCAGCACCGTGTGCGACACCAGCTGCTCCTCCATCGCGCCCAGCCGCCCGAGCACGTCCGCCGCCTCGAGCCGCAGCGTCCGCTCCGACCGGCCCACGTCCGCCCACACCTGCGTCCACGTCGAGAGACATCCGTGCTGGTGGTACGTGCAGCCGTCCGGACGCGTGAACGGCGGCGGCGTCGTGCGTACGCGCTCCCAGAGCCGCGTCAGCGACCAGTGGCCTGCGAGCAGCCGTGCCTTCTGCTCGCGCGTAAGCACGGCTGGCGTCCCGATCCTCGGCCCGTTGTTCGGCGCCGCTACGGCCACGCCGGCAGCAGCGAGTGCAGGGGATATGCGCGGGCGGGCGTATTGCCTGCCATCTTCGACGACGCCCGGGTCGAAGCCGGGTCCCATTTCGAGCAGTTGCGTGTAGTATGCGTAGCCCGCCAGGGACCCTTCGCCACTTCGGGCTGCGATCTCCAGCGCGTGAATAGGGCGTAGATCGCGTGTCACGATCCGATTGACCCAGCGCGTCGCGACGAGGGTGCGCAGCTTCTCGTGACCACATAGTAGGGCGACTTCGAGCAGTCGTTTCATCCATGCGGAGGAACACTGCGACGGGTGACGTTGTTGCTGCGGTGGGCCGTGTAGACCCGAAACGACGTTGTAGAGCGCGTCGACGGCCCATGATTCGGTGCTCGCAAAATGATATTTGTTAGTCATCTCGCAAATTGTCAAGAGCCGGTCGACGTTTCCCTCCGGCGTGTTGTATTCCTGCAGCTGGTGTGGCCTGTCAAATTAATTTGCGACCCGAACGAAGCCACGTCAGCCTGTCAAGAAATTTCGCCAACTGGTGGAAGAAGGTACGTACAAGGCGTAGAACACCGCTAGAAGGTCGCGGAACCGCTCCGCCGTCTCCCCGTACAGGTGTATCGGATTATCGTCAGAGTACCCCTCCATAGCCTGCCACGGCACGCCGCTCATAGCGGGCATGCTGAACATGTGCTGGAACGCCGAGTCGTCGCGCCCCAGAATGTAGCGGTGGACCTACAACACAGCCCGCCCAAAACGGAGAAAGAACGACAGCCACGTTAGCACGATCGTCGTAACGCGGGTCGATACAAACATCAGATTGGCATCGGGATCGGCACAGGAAGCCCACGAGCGGCGGCACGCTGCCACTCGCTCCAGCGTACCACATCCCTGGAGACTGGTGTGGGGGCCAGCCACGCCCGCGAGCCAATGCGAGCATTGCCAGGTGGGGGGCACGCTGCCGCGCCGCGCCCGACGGCACAGGCCGATTCCCAGCGCGCTCAGTGATCATGATCCCAGCGGCGCGGACGCGTCTAAACACAGCGACGGAGGCAGAACACAGAGATTGCTCACCCTGAACAACGTGTCCTCCACGCGAATCACGCAGTCTCCGCCGTGAATATAATAAACCGAGTCTTGAACCGGCTCCGTTTCCGCTTGCAGCGCAGCCAATCCGGAGGGGCCTTCGTCGGACATCGTCAAGGGCTCCTTCGCGCCAGCTCCACTTGCCGGATGCCGGGACGTGTCGGCGCTGCGCTGGGTCTCGTCACGGTCACGTCTGTCGCCGGACGCGCTAGAGAGCGGACCGTTCTGCTGAGTGTCTGATGGGATAGCGGACATGGAGGTGGATGCCTTGGCTTTGCCCTTGCTCGCGGAGGCAAAGTTGGCTTTCATAGGTGCCACGGAGCCGCTTTGATCGTCCGAGCCGCGCGAGTCGGGACGCACAGCAGTCTGACGTGTTTCGAGGGGTGGGGCGACTGCACTTGCATTGACCACCTGAGAGACACTACCGCTCGGACCAGTGCTTCCCCTGTAGAAGCAGTGGTGGTCAATGTCGGCGCGTGACGAGTCCGGTCCGCACTAGCTGTGCACGACCCCATCTAGACATTTGGAATGGAACATGACACTAACATAGACATGGGCGAGAGCGTACTGGATGAGGAATGTCCGGCTGAGGCAGCGCTAGGTTCGTCCGGCAAGGCATGTGCGTTATAGCTTGGGCTGCTGCGCATGGGGTCGAGAAGCTCGCGCTCCACTGTTCTTTGGCGCTTCCGGGGTGGCTCGTGCGCCTCAGAAGATGGGCCGCCGTTCATGGGGAGGAAGGGGGAAGACTCCACTGTGCTGTCCGAGGAATTCGGGAAGCTCGAAGCTCACGGCGTAGACGTAAGAGGTCGTCAGATTGGGCGAGAGGGTCGCGTGAAGTTGCAAGGTACGCTCAAATGCACGTAAACTCGCGGATGTAAGATTCGGCGTGAGACGGCGGTAGCAGGTGTCTTTCTGGTTTCGCCGGAGGCCAGGGGGAACCAGAGCCTGATTGGATGTCGAGACCTTAGATAGTACTGGTCGGCGAGTAAACGGATGGGAAACGGCAAGGTTGCATAAGGCTACGTGTAAATAGTGACGCCCGCCAAGGAATAAAGCAATAGAGTGAGCTAGAGCCTAAGCAACAGCACAGGAGGCTGAGGTCGTGGTGGTGCTAAAGAAAGTAGCGTTCAAGGAAAACGTGTGGTCTCGAAGTCCTCGGCGCCTAAGCTCCGGCGAATGCCGAGCGTCGAAAACTTGGAGGACTGCCCGGCGCTGGGCACCGTAAACACGTCCTAGACACCCTCCCCCTCCCCTCACTACATTCTCAAAAATGGTCAGTGAACGATGCTTTACCCTGTAGAAATTGATTGCTTACATTTGACATAACAGAGGCCGATTCTTCTTCAGGGTTCGTCGCCGCAAAACATGCATGTATTTCTCCGGAACCTGACCAGGCCCATTCTGTAGGCCACGAGCGTTCGCTCACACAAATCAAGTTCAACCGCGAAGGCGACCTCCTGTTCACATCCTCGAAAGATAGCATCATCAACGTCTGGTACGCGCACAACGGAGAGCGGCTGGGGACATACGATGGGCATAACGGGACGGTCTGGACGATCGATGTCGACTGTACGTCTTTCTCCCTTCTGCTCAGGCATGCACTGGCTCACCGCATGGTACACTCCACCCTTCTCTTCACTTCTGTGATTCTCTCTGCTGCACCGTTCTACCTCGCCGCTTTGATCCTCGGGCCTGCCCTCTGCGATCTTCTGCCGACCTGCCGTCAATCCACTGCAACATGCAGCCTCATCGCGCTTCCTCGTCAGCGGTTCTGCCGACAACACGATGCGTCTGTGGTCCGTCGAGACCGGGAAGTGCCTCTTCTTCTGGGAGTTCCCTACCGCAGTGAAGCGGGTCGCGTTCAACGAGGATGACGACCAGGTCGTCTGCATCACCGAGCAGCGCATGGGCCACCAGGGCGCCGTGCGAGTATTCGAAATTAACCGCGACGGCGATGGCACCAACCGTGAGTACTCTAATCAGCACGGCCAAGCAAGCTGCGGGGCTGTACCCACAGGATATGCTAACTCGGTCCCAGAATCAAAGGAGCCCATCTCCATGTTCAACCCCGTCGGCTCAAAGGCCGTCGTCTGTGCCTTCGCCCACACAGACGACCTCATCATCACCGGCCACGAGTCCGGAAAAGTCTCCCTGTTCGACGCCAAGTCTGGGGAGGAGGTGCAATTGAACGAACACGCTCATCGTGATACCGTCACGGATCTGCAACTCGCGCCGGACCGGTCATACTTCATCACAAGCAGCAAGGACAAGACCGCAAGGGTGCGTGCGGATCGTCGCTCGCAGCACACCTGTTATACTGAGCTTCCTTTACATCAGATACACGAGACCCGGACACTCACTGTGCTCAAGACGTACATCACTGAGACACCGCTGAACAGCGCTGCGATCGCCCCTGGCAAGCCGTACATTCTCCTTGGTGGTGGGCAAGATGCGATGAGCGTCACGACCACCTCGCTGCGGCAGGGTAAGTTCGAGACGCGGTTCTGGCACAAGGTCCTTGAAGAGGAGGTCGGCCGCGTCAAGGGCCACTTCGGTCCCGTGAACACGTGGGTTCATTATGCGCATCGAATGAGGAACATAGATTAACGAGAGATTTGCAGTATTGCTGTGTCACCAAAGGGCGACTGCTACGCATCGGGAGGAGAAGACGGTTTCGTGCGTGTGCATCACTTCGACGAGACGTACTTCCGCGCGAAGCCGTATGGAGACTTGGAGATCGAGGATTAGGTTGTATGTACGATAGAGCGGGCGCGAGGTGGCTGCGCCGCGATGTAGCCGGCTTTTCGTCGGGATGCTTGTTGTTCTGCTGTTCGTTCCTACACGCTCTCAGCTGTAGCTATACTGTATCATCCACACGCGCGACGCACGTTTGTTCATGTTCGCTCGCCATGCGCGGAACGCGCCAGGAGCGTGTCGAGATCGTCGGCTACGAACCTGGAGAGTTGCCTTTAGCAGCAGCGCACCGACCTGATCGAGGAACAAGCATTCAGGCGCCCGCGTCCATTAATTTTCAGTGCGGGCGGTCGCAGCGCTGGCCGGGGTTGATAATAAACGTTCATCTGCTCGGGTCGACGTCGCCCTGCAGCTGCACATTCACGACCGACCAGCCCACTGCGCCCGCACTGACGACGAGCTCGAGCATGCCCCACCAGCCCAACCCAGCCATGCACCTCAGCCGCGAAGACAGCACCCCTGGCGCGACCCTGATTGCCCCTGACTCGCGCGACGAGTCGCGGTCCCCGCCGGCCGTCGACGCCTCCAAGGGCTTCTTTGACTACAACGAGGAGAAAAACCTGCACCATGTATGTAGCCATCAGCTGCGCTAACCTCAGAATCAGCGGGACCCTAAGCGAGCCTCCTTAGATCGAGGAGAAGCTCCTCGCGCACCGCCGCGGCTCAGATGCAGGGGCTGCCTCACGCCCTGGATCTGTCGCCAGCTCGCCAAACCTCGCGCCGAACATACACCATGTCGAGGCGCCTTTCCTGAACCTCAAGCTGACCGCCATCGCGGAGCCCTCACCGTTGCTCACGAGCGGGCGTCTACCGGATCCCGCTAAGAGCCCTGTAGTTGCGCCGGTAGACTCGAAGGGCAAGGGCCGGATCCCTGGTGAGTGTGCTGATCCTTATGGGGCTTAGACTTCAGTCTTAGCCCCGCCTTAGAGCCGTCGCTTCCGCCTGAGAACATCCCGATCTTGGAGGCTCTAGAACGTTGCCTCGATGTTCGAGACAAATACATGTTGGTGTCCGGCCAGAAGCTGGGCTTCAATCCGCGCGACCACGATGGTTTGTTCACCGGCCTCGACGACGACCTCTCGACTGTGTCTGGGGTGCGCCCGGAGGTGGACTGGGAGTCGCGCCCGGCGCCGAGGAACGTCTTCAAGAAATGGCGCATCTACCCGCGCCCCCCTCCCCCACACTGGCACTGGCACGGCAAGGACACGGTGGCCCCAAGCAATGCCGGGTACGAGACTATGCCAGATGAAGAGTTTGACTTCAATACCTGCGAGATACCAGGGCCCCACCAGCTGGATTTCAGTATTGACGAGAGAGGGGTGTATCAGGTTTACGACCCAGCCGCGAGTGAGTGCGACCTTAACCATTGCATGAGGGCATAGCCTGACTAGGATCAGAGGACACGAAGGAACCTGTGTTCGAGATACCCACTATTCGGGAGTACTTCCTTGACCTAGAGAAAGTCCTCGCAGTGATATGCGATGGTCCTACAAAAAGCTTCGCGTTCCGAAGGCTCAACTATCTCGCGAGCAAGTTTACGATGTACTCCCTACTCAACGAACCGCAAGAGCTCGCGGAGGTGAAGAGTGTTCCTCATCGGTACGTTCTGTCCACCTCGCTTTGAGAAGCAGACCTTGATGCCGCCGCCTGTAGTGACTTCTACAACGTTCGTAAGGTGGACACGCACGTACACCACTCGAGCAGCATGAACCAAAAGCACTTGTTGCGTTTCATTAAGTCGAAGATGAAGCGCAGCCCGAAGGTTCTTCGCTACGCTCTTCCGATATATCCGAGTTGTTGCTGACTTCGCGAACAGGACGTCGTCATTTTCCGTGATGGCAAAGAGCTGACCCTTGAGGAGGTGTTCAAGTCGCTTAATCTCACCGCATACGACCTCTCGATTGATACCCTCGACATGCACGCGCACCAAGACTCGTTCCACAGATTTGACAAGTTCAACTTGAAGTATAACCCTCTCGGCGAGTCGCGACTCAGGGAGATCTTCCTCAAGACGGACAACTACATTCACGGTCGCTACTTGGCGGAGCTCACCAAAGAGGTCATGACCGATTTGGAACAGAGCAAGTACCAGGTATGTCATCCCCATAAGATACTATGGTGCCGCTTTTAAGCAATTCGCTATAGAACTGCGAATGGCGCATCAGCATCTACGGCCGAAAGCGCGACGAGTGGGACAAGCTCGCGAAATGGATCGTCGAACACAAGCTGTACTCCCACAACGTACGCTGGCTCATCCAAGTACCGCGTCTGTACGACGTGTACAAACAAGGCGGCTCGATCAATACGTTTGAAGACATCGTACGCAGTAAGTATTTAGGTACCACTCTTTGCAGCATGATATTAAACTGCGTCTCTAGATGTCTTTGAACCTCTGTTCGAGGTGACGAGGGATCCTTCTTCGCACCCTGAGCTTCATGTCTTCCTGGAACGTGTGATCGGCTTCGACACTGTCGACGACGAGTCGAAGACCGAGAGGCGGTTCCACAGGAAGTTCCCATACCCTCGTCTCTGGGATGCGAAGGAGTCCCCGCCATACTCTTACTGGTAGGTTTCGCCGTTCCTTACACTTTTGACTAATTCTTACCGAAAAATAACACAGGGTATACTACATGTACGCGAACATTGGCAGCCTGAACCAGTGGCGGCGCCAGCGCGGATTCTGTCAGTCGCCTTCTCTACCTCCTGTGTTGTACTCGTTCTGACCACTCCTACGTCTTTCCAGCGACTTTCGTCTTCCGGCCGCACTGCGGCGAGGCAGGCGATCCCGAGCATCTCGCGTCCGCGTACCTCACCGCGCACTCAATCTCGCACGGCATCCTGCTCCGCAAGGTGCCCGCTCTGCAGTACCTCTTCTACCTCAAGCAGATCGGCCTCGCGATGAGCCCGCTCAGCAACAACGCGCTCTTCCTCACGTATGAGCGCAACCCGCTCCCGGACTTCTTCAAGGTCGGCCTCAATGTGAGCTTGAGTACCGATGACCCGCTCCAGTTCCACTTCACCAAGGTACGTACTCTTCTCCTTCCTCTCCGCTGTGTCCGATGTTCGGCGTGGATTAACGTTTGTCGCCCCGCGTAGGAACCGCTGCTCGAAGAATACAGCGTCGCCGCCCACGTAAGTGGCGCATCCCCCTCTCCCCACCCGCTCCGCTTATCACTTCGCCTCCTTGTCCATAGATCTACAAACTTCCGCAGAGTTCGCTGGCCGAACTTGCTCGTAACTCTGTCATCCAGAGTGGCTTCGAGATGGAGGTCAAGCGCCACTGGCTTGGCCAAACGTGGTACCTCCCCGGCGCCGCGGGCAACGATATCCACAAGGTGCGTCGTCTCCTTCGTGTTGTGCACCGCACCATCCGCTCATCTTGCGTCACACATTGCAGACGAACGTCCCGAACCTGCGGCTGGAGTACCGGCGCCAGACGTTGGTGGAGGAGCTGACCATGATCAAGACGAAGCGCAGCGTCGAGTCGCAGGCCTACGTCTTCCCGGCCGCGCACGCATAATGGACGTGTATTGTATCATGGATGTCAAGAGAACGGACAGTAGGTGGCAGCCGCGCATGCTCAGACCTTAGGCCTTAGGCCTCGCTTGGAGACACGGACTATCATACTTTTGATCACAATTTCGAGTTAACGCGTTAACATTCTTTCAGCAATAGATGGTGTACACTCGCGATAAAATCGAGGTGTCCCTGTACTCGTTGAGAAGTCCAGGTATGGTGGTTGGTGCCTGCCGATCTGCGACCATCCGGGCGATCTGATCATGAGACGATGCTCTGGAGTCGATGGTGCCCATCACTGGATCTCAGAACTTGATGATATGTTGACATATTGTGCCAACGAGCCATAAGCCTGGTTCGTTGTCCCCAGTACTGTGTATATCGAGTTCAGTTGAGCTAATTTCTCGTTCTAAAGGCCGTCTTGTTGTCGAACATGCGACACTGTTGAAGTCACTGCATCGGTAGTACAGCTGCGTGAGATTTGATACAACGCCCTGCCAGTCTGGCAGTCACCACAGCCTGCTTCATCCGACATCGACGGAAGCACTGATCCGACGACAACAGCCCGTGATTTCGAACTTCGTCACTGGGCGGCCTCTCAAGTGCTCACCGCCATAGTCGAAACGGTAGGAGCCCGTCAGTACAGCGGCTACACGCGGGATCCTTCCTGCTGTCAATCATCTCAGAATGCGGACGCAACGCTTCATTCATTCCGAGTCTTCTACGACTTCTATGCACTGAAGACGCTGGCAAGCGTTGTCTTGACATCTGGTACCTTGTCGCGATCAGCATGAGCGCGTCCTGCGCAGTGAGCCATGTGAGCGGCGTATAAACGTAATTACTGTGGTCTACCCAGACCCATCATACCCCTCTTACTCCCTTAGGTACCTCCCCTTCGTAATCCCTTCGTCAAGGAGGATGCTCGCTCATTCATTCGTTTCCTTGGCGGGCGGGATTCTGTCTTTGATCTCTCCCGCCCCCTTTGTTTCGGCCCAGCTACGCCTTCAAAGCGGCGTGGAGTTGGTTCGCAGATCGCCCACATCAGATAATGTTGGGGTGTTCACGCCTGATGACTACCGGGTATGTGCTTCAATGTTAACAGAGGTCATGCTTCCCTCTGACATGCTTCCAACAGTACTTCACCACCGTTAATTTGGGAGGCCTCAGTATGTGATTAGCTGGTTGTATCATACTCGCCGCTCATCTGGGGGCTCGATAGACCTGACTCTCTACGTGGACACGGGTTCCTTTGACCTCGTTGTATACCCGCGAGGACGAAATATCAAGTTGACGAACTCCACCAACCTCCATGTCAATGAAATCTATGGCATAGGGGAGGCAGAAGGCGACATTCAGTTCGCCGACCTGCGGATGGGGGATATCACTATCTCGTCTCAAGGTCCCGCGAATTCCGCCAGTGCCGGTAGTTCCCATGCTAACGTACCTCATCCGTAGCGTTCCTCCTTGCGACAGAGACGCAGAACTTCGCAGCATACGGAGACGGCATCTTGGGCTTGGGCTTCAATGGTTACTCTACCGTCTACAACACGCTCGCTAGGACGTACGGCGCGCAGTTCGCCGCGCAGACCGGCAACACCCCGGCAACCGCGCTCTTCGCTCAACAACCCAGCCTTCCGAGGACTGTCGATATCCAGCTCAGTCGAGAAGACGAGCTTCGCGACATCACATATGGAACGTTCCTCGTCGGCGAGCACGACGCGAACTTCCAGGATGTCACGAGCGCGCCTCAACTCCCAGTCGTCTCCCCCGGAAATCGGTGGGCCGTGGTCATGGACGCGATGAACATTAACGGCACGCCGTTCACGTTCAACAAGTCGAGCGTACCGGGAACGCCTGACGGCAAGGTCGTCGCCCTTCTCGACACCGGGTACTCGTTCCCGCCGCTCCCACCCGCGGCCGTGGACGCGATCTACTCCAGCATACCAGGCGCCGTGCGCGACCCCAGCCTCGGCTTCCCCTGGGTCGTGCCCTGCAACGCGAGCATCAAGCTGTCCTTTGTGTTTGCGTGCGTCGACGCCTGCTACTAGCACTTGGCTGCAGCAACTGAACTCCCATGCTTGCTTGTAGGGGCCAGGAGTTCTTCGTCCATCCTCTTGATCTCACGTACGTTGCCACGGATGTGGTTGGTACCAGTGGTAACCGCGTGAACGCGGCGGTCTGCGTCAACACGTTCCGGTACAACACCCTCAACCCTGCGGAGTTCAGTGGAAACGACCTCAACGTGGGCGCGCCCTTCATGCGCAATGTCTACGCCTCGTAAGTCCCCGATAGCCATTTTTCCGCAAAAGGGCGGAACTCACCATGCGCGCGGGGCAGCTTCACCTACGGCAGCGGCACAGAGAGCGCGGGCTCATTCGTGCAGATGGTCTCGACGACGCCGGACTTCGACACGGCCCTCCAGGAGTTCCAGACACAGCGCGCCGCGACGCTCGCGAAGTTCCCGCCCGTATTAGATCCAGCCTCCTTGAACATAACGAGCGGTCCGTCCGCGCCGTCGGCGGCGCTGTCTCCAAGCACAGCGCAAACGCCAACACAGTTCTCGAGCGCAGTCACAGTGCAGGGGGCGACGCTCTCGCTCTCTGCTGGCACTGCGTCGCGGGGTACGCCAACGGTAACGGCAAGTGCACCGCAGAACACGACGGCAGGTTCGAGCGCGCAAGAGCCGAGTGGGGCGCTGGGACGGGGGATATGGGGCGGGAAGTTGCTTGGGTCTATAGCGTTGTTATCGAGTGTTCTACCGTTGATATGACCTTTCTGGGCTGCGCATCCTGCTTTGTATCCCATGTTGCTTTCGGATGAGACCTCAGTATACCCTGGGAAGAGGTTCTCTAATTGATTTTACTCTGCTTCGACGGAGACGTGTTGTGTTCTGGTCGATGGCACTCGTCTCGACAGTACACATGTCACATATCCGCCTGGATGGTGTCGGAAAGAGAGTTATAAACTGAGTGAGGTCTATACGATGCTGATACTACAAACGACTATTGCAACATATGGTACAGTGTCTTCTTCGTGCGCCTTCTTCCGTTCCCGTCCCCGTCCGTCTATGCGCGGGCCGCGCGCCATAATTAATACGCCCGCGCCGATACCGATAGGTAGCAGCAGCCGCGATGAAGAGGGGGCTTAGTCCTCCGCGACGTAGCGGTTCGTCTTCCCGCTGAGCTCGGCCTGGACCTTGAGCGCGCGCGGGGCGTCGTTCTTCTCCATGATGAGCTCGACGAGCTGGATGACCTCCGGGTTCGCGAACTTGGGGTCGTCGAGCAGCGCGGAGAGCTCCGTCTTCGTGCGCACGGTGTACGACTTGCAGTTCTTGCCCTCCTCGCCGCCGAGCGTGTCGAGCAGACTTGTCCATTTCCTGAGGGCGCGAAACGTGTTAGCAGAACCCGCGGAGGGGGGAGGGAAAGGAGCGCACCAGTTGTGGATGTCGTTGTACTTGCGCGTCATGCCGTGCAGGTAACGTTCGATGGTGTAACCGCTGTTGTTGAGCACGAAGATGATGGGCTTCAGGCCCCAGCGGATCATGACCGACAGCTCTTGCACGGTCAATTGGCTGTAAACCAGTCAGCATACACGAACGTAGAATAGCATAAGGCAGCATATACGCACATGGAGCCGTCACCGATGAAGAGGATGGTGCGGTTGAGGTTGCGGTCGAGGCCACCGAACGCCGCGCCGAGCGTAGCACCGACGGTCCAGCCAATGCTGCCCCAGAGAATCTGGGAGACGAAGATCGAGTCCTTGGGGAGCGGGATGTCGAGCACACCGAAGCTCGACGTGCCGGTCTCCGCGACGATGATATCCTTTTCTTGGAAGAACTGGCCGACGCGCGGCCACAGCCAGCTTTGCGAGATGATCTCGTTGTCTTCCTTCGGGACCGGGAACTGGAACTTGGGCACCTCCAGTGCGGCTGCGCCCGCCTTGTATGGCTGCAGACGTGCGGTGAGCTTGGGGAGGAGACGCTTCATGCCGATGCCGGGGAAGGTGGCGAATCGGATGCGGGTGTGGTCGGAGTGCAGCTACGAGGGGAAAGAAAATAGTGTTAGATCATGTACATCTGTTAAGCCTCATTATCAGGACACACACCTCGATGGTACGTTGGGTGGGGATGTGGTACGTGAAGTTACCGGTATTGAAATCGCTCCTCAAGCCGCCGATGGACAAGATCAGCTTCGCGTTTTCAACCTTCTCCTTCGCCGCCGGTGCGGAGATCGAGCCGACGTAGATCTGAAGGAGAGTCAGCAGAGCTCAATGGGCGCGCATATCAGAGAGCAACGTACACCGCCATAACGCTCGTAGGTCTCAGCGACCACGCTCTTGCCCATGGGGGCGGAGTAGACCGGGAAGCCGGTATGCTTGTAGAGGTCCTCGACCTCCTGCTTGACGCCGTGCCGGACGGCACACGCATCGATGAGAAGGATCGCGTCGTTTTCTGCCTCTTCTACGAGCTTGATGATCTCGTTGAGTACGAACTCCTCCGTCTCCTCGTCGTTGGCGGGAGGCTCGATGTTGAGGGGCGTCTGGAGGCGCTTCGCGGAGATGCGCTGGTAGGCAACATCGGTGGGGAGCATAAGGTATACGGGGCGAGCCTAAAAATAGCCGTACGTCAGTACCTTTAAAAAAGTGCAAGTGAAGGAGTATATATACCATAACTAAGCACTCGGTGAGCACACGGTCGATCTCGGCGGCAGCGGTGTCCTTGTTGTTCAGGTTGCCCTGCGCGACCGTGAACTGCTGGGAAGCCAGGTAATACGCGTCGTAGCTGTTCGGCGTTCAGCATCGGTGGCAGCAAGTGGATACATGGAAACTCACCGGCCATCGCCAAGAGTGTGGTGGAGCATGGGCTTGTCCTTTTGCTGAGAGGTACTCGGCACACCGACAAGGTGGAGGACGGGAATGTGCTCCGAGAAAGCTACGGGCAGGTAATTATCAGAACGAGTTCGAGAGCGGGGAACCCAATCGACTTACCACCAGCGATACCGTTCATGGCACTCAGTTCTCCGACACCGAAGCTGGTAGCCTGTCAGCTTAGGTGTATGCTGAGCATTAGATCATATGCTCACGTCGTGAGTACGACGCCGATCTTGCCGTCGTTGACTCGGGCATAGCCGTCAGCGGCGTATGCGGCATTGAGCTCATTGCTGCGAAAGCGTAAGCGAGATCCACAATGAAATAGGGCAGATAGACTGACCAGTCGCCAACCCAATCAATCTTGGGGTGGTCCTCGACGAAATCCTGCGAGATGGTCAGTGATCGCGTAACAGCTGCCGAGATCTCGATGAGCGCGTACCAAGAAGCCTAGTGGAAGGACCGATTAGCGAATGCAACGCGCATATATGTAAATGCACATACCAAGGTTGAAGTCTCCGGGGACACCAAACATTTTCTGTAGCGCGATCAGCTTCGGAGTCACGATCAGAGCATAGAGGATGAGCGTACGGTGATACCGAGCTGGACGAGCCGCTCGACGAGGTACTGGCCGACGTACATCGTCTGTTCGGCGGCGGGAGACTCGTGTTCTCCCTTGAGGGTCTGGAGCTCATGGCGGAGGCGGGTCACCTCGGTGTGGAGGGAGGCGACTGCCTGCTGTGAGGTCGCAGATGACATTCTAGTTCTGGTGGTTGTATGCGGTGTGGGGGGGTGGTGATGCTGAAGCGGGCACAGGGGCGAGCTTATATACGCACCGGGAGTCGAAGATCGGAGGTGGTGGGTGATCTGGAGGATAAGCGGGACGGAGGTGAAAGTCGGAGAGCAGGGACTAGAGCGGATGGGACCGCTGGGCTCGCCGGCGGGCAGTCCCATATGGCCCAGGTCCGTCCAGCACTCGGACGTCCTCCGTACATTCGCTGACCTTCCTTGTCGACGTCGGCCGCGCCAGATTAGATTAGATCGTGCCTTCTCCCATCTCTCCCCCGATCTCCGCGACTCCAGCCACTTGACCTCTTCCTCCTACCGTCCGCAAGCCGAAAGCGTGTACCATAAAATAGCAGTTTGCCGAACTCCTACTCATCCTGAGTGCATCTGCAGAGTCCACAGTGCCTACCCACACGGCCCTGCGCAGGTCTGGTCACCCCTGCTCTAGATCAGCCTTCAATCTAGACCGGCCACCCGCGAAGCGCCCACACCCAGTGCGGTCCCGGCCGACTCTCAGCCTCACTCAGATCTTCGCAATAACCGCACACACATGCTTCAGGCAGTGCAGTAGACCCCCGGGCCAATGATATGCACGATCGCGGGCGGGCGGGCGGGCTAAGAAAAGGGACGGAGTCGACTCACGTCTGGGCGGCCCGTTCTGGAGCACCTGAGCCAGTGCTTTGCAACGTTCAGCGTAAAGGCTCCGACTCTGTCCATGCCCTGACCGTATCCCGCCGCCACCCGCCCCTCAACCTTCCTCAAAGTTCTCGCTGAAGACGTGCACATGTTATTGGGCAATGCAAGGCGCTGCGGCTGGGTATCGATTGCTATCGCTCTTGACAGGAGAGATCAGACATGTTCCACTCGAACTCTCTCTCTAAGGATAGAATCAAGCGACGCGGCGAGTGTGGCTCACCGGAAGACCCTTGACGTCGATTTCCACATGTAACGGTCGCCCCGTGTAGCTCGGGTAAGCACACACGCACATTTGAGTCTCGCGCGCAGTCAGCCTGGACTAGGAAGAGCGATCACCTGTTACTGAAGTTCGTATGAAGATAGCTGGGCAAGTGAGCGAGTGAATATTAGAAGACGCAATGAAAGACGCAACATGCTTACCTTCCGATCGCCTCGCATGCGGGAGTAATGCCATACGCAGGTGACTTATAACTCCTACTCAGCGGCGCCCACGAATAGATAGAAGCGCGAACTGTGCTCGTATTCGGCCCGCACTAAGGGCGCAGCGCAAAGTCTATGTGCGGGAAGAAAGAGAAGGGGGCGCAAGACCGCGCAGATGATACACCAGCCAGTCATGTCGTAAGAGGTCGTGAGTAAGTAACAAGCACGAGTAGCGATGGTTTCGACAGCGGCCGCAAGGCGGAACCCGTCGGTCAAGTGTCCGGTGGCGGGTATAGCATGAAGGTAGGTAAATGTGCCGCAGGGCGGCGGGGGAACAATCCAGGGATAGGGCAGAAGAGAAGAGCGAGTGGAAGCCTGTCCGAGGGGGAGAGTCTATGGTGAGCTTTTGTACAAGGGGTGCCGGGCTGGTCGACAGTGAGGCAAGGGGGTAAACGTAGAACTGAGATGGGTCTAAGCTGATAATGATATCGCAAGCGCGGCGAACATCGCTGCGGCGAGAGGCCATGATGGCGCGGGTAGCAATGACAAAGCGCCACTGCAGTTGTCATGATGAATGATCAGTGAGAGCTCCGGCAGAGAAGACGTGGGCAGCACGTACGATGTGCTCGCGGGTTTCGAGACGATGCTAACCGTCAAGACGGCCACAAGGCCGTCAACGGCGAGCGTATTCGCGTTACCGACGGATCCCTCGTGGTTCACCCCATCGGTAGAGTTGGAGGCAATCCCAGAGAGATACAACGCGTCGGTCTTGTAGGTATAACCGCCGAACGACGTCTGTCCAGAATACGTCGTTCCGTTGGTAACATTCCCCGTAGGTATCAGGGACGACTGTGCTGTCGCGTTTCCCACGAGCCAATCCCTATAAAGGCCGAAGTGAGCGTGTGTGGCTGACGGTAATCATTCAGACTGCGTACCGGCCAAGGTTATATCTGTGAACACGGAATTAGCTTCGGACATTCCGTAAAGGGACGCAACGTCACATACCCGTCGAATATAATGTCGTGGCCCACTAGGATGAAGGTCGGTCTTATGCAATGGTCGTGGGGATGGAAGAAGCTTACTTTGAATGGGTAGCTCGTAAGACGTAGCCAAGAAATATGCACCACTGCTACCAGTCAGCACGTTAAGGCACTGAGGATGACGAGACACTCACCTGTCTGCTTGGCTCCCGTCTTGTACCCAGTAGCGGAAATGGTTGCCACCCTTGATAGTCTCTTGGCACGTCCCCAGCTCTGGGTCACCATAGTCCCATCTCAACTCGGACGTTTCGTTCACTGCAGATGGTGTAAGCGACACACAGGTCGCCCGGTGGACGTTGCACTTGCCTTGACCCTTGCCATCCCCCAAGTTGGCTGTTTGCGCGTCTCCGGCGTGTTGTCCGAGACATTCCGCGCCGAAGCCGACAGACCTACCTATGCGTTGGAAAGGCGAAGGGGTCGGCACATACATGAGAACTCACAGGAAGTAGTTTCTTAGGCCGCCGTTGTCCTCCGAGTCCACCAGAACCTCAGAATCCGAATTGGCCGACAGAATGACGTTGAGCGGCTCTCCGAGACCGCCCGTATTGGGAGCAATCTGCCCACCACGTTCAACCTCTGCGCCTCGAGGTCCAGGAAGCCACGCACCGTCAGCATCTTGCCCCCCGTCTGTGTGGGATCATAGAAGCCCGCTGGAGGCACGGAGCTCGCTCTCCGCCAGAGAGGGCTGGGAGACCGGGCCTGCTCGCGTGAGTCGCGCGCGAAAGAGAGTGCGGGGGCGCATAGGAGGAAGAGGAATAGCGTCGTGGAGGCCATGTTGGCTTGCAAGCACGGCGTGGGGCGGGATAATGAGCGTATCGAGGGAAGGCAGCAGCGCGATGGTCAAGGGCAAGCCAGAAATTGGACGTTTCCGAATCGGGCGGTTGCTCCTCCTCCCGCCTCTTATATAAGCGGGACAATAATTAGAACAGTGCAGATGTCCTCGCCGGCGCCGGTGCACCTCGATGGAACTCGCCCTCTGCATCATCTCCCCATCGGCCCTTGTTGCAGCGAATCGCTTCTGAGCTCTTCGGCATGTGTCTCTTGCGGGGGGCTGCCAGCACTGGGCCCGACGTCGACGCCGGTGTGCACCCGCCGTCGCGTGGCGAGCTCGCGCGGTCTGCCCATGCCATGCCGCGCGCTGTTCATCCCGTCGTGCACTGGTCAGAGTTCAAAGATAGTTCGGCAACGCCTCCGTGATTGGCATGCCCGTCGATTGTCGCTACGTAATCCGTAGTCGCTCGAGCGCGAAGCTTCCTCGAGCATCCAGAACTCACCTTTCCAGCGATCCCCTTGGACTTCTCCCAACTCTAGCCGCGACCTCCGCCACTCGATGGTACGACTCTGTCTTTGCTACGGTCGGCCATCATAGCGAACCTCGGATGCTGTCAACGCCGTGACAAAGAACGGGCATCGGAAATGTGGTCTTGAATGGCCGAACAAGGACGGCTCGAACTGCCAAACTGTCGGCGTAGGCCGCGCGAAGCTGCATCGCCTTGGCCGCGAGCGTACGACCGGGTCGCTTGGCGGCTTTCTTGACAGAACTTGGACAGAACCACACCTTGTATGTTGTCGTCCTGGAGAGGGAGGCGAGGTCATTGTTCTCCGGCGCCGAGTCGGACGACAATTATTTGAACGCCTTGAGCGCTGGGCATAGGGCCTCGAACACGTCAGGCATGGCAAGCAAACATGTTGCTTTTCCTTGTACACTGATGATTACCCGCTCTCCAGGCCTTCGGAGGCTGTACGGACAGGTTACGTTACGTATACCTCACTGCGCGTCACTGCCTCTGGACGTAGCCACAGGGTGAATACAAACCCAATCCTTGATGGCAAACGCCTCTCTGATTGCAACACAGCTGTGGTGCGTACTACCTGCAATAACACGCTTCTTGTTCACCACTATAAGATAATCCCAGTAGTTAGCAGCAAACAAGATTCGATGTGCAAGTGCATATATTTAGCAAGCATCCGCCATCCTGCGCAGCTCGTAGGTCGTGTCGGAGAAGCCGCAGCAAGAAGTTATACTTGCGAAGGCGCTATCCATTTGTGGGCTTATCCCCTCGACATTTTCTCATAATGGCCATGAAGCCCGTCACTCTAAGTCGTCCTCGGCCGTCGGGCCATACCATCAATGAAATGAACGCCGGACCTGGCAATTTGCAGCGATGCTCAGGAGCTCGAAGTGAGCTATGTTAGTCCCATCATACCGAGGTCCGTGATTTTTTTCGACGTTCAGTACCTTCCTGTAGGGCTCGGCGGAGGCCTGAACAGTATGACACCGCGAATCGAGGCTCGTTCAACGGACTTCTATGCGCAGTATGCCGTGGTCTCACGAGGTTCAAGTGAATGCAACATCATGCGTGGTGCATGATATCTCCGCACAACAAACCTTCCTATCGCGCCTACTCCGTGACCTTATGACCATGCCTGCACAGGTCTGGTCGTCTTCGCACACTGTCTGCTTCCTATCCGCAGGCAGGCACGTTCGGTGCTAGTGGCACGCCGTACTTAAGACATGATGTTATGTCGGGCAATACCCGGGACCTACTCTGCGCTCACCCCTAGTACAGCGCTCAGCGACTCTCTGTGCACCAGATGTCCGCCACCTTCAGCTCGGTATTGGTCACCGGAACGGGCTCCTCGTTCTTCGCAGCCCCTTCAGCATCACAGAGCCCTGGCGCTACGGGCACCTCTGCGGCGACTGCATTCGCCAGCAGCAGCCCGTTGCCTGCTGCTGGCGATAACTTCGACCCGCTAGGGCTCCCTGATTTCGACACGTTTTTGGGCCTCCAGGCCACGCTGAATGCGGCCTTGGGTCTCCTTCTGTTTGGCCTGCTCTTCTCGGCGATGTACGTAGACTGCATGCATCGCCTCTTAGCGCTGTTTATCTGATAATGGTGTCTCCCCTTGACAGTGCGTTCGGAGCGGTATGCACCAAGGCAATGGCATACGTGTGTCAAGGTTCCGGGCAGGATGGGATTGCTACTAGGCTTATTGTAAGTGCATTCCGTTGAGCTGCAGAGGAGGCTAGTTGATGGCGCCAATCCAGGTCGTGGTGCTCGTGTATGTAGCCTTTTCCTTCAACGATAGGCGTCCAACAATTGAGTCGTGTCATCGCAAGGCTGTTCAACTTCGTTCAGATGGCTTTTACCACGCATGCTGTGTATACGTCCGTGGTCGTCGACTTCGGCTCCCTGTCCGACCTTCTCAACAACGAATGGTGAGCGCGATGTGCCTCTACATGGGATAGACCTGTATGCTGACCTGACCGTATGACGAAAGGAGCATCATGGTGAGCATGGGCGAGTGCGACGTGCACCATACGCTGATCACTTCTCTCAGATTCAAATCGCAGTTGTGGTGCGTTGAATAATACTGCCCCGTCTAGAGGAATGCTAACGAGAGAAATACTCAGACGTTCATTGCGTCGATCGCCCAAAGGTAAGGGCGGGGATTTCGGGAGCTGTTTCTTACATGCTAGTTATTCAGTTTCTTCGTCTGCCGCCTCCACGCTGGTACGTTCTTCCCCCGCAAAACCGGGAGTACGCTGTTATTCATTTCCATGCTATCAGCCAAACACAACATAGGTTTCACGGTGACTGCCGTAAGTTGGACAAGATCACTGTGGGACTCGACCGCTGACATAAATTTCCCATAGACGATGTTCATAGTCCTGCAGCTCGGTGAGTCATGTTTGTATACTACTTGCAGTTGACTTGCTCATCGTGACGTCGCACAGCGTTGTCTATCTGTGAGCGGTGTTGTTCAATGTACTCCGTCATACTCCTGATCCGCGTGCTGCAGACTCTGTCGTATACATGTAGGTGGTCGTTGACCCGAGGATGGTGACAAAGCTAACTGAGTGTATTAGGTTCCAGCAGAACTATGTTACCGTAATGCTGATTAACACCGCCGACGTCGTGAGTGGGAACCTGTTCGACGAGGCTATTATGAATGACTGACACCCGAATCGCACAGTGGCCGATGACCACCACCTTTAGCATCTCCGGCGGGCTCAACATCGTTCTCGCCGCGCTCGGCTACGTGTGGCTGCAGAAGCCATATGCGCGTAAATTGTACGTGTTGACGGCACATGATTCGATATTTTGGTTGATCGTTCAAGCGTGCCTGCTGCAGCCGTGGCAGGACGGCCTTCGTGGATGAGGCCGAGTACTGGACGCTCAAGAGTCTGTTCGCATGTGGGTATGTACTGCGTCCACCTGACGTTGCAATCTACTTATGACGATCATAGAATCCTCTCGCTATACAATGCCGTCGGAGTGACGATCATGGGCCTCAACCTCAGCTGGTTGGCTGTCACCTTCGTCCTGGGAAACCGTACGTCTTGCAATGTATACAGCGAAGTCTGGAGTTATATTGATATTTGTTCAAGTGTACACCCTTAGCGTGCTCCTCAAGCAAGTGTTCCTTTCCCGGCTTACGAGGCTTGTGTAAATCTAACCTGGCCGTGTTTTAGTGTGACTGAACGGCGTCCGGTCGCGCCTATCATGCTGTCCGTATCGCCGGAGCCCCGCTCGGACGTTGCTAGTTCGACCGGTCGCGCTTCCACCGCTACTCTGGCGCCCGACTCGAGCCTGTGGGACGACATCGTCAAGGCTCAGACGATGTACCCGGTGGAGCCTCCTGTGATGACCAGTGTCAAGGTGAGTTACATTCCTTAGCCCGACCTATTGTGCTAAACACATAACGGCAGGATAACGAGAAGGAGAGGTTTGCTCTCGGCTACTATCCCGGCGGATCCGCGGTGAGTGAGAGTAAACGCTTGTTTATGCGATATGTGCTGACTATCATTGAAGGTCTAGCGTGCCCGTTCTTCATGAATCCCCACACGGCAACTGGCAATGGTTCCACGCCCAAGTATCGGTTTGTGAGCAGTGGGACTCGAGTTTGATCCGGACAGGCACCCAGTAAATCATACAAACACTCATCTGGACTACGGAATGCTTGCGCTATGTACCGAACGATGTGCTGAGTTGGCAGAGCAAACAGACAGTCTGTATACGTATGATCGATCCACGTCTCCATGTATCGAGCTATCGCGGTGTGCAGATATCTGGATTTTACGACTCTCAAGGCGTCGACGTGCTGTGTACATCCCGGTGTTTCTCAGATGGTGGATCCCCGTACCCGGCGTGGCGTGTATCCGGACGTCAGTCTCACAGATGGCGGACATTGCGCGCCCCGTGAGTTGAAAGACATCTCCAGCATTTCGTAGCGGCCAGATACAGCCCAAACCATGTCCACTTCCCCAGCACACCCTGGCGGTCAACGGGGAAGAATGAACAGCGAGACCGAGGGAAGTCTTCATTCCATATGAGTATCTGGAACAAGCTCTGAGCGTGCGAAGCCTCGCCCGATTCAGCGAGTTCTACCGTAGAGACCGCATATAGCCTGATTGGGCGATCTCGCAGCATGCAACAACATGAGAGACAGTTGAAGTAGGCACAGATATGCAGAGAAGGTGGCGAGCGGCGCACAATAAAGGGGGGCGAAGGACCTGGCGTCGAGGGAAGACAAGATCGACGCTGTTGCGGGCGGAAGAGCGCGAGAAAGCATGGAAACGAGGACACAGCGTGGACGGTTGGCAGTGACGCCGGTGCGCACCTTGTCTCTTCACTTCACCTTCGTCGCTGTCCCGGCCGTCTGCGACGACGACGGCCCTGCCTTTCGTCCTTCCTTCTGCACGCCCCTCGTTTTCTCATGATCTTCTGTCCGTCTAGCTTCGTCCGATGACCCCTCGCCCTACGCTGGCTCCCAAGTCTCGTCCTTTGTCGGCAATTTTCATCGGGTCTGCTGGTTCAACGCCCCCCAACCTCCCCGACCTGCCTGAACCGCCTAGCCCGAGCACCTCTTCCAACGCTTCTGGCCTGCCCAGTCCGCCCGCCACTAACTCCACGGGCAGCGGAAGCGTCGGCGAAGGCAGCATTAACGCCGGCAGCGTCCGTCACCGCCCGCTCAGTATCAGGTCTTCCTCAGACATGTCTGGCGGCTCTGGCGACCGCTCCTACGGCTACAACAAGAAGAGAGGGTCTACTCTGGACGACGAAGACGAACAAGATGAGAATGAAAACGATGAGGATCACACCGCGCGGCTGTCGGATGATCGGAGGCGCTCCTTCCCCAAAGCTGCCTCCGATAACCAGAGCGCGCTGCAGCGGGTGAAGAACTTGACGCAGAGGAATCGAATGGTATGTGATTCCGAGTCTGCAAATGCGCATATACTCACGGTTTCTGCTATCGATCTTCGCGATGAAACCTGACTCTTGTCCTCGGCTAATGTGCTGCGCGACGGTATTGGACGCAATCCATCATGTGTCGTAACATCGACTTGGTCCTTGTGTGTGTACAATACAGGTCCTAGACAAGCTTTCTTCGATATCTCGCGGCTCTCCTGTTCCCTCCAACCACTCGCGGTCTCCCATTTCTCCTCCTACAGCAGGCTCTTCTTCTTCGTCCAACACATCTTCGTCCCGCGCTCAGGTATTGCAACCTCGTCCTCAATCCGTCTCGAATGGCAGCAACGGGCGACGTCGCGACACCCAACAATCTGGCTCAGAAACCGAGCGTGAAAGTCAGTATAATCACTCGGAATCGTCTGATGGTAGGCCGAGTACACCGCCCCCGCCGCCTTCTGCGTATCCCGAGATTCGCGCCCCAGCATCAGTAAGGCAACGACGTATATCCGCGCCGGCCTCTCCAAACAAGGTCGGCAAAGCTTCTCGCGACAGAGACCGTGCACCATCTCCGGGACCCTCAAGGACGTTTCGGAAGCGAGTGTCCACCGCGCTCTCTGTGGACGAGGGATATGAGCAGTATCGTTCAGATGACGAAGATGTCACGGCAGCCGCGCTCGCTGCAGTGGCATCGTCTCGGAGAAGTCCAAATAACGGGAGCGCTAAGAAGGGCAGACAGCCCTTGCCTAGAGAGTTCATGGAGAGGAAGAACTCGGATGAGAAGGTATGCCTATTTAAAAACGGTGTAGAGCTCATGGCGAATCAAACCTCGTTTCTCTCATAGCCTCTCATCGAGCCTGCAACTCCTCATCGACACTCTGCTCGTAACGAGCTTGGACGGGCTTCCCCCTCCCCCCGGAAGAACAGAGTCGTAGCGTCTGACCCGCCAGCTTCACCTCGGCGACTTGGACAGGCGAGGTACTCGACGGTGCGCGAGCTCACGCGCAAACACCAGACTCGATGGATGTCGGAAGACCTTTCCTCTCCCTCCAGGGACGCGGTCGACGACTCTTACGATGGCGATGGCATGGGCCGACGCCAGGGCCACCGAACCGGAAGCTCCGAAGGCCTGTTAGGGGCCGCTGGAGGGCGGAGCTTGATCGGGGAGGGACTGCGGGCGGCTGGTCTCGCGAAAAGGAGGGATGAAGACGTGTTCACCTATACGCATGGTGAAATCCAAGCCATCCCACCACGTCGAACACGTTCCACCGGTAACTCCTCGGTCATTGCAGATGGTCAAGGAAACGGGTCGCCAGAGCAGCAAACCCGAGACAACACAAGCAGATGGGTGGAAGAGGGTGCTGGGCCTCCGCGGGATCCGAAGACCCCCCTCAACGGCACCTACAGGTTCACTGATCGCAGGCCCCAGAGCGGGATGGCGGCTCGTCCCGGCACTTCTATGGCTGCACTGCATCACGACGCTCGCGAGCAGGCTCCTCCACGGACTGCTCCTCCAGCCTTGCGTTCGTACAAGTCGACTTACGCCCTTCCGAACAGGCTGGTCGACAACTTGCAGGATCAGTCAAACCACGAACGCGCTTCGTCATCGCCGTTCTCCTCCCACAGGCCGCTTACCGCACAAGGCGGTGCGCGAGACAGCAACGCAGAGCATCGGCGACTCATGCTCGAGTCCTTGTCGATGTTTGAGTCTCAACTGTCCCGCCTACCTCCGATGGGCCAAACCTCCACTACTACCATTCCAGAAATCTTCCAGAGCGCTCAACACTTGGTGCACGCGTTGGACAAACTCAACGGCATGCTGAAGGAGGGCACCAACCGGGCGCTTGAGTCGCAGATAGACGCGGAAGTCTCCGATTACAAGGACGGGGTCGACCTTGTGGAGCTGTGGCAGGAGGTGGGCTCGGATCACCGCGAGAACCTCCGTGTTAGCGACGAGGTCGTGCGCAATATGACTGGCTTCCTCTTGGGCGTTGGGAAGATTCTCCGAGATGCTACCTCATACGGTGGCCAGCAGCATCTCCGGACGATGAGCCTTGACGAGGAGGTCGTGCGTAGGGGTACACCAGACGTCCCGACCAGCGGCGGCCGTGACTCTGACGGTCGCCGCAGTCGGGAGATGAGACGGAGCTGGGAGCCCGGCAAGGAGACCAACAGGCTCCTAACACGGTTGTCCAGCTTGGAGAGGAATGGCACCACGAGGTCTCGGCCGGGGTCCGCGATGAACCTAATGCGGGGCTCCGCTACGTCCAGTAGCGAAGGACGTAGCAGCAGCGACGCAGCGAACGACGGCACCCCGGCCACGATGCGTCAATCCGCGCCCATCTCCACCGCAACCTCCGCCGCACGACGTCTGTATGCCCCGAGGGACCGAGGGGAAGTCGCAGCACCTCTCGTGACGTCGCTGGGCTCGGAGGAGTACCTCGGCGACTACGAGCCCTCCCCGACACCTGTCTCCCGACAAGCGCATGTCGTGCTGCCAGAGCGTCGTCTACCCCCCCTTTCCGTCGCGCCGACCCTGTCTACCGTGCCATCGGAGTCGCTGCTGACGCGCAGCAGCACGGGCTCATCGGACAAGACGAGCAGACGCAAGATCTCGTCCAGTTCGATCGTCACCGTCCGCGCCGAGCCCTCCACATTCGTCCCCATCATCAAGCCCTCCAACCCGACCACCGCCCTCACCACCCACACGGTCTCCGCCTCGCCAGAGACCAACCGAACGCCCTTCCCCATGTTGCGGAGTGACTCAAGCAGCTCGATGCGGAAGAACGGTGTCACGTTCTCCCGCCCCGCGACGATGTCCGTGTCGTCCGCGCTGAGCGGCCTTCAGCAGCAACATGAACGGGGTGCGAGAAGCCGCACCACATCAAACACCTCTTCCGTTGCTGACAACCAAACCGTAGTACTCGCGCCCCCTCTAGCCATCTCTTCCTCCACCTCCGGATCCGAGTCGGAGAGGGAGACGCGGTGGAAGACTCTGAGCTCGCGCCCCCGTGTCTCCCTCGACAGCAACCGCAGCGGGGACAGCCCGATCGATGGCCCCGACCGAAGCATGGCTACTGTATCGTTTTCCGCCGCCCGCAAAGAACGCCGCAGAACTATCACCGAGATATTCCAGAGATAGGCGTTTTCATGTCTTCTTTTGGGTACGTTCATCCGCTCGTTTTGCTATGGTGGAGCCTATCTGACCAACCGTCCAACAGACTGTAGATCAGACCGTACTGCCAGTGTGCCTTCGTCCCGCCCGCCGCGCCCCATTGGACCGGCTTTCCTCCCCTTTACTGCCCCCACACCACCGGACAGTCCGTAGTCTTTCTCTTCGCGTTCATTCTTGGCCCCACGCCCGGCTGCCGCACGCACGCCGAGGGGGCGCGTGTCCGTCGTCTCCGCCGCGCTCGCCCCTGTTCCTCTCTGTTCCGATATCTGTGTCTCTCTCACTCTCTTCCTCTCTCTCACCTCTGTATCCCTCCCGAAGACGCACGTATGTTTATGGGCTTCATGCACGATGACGAGTCGCCCCAAAGTACCCCTTGCTAATTAACTATAGCAATGTAATGGGATGATGTTCAAACGACCTAACACACACGCCCTTGTCGGCTTGCAGCGTTGCCGCCTTCTGACTTCCATCTGCTGTTCAAGAGGCTTATCCCCGGGCCGTGGGTACGGTCGACGCCGACGACGCCGCACGCATAGGTGAGTGATTAACTTCTCATTGGATCTTCAGGTACTGAGATTTACCCCCTGGGGCTAGCCAGGCCTGCCGGGCCTTTTGCTGTAGCCCCGATGTACGCAGAAGGCATTGCATTAACGACGCCTCAAACGTCAGTCCGAGCCTGCTTGCTCGACGAAGTCGCTCTGTTCGACTGGGCCATCAACGTACGCGAGAAAGCTCGTCGCCCGTTCAAACGTCAACGCCGCAATCAGGGAACGTCGCGCAAGCGTCCGGTCCCGCCGTCTCATGCTTTACGAGATCCGGAGAGTACGCCCGCGAGGCGAGTGAGAAGCCTTGCCAAATAACCTACTTCGACGCTTGCGCACCTGGTCAGACCTGGTCCCGCGAAGCACTCCGCCAGCCGCATCGGGCGAGCGTCCCGGTGAGGTACCGAGTGGATGCGCTCGCCCCCGAGATGCCCTGCGTCCACACCGCCCGACCGCGTCTGCTTGACGTGGTCACTACTCAACTTGTACGTCGTATCACAGAGGTCATGGAAGGCGGCGAGTCTGAATGGTTGAGGGTGTCCGATAGAGCCGCCCGCTCCACTCTTCTACCAAACGGCCAGCGTGCTGCGCCCCGCGCATTTTCGCATCTGAATGGCTTTTGACTCCCCGATGCCTGCCATGCGCTCTATCGTCGCGCCGATGTGTGCTTACGGAGCCTTTTGTGAAGTACCGGTTGCTGGCAACGGCCGACACGCTCGCACACTGCTCGCACGCACGGTCAGTTAGTGCATGGCCTCACGCTCGGGGGCTGTAGGAACCCGGGAACGGGCGCGTGAGTTCACAGGTGCGCAGTGTTCAGGAATCTATAGAAAATTCACCCTCCTGGTACTAGTTGAGGTGCGCGCGTATCGCCACATACGGGCGTAGTCGAACCAGGCCGTTCAGTAGACGGTATGCATCCGCGTTCTTGTATGAAGCGAGACAGCCCGGACGCACGCGTCCCGACATGTACACCTAATGGACGGCCTGTGTCCGACTTCAGGCATGCATCTCCGGCGCTGGCCGCCATGAACCTGGGTTGCAAATTAGCGATGGGGTTCCCAGCAGTACCCAGGGTGTCCGAATGGGAGCACGAGGGCCGCCCGGGGCGACCGCGAGGTCTTGCGCAGAAGGCGTAGAAACGTCGCGATGGCGCAACACGACACATCGCTACACATTGCCGCGCGCACGACGGCATCAGGGCTGCCAGATGCGCATCAGCGTACCTCAGCGTACGCGGTTAATGACCATGACGTCGTCGAAAGGCAGGCGCGCTGCCCCGCATCGACGCGCACGCATCCCACGCGCCCTGCTGCTTTCCCACTTTCATCCATCATTCCCAGCTGTTCGGTGTGCAAGCTTCGGACGCACCTTCTTGGCTCTCGCGCGCTCGCATTGAAGATTCAGAAGCTTGCGTTTGCCGGCCACGACGCTCGTCGATTTTGTATGGTCCGCGGGCAGTTCCGCACACCTGCCGACCGTCGGCCTCGAGCGTGTGCCAGCAGAACAACCTGGGCTGTATCGTACGCCCAGCTCGTAAGTACCCGGTGAAAGCAGCTGAAGGCCTGTGAAAGACGGTGCGGCAGTCAAAGTCAGGAACAAGGCGATCGCAACGGGCAGTATCTGAGCAGTATCTCGGATAGCGTGCTCGGGGAGGCGTGCTTAATCTGGGAGAACGGTGCAGCCCGTGTCGGGAGTGGAATAACGTCGGCTCGGCGCGTGGGTCACGCTCGCGTGGAGATGTACTGAAGATCACGACTCCAGCTGCGTCTGCGCTCGAAGCCCGGCCGAGGGACTGGACATATTTGCGCTCCTCCCAGCCGATCGCCCTTCGCGCCTGCTCTCCTCCCACCACACCCGCGCCCCTCGCGCCCCGTTCCCTCCGTCGCCAGCGCGCGCCGCGCGACCCCACACTCCTTTATACCCCACTATCCCTACTGGAGCAGCAGCCAGCGCCCCGCGCTAAGCGCACCCGACGCCTGCAAACATGCACGCTGCAGCCGCCCGCGCCACCATGCAGCACCGGCACAGGCGTGTCGGCGAGCTCGAAGAGCGCGCCTTAATAAACCTACCCTTCCCGATTCCCTCCATTCCCATCCTCGACCCCATATTAAAACCGCTCGCACCGATCCTCACGCCCCTCATCGATGGCACTCACCCGACGACGAGCACGACGTCTACGCAGCACACGACAAGCACGACCGCGACGCAGGTCGCCTCCCCCACCACCAGCCCCACAACACAAGCCTCCAGTCCCACGAGCACCTCTGCAAGCAGCGGTGGCAGCAACTCCTCAGGTAACAGCGGGAGTAACTCCTCAGGCAGCAGTGGAAGCGATACCTCGGGAAATAGCGGAAGCAGTCAGAGCAGCGGCAGCAACGACGGAAGCGGCACCAGCAACGACAGCGGCAGCTCAAATGGCAACAGCGGGGGCGGCTCTAGCGGCAACTCCGGCTCAGCCAGCTCTGGCACCGCCGTCGCCGGCGGAGCGTCGAACGCCTCAGGAGCAGCCTCGGGTGCGGCGGCAGGTGCATCCGGTACTGCACTTTCCATCCCTGGCGCGCTCGTGGCGAACCCTTCTTCTGCTGCACAAGGCTCGGACGCCGCGACCGGCTCTAGCGGGTCTGCCGCGACCACTGGGCCCATCGTGAACGCCAACGGCGCGTTCGTCTCTGGCACGACCATCATCGGGGGCACGACCTACATCGGTACCAATACGGCTACCGCGACGGGCTCTGATAGAGCAGGTGCGACAGCGGGCGCAAAGGCCGGATCGCCCACCGGGTCAGATTCAGGCTCTACCTCAAGCACCACCCAGTCTGATCCGTCAAACCCGTCTGCCACGGGGGACGCAGCTGTCCATCATGGATTGTCTACAGGCATCATTGTTGCCATCTGTGTCATTGTCGGTGTCCTCTTCCTCCTCTTCCTCGCTTTCTGCTGCAGACGGCGCGCCGTTGCGAAGCGTCTCCGCCGCCGCAAGACGTGGTTCAACGCTGGCGCGTATGGCGGCGCGGCTGCCACCGAGGAGTACAAGGACGGCGCAACAAGGTCCGCGCGGAGCAGCTTCGCGACGCACTTCGACCGTGGGGATGTGATCACGCCTGCCCCGCAGATCGACCTCTCGGTGCCCACGGACGAGATGTCGCAGGTGTGGCCGAGCAACATGAGCGGGTCCATCATGGTTCCCGCCGCCTCCCGCACGACCGAGTCACACCCCAGCCCGACCATCAGAGCAGCCCCGGACCGCACGAGCCTGAACTCGCTCTCGTCGGCGGGCAGCCGTCCGCCCTCACAAACGTCGCAGTACCTCGCCGCGCCAGATGCGGCCGCGACGCAGGGATCGCCGTTCGGCGTCGACTTCCCGTCCCCGTTCTCCGTCCGCCCCTTCTCGCCCTCCGAGACGTTCTCCTTCCCTCGCCCGCCACAGGACGACGCCCGCAGTCGCGCCTCCGGCATGATGACCGGCTCGGTCGTCAGCGGCTCGATCTCCAGCGCCGCCTTCTTCACCGCCGAGGACGCGCCTGAGCCCGAGCCTGCCGAGAACCCCTTCCTCGACTTCACCGAGGTGCGCCCGGCGTCTGCCGAGCACTCGTTCTCGGCGGAGAGCGTCGCGTCCTCGGTGCACTTCGCAGCGACGGAGACGATACGTCGGCCGTTCGTGCCAACGATGGACGACGAGATGGCGGTCGTGCCCGGGCAGGATGTGCGCATCCTCGCGCGCTTCGACGACGGCTGGGCACACGCGGAGCTGCTCGAGAACGGCACGCGCGGGCTCATCCCGATTGACACGCTCCGACCAGTCGAGGAGGCACTACCCGCGTTCCTTGCGAAGAAGCGGCTCAGCAGCTATGGCGCGCGGCGCGCGAGTGCGTTCAGCGGGGCGTCCGTCGGAAAGGCGATGTAGACATGCGGAGTGCCCATGCGCCCGCTCACGCTTACGCCCCCGTATGACCTCTCCCCATCATCACTGCCGACTGTCGAGCGTGTTGTTTGATTCGGTGAGTCGTTATGCTCTCAAAACCACGGGACCGCGATGCTGATCATGACGCTCAGCCGCACTGGACTGTCCCATACATGCTGTGCCGCGTGCCTTGCACATCTGTGTTTATCCGTCTGGTTGTACGTCTGTTGTCCTCCTGGGTGTTTGTGTGTTTGTTTGTTACACTACGCTATCCCTTCGTCTCCCTGGCCGTCGCGGATCCCCGACATCCCCCTCCCCTTCCCCCTTGTATGGCCTCGCCGGCCGATAGGCATCATCTATCCCCTCACACCCACCCACCACCGCGGCCTCGACTGTGGACCTAACCCGACTGCAGCACCACAGCGCTCTGTCTATACTTGCTCCTTCATACCCTTAAACCGTTCACACTACTGTACATGTTTTGCGTGCCTTTGCTCTTCCTGCTTTCTGTTTTCGCCGGCGCCCTCCCCGCTGCTGCGGACCGCACAGGGCGCACCACTGTCCATACTCATTCCCCTTCCTACTACTTCCTTGCTGTTCTACCCCTTCCAGCCACTTCCGTCTTCGCCGCTGCGTCGCCGCCCGCGTGCGCACCACCCGCACGCGATGGCTCGTGCAACCCATTACCGACCATCTTCCGCTTTCGTTCCGGTTCGCATAGAAAAGGCTCCTGGGAACTGGGTCCGCGACGTCGGACAATACGAGACGGGCTGTATATACCCCTGCGTTTATTTCGCTCGCGTGGCTGCAGTGGCCGCGGTCTTCCTGGGCCCTGGATGTCTGTCGATACGTACGCGTGGCGCCACCGTTGCCGTCGTGGTGGTGGCGTATTACTGTCCGTATCCGTCCGTATATACCGTACATATGTACCCCCCAATGTAGCATTGCTCCTGTTATTCATCCGAGACCGTGTTCACACCAGACTTCGCAAGAACTGCCCGGAATTCACAAGCATTGGCATTGAGAATCGAGATTGAAATTTGAGAAGTCGAATACTGATCGTACATGCGCCGTGCAGTACACACGCCCCCGTAACCACGTCCGTCGGCACACCCCGCATTCGCAACACATTCACTGGCAACTATTCGAAGTCAAGGCTCGGGGAAAAAGTGAGAGAGATGTCTGCCCCATATACTACTCCAATTCCGGCACGGTCCTCGCCACGGCAGGAGTCCCACGTGGGGCTCGTCAGATACCACTCGACGAAGCGTTGCTCTCGCCCCCGACCGGACGGGTCGAGCGGGAGCCGCGCGGGCGGACGCTTGCGCGCCCGCCCAGCACGACTCACCGCGGGCCTGGCCACCGACCCACAGGAAGAAGTGCACGCTTGACGCGGCAGCCTGTGGGGGTGACTGGCTGGGGGCTGTCGACAGCGCAGTGCTGAAGACCGACATATAAACATAGAAGAGAAAAAAAGTCACCGTCGAGGCGCACAGAGCACTTCATACTCAGCGCCCCGATCCTGATTGATGCTTGCAAGCTCCGGGCTGCTGGGCCTGGCTACAGGGGAAAAGGCGCACTTGCATATGCATTAGCGCGTATCGGTACAAGCCGCGCACGCGCGCAGGGAGCGCGCGCCGCGGTACACAACAGGCGGCGGCGGGGAATTAGGCGGTAGCTAGCGTAATGAGCCAAGAACACACAACAAACAGCGAAAGCAGAAAACGTAGCAGAGAGCACGGGTGGCGGGCGGCGTTCGGGATGTGGGGGAGGCGGGGAACCAGAGTTGTTGTGCGGCGAGCGGTATTCAATGGGCAGTACGGGTTTGTATGGGGACGGGTGTATGTGTAGGAGGACTGGAAGGCGAATGTTCGTGTTGCGGTCTTGCAACTAGACTTCGGATGGAACCAGGACGGGTGGGAGCAGGCGTGGAGCGATCGTAGGGACGCGGCCAGGGGGTCACCGCTCTCCGGGGTGGCCGTTGCGCCTGCCGTTTCCGTTCGCGTACGCATACTCCTGGCTGACACTCGCCTCGCTCAGCGGCGGAGACGACGCAATAGGAGGGGCGGGATATGCGTGCATGATGCTCGCGAAGGTCGCTGGGACAGGCGGTGGTGGCGTCCCCTGACGGTATCCGACAGGTTCCCCGCCGTTCGACATACCGCTGCCCGGGCCCGCAGGGACCCCGTGCGAGCCGTATGGTGAGCGATGACCGTGCGGCGACGCGACATGGCCAGGTGGAAGGTGGTGCTGGGGCGGGGAGAAGTGGTCGTCCCGGTCGCGCTCGCGGTGCATGATGGGCGAACGCGACGCGGTGCGCGAGTGCGTGGGGGAGTCAACGCGCATGGGCGTGCCCCCGGGCGGCGGGTTCGCGTAGTCGTCGTACCCGGCGTTGCTCGCGCGAGAGCCCCGGCGCGTGCGCGGCCCGTTCTCCGGAGGAGCGTTCGGGTACTCCTGGTGGAATGTGATGTTCTTCATGGGGGCATTGGTCTGCGGAGGCGGGGCGTTGCGCGCGCGGAGGGACGGGTCTTCGATGATCATCAGGTCCGCACCGCCGCGCGACCGGGAGCTGCTTGAACGGACAGAGACGGCGGGCACGGGGATCGGCTCGGGTTCGGGCTCACCCCGCTCGTTGAGGTACCCGCCGTGCCCGTTCTCGCCATTCAGGGCGCCGTTCCCAAGGGCAGGGTCATCGTGCTCGTCGGGGAGCGCAGGAATCACCGCTGCATGGCGCCCGCCAAGTGGCCTGTAAGAGAGGAAAGGCGTACCATAAGCGATCAGGTCTTACGCGTAGCCCGGAGGGCGAGAGCGTGTGGAAAGCGCTCTGTAGATAATACGCGGAAGACGCTTACCCTCCTTCTACGAAGTGTTGCCATACGTAGTCCTTGAGCTTGTCCGCGCCGGCTAGTTCCTGTATGAGATGCTTGATCGTGTTCTGGCCCAATCCGAAGAAGTCGGGCCCAGAGACGGAGTTCGAGTGCGCGCGGTTGCGGATGTGGTTGGCTGCGCGGACGATGACGGACCACGCCCCTGTCGCAGTGCCAGCGAAGATGGGCTTGTCTGTAAGGTCAGACGCGGTGATCTGGAACTTGGGGCCGTCCCCGCCGTCGAGGATCTTGCAGTGGTAAACCACCTCTTGGTTCGGATCGATCGTCGAGAAGTAACGCCTAGACCCCGACGTCAATGTTATTCATTCCGTCGCGATCCCGTGCACCTGGCGCACGCGTCCCAGACACGTACCTCGTCACTTCGTACCCAACCGGGAAAATGTACCGCTCCGTATGGAAGTGCTCGCGCATGCACACCGAGCCAAGGTTGATGACGGTCATGATGCCAACGTTAAGGGGTAGAATGGGCCTCCGGTGCTTGTCACGTGGGACCATGGGGATACTGAAGCTTTTGGTGATGACTGTATGCGCCTTCAGCCGCTTTGGTTTCGTTTGTCGCTGTGCTTCTGAGGGTCGGGTGGAGGAGGTCCGCATGGTGGTTTGCATATGTGCTTGGGAAGGCGGCGCGCCGTGTTGGTATGAGGGCGACATGGGTCCGTGATGCACGCCAGGCATGTAGTCATCCTGCGGTGACAAGACCGGCGATAGAGACTCGGAACGGTGACGAATGTGTTGAGACCCACCGGAGAGTTGAGCTCCAGGATGGGGCAGAGACGCAGATGACACTTCACCTCCGGGCGGTGCAGGCGGCTTGAGACGCAGTCGAGTTCCCGTGCTTGACACCAGGATCGGTGGCGACGCTGTGGGATTCCCATGAGGGCCGGATGGGGACTGCCCCGGGATGGGTGCTGGTGCGAATGTGAGAGGGGCGCCCATGTCTTTGCCCTTTTGCGGGCCCCGCGCTTTACGGCTCGAGCGTTTTGCTTCTCGGGCATCCTCTTCCTGCCGCTCTCGCTCTTGGAGCTCTTGTTGCCGTCGTGCTGCAGGCCCGATGTGACGCGAAAGGATGTGGGGGTCGATCTCAGGGTCCTCCCGTTCGAGCTCTTCTATCGCTTGGTGGAGGTTTGCGATGAACACTTTCTGAGTTCTGTCGTTCATGAGGCTGCGAGGGAATGCTGAGAAAGGGAGCGCTGCGGCTTGTGAGCCAGGGTTGGCGTGGGGGTTGACCTCCAGCTCTGTGATGCGGTCGAGAAGTAGACTGGCGAGAACATGAGGAATTTGAGGCGTAGGGTCGGGATGGATGTGCGACATACGCTCGTTCTGCTCGCCATTTGACATTCCGTTCACCTGAGCTTCGTAGTTGTATTGCAGTCTCCTTGTGTTTCTGCGAGAGGTTGCCATGTCATACGAAGCGCGTAGAATTGATCGGCGGCCATAGTCAGCGCAAAGACAGCGAAGAGCAAACCGAAGCAGAGGGCAAAACGCGAAAAAGAGGGACGATTGCTCACCTCCTCAAGCTCAAAGTATTTCCGCTTCAATCTCCTATATTTCTCGGCGAAGTCGGCGTCCTTCGCCTTTTGCTGGGAGCCCGACTGCGCAACCTGAGCAGGGACGGGGGGCGGACCCATGACGGTGTCGTGCTGGGGAGGGCCCATGGGAGTCCGCACGGAATGGCTCATGAAGGAGCGGCGGGAGGAGGGCGGGGGGGAGTGATGGGAGGCAGGGGAGAGAAGCTGAGACTGGGGTCTTGGACTATATAGGTGGTGGCCAGGGGAAGCGGCCAGCTGTTTGGTCCGATCCCACATTTCGTCTCGACGCACCGCGTTCCACTTCAGGATCACGCCGTTCGGACGCACTCGGACGTTCTGCACACACGCATTGCTCTCGGCTGCTACTAATACATGGTGGGTACACAAACGGGGATTCCGCCCGCGCGCTGAGCGCCAGGGACAAGGACGATGGGGAGGCGATACGGGGCGTTGAATGGCGGAAATGGAGACGGGACAGCGGCCGTTCTGGGCGGCGTGGCGTTGATTGACTTGTTTGGGCACTCCAGACGCCCAAACCTTCTTCCCACTCATCCAGGACCCCGGAACCCCTCTGCGCCTCCTCTTAGCCTAAGCCACGCCTGCCGACAAGGTTGAATCATACACGCAGCGCGTGCTCCCCGTCCCCGGCATCTCCGTCCGGCCTATCGTCGAGCGCAGACGCTGCATCTCACCGTCTCCCTCCGCCCTTCCTTCCGCACGATCCACCATCTGTCAACCACTCCTGCCGCCGGCGTTGCTACTCCTCCCGAACCGTGCCTGTGCGACATCGCGCGCAGCCGGCCCAAGATGGGCATCCCTCGTGAGCACGAACACGTCCCCCGCACTCCAATCTCGTCATGCGCCGCGCGTGGCGCGCACCGCCCAGCCGTGCTTTCCGCCACCAGATCCACCAACGACCGCACGGGGCCCTGGCACACGCGGCCGAGAGCGCAGCCCACGACTGGCTGAGCGGTTTGACTCTACTCAACGCCGGCCATCGATCCCGCCCTGTCCGCTTTCGGCGATGCACTTGCCATATATGGCTACCTTCGTCCTTCGTCCTGACCTCGTGCCTGGCGGCTCCCGCAGTCCTCAATATCACGCCCCTCGCCAGCAAGGGCGCAGCAACCGGTCCCCGACGCTCGAAAACACTCCGAGCTCTCCCAACATCCTCGTTGTGGTCGGCAGTGTGCCCCATCCTTCGACGACGCCTCGTGGCTTGCTTCGTCACGTAAAAACCATTAGAGAAGCCGTTGTGGCTGAGAAACGTCCACGCGACCTCGGAGGTCTGGAGAGTTCCGTATGTGAGTGGCTGATGAAGGTTCTCACCCCAAACGAAATATACCTAACGCGGTAAATGTTCGCCTCCAGATCCGCTCCTCCAGCGTAATGAATGACATCCGCACAAGAATCGAGAACCTCCTCTCCGCCACTCATTGCAGAGACATGAAGCAGCGTCGGACGCAAATTGTCTTCCTGTGCGCTCCGGCAAATACACTTCGCATACCAGTGCATGCACACACTTACAGTTGCGCCATCTCCGGATCCGGGAGCAAAACATCGTGCCGAGCGTTCGCAGTTCCAGCATGGTCCATCACCAACATGCGTTCGCCCACGCCTCCCGCCGCGACACTCAAAGCTCGCCACGCCCCTCTCTAATCTATGGGCGCGGGCGCACGAGCCTGCACACCCGGCGCTGGCCGCCCCTGGCCCCTTCCTCCCCCCTGGGACCGCCCCTGCTGCTGTCTATCGGGCGTGCAGTGCTTCCCACCGCCGTTCCTTCCATCCAGTCGTGGCCAACGCTAATGCCAACCGTCTGCGACGTCCGATCCGCTGAGGCGTCGCCGGCGCCCCATCTCCACCCTCGAAGGGAGGGGCAGGATCAGCGCACGCATCCTCCGAGCATACTCGGACGCCCCCCAGTGACGCCACGCATGCTCTGGGCCAGGTGAGCACCGGGAGTACTGGAAGGGTGCGGAATAGGGCGTAGAGTTGCTGATCTGCAGAGCCCTCCTGAGCGGCGATGTCGTCAGCCTTCGGTGACAGGCCCGCACTTGGCGGCAGACGAGGCCTTCTCTTCTTCCCACCTTGATACGCACGACGATTGTGGCAACGCCTCTGCACCCGAGAACGCTGCGGTATGTCTGTCTTCACGTCTCCACGCCTTCTTCATTGCATTCCTTACCACTTTGAACTAGACTATAGGACGATATTGAGCGCTGGGTACGTCGGACGCATGCAACGCATGCGATCAGGCCACCTCACGGTGATATCAGAGCGATGTGCTGGAAACGCTGCCATCGAAGGAGCGCTGCACGGGGCGACGAGCGTGGAGACAGAACGCGCGCAAAATTAGCACCGCGGCTGCTTCCCTGGGCACCCAGAACTGCGCGCGTGGGAAGCGAAGCCGGGCGCGGCTGCAAAGAAGTGCGCCGAGGATGACTGCGCAGGGGCGGACGATCTATGTGCTTTTCGCATTCCAGCGCGCCCGAGTCATGGGTTTCTACTGGTTGCAGTCTTTGTGTGTAAGTGCAAGGTGGTGGATGGTGTTGCGTACTGAGAGGCTTGCTGAGGTATCGGCGGGAAGCCTTCGCGATCTAGCTCGAGCTCTAGTCTACGTGAGCGGAGATAGATAGAACCAGAACGCATCACCATCGGGAACGTCCAATGCCTTCTTAGCGATTCGAGCATGGCCTGATCAGGAACACCTCCGACGAGGTGGCAGGTGGCATTTATAGCGCCGGTCGTCTTCACCCGCCCGCCGAACCTGGCGTCTTCGGATATGTCCAGACTACTGCTGCTTCCTGCTGCCGTCCCAGGGCACGAACAAGCCGCGGCCGCCCGCTATTGCGCGACATACTGAACAGGGAGGACGAGCCTGCGAACGTGACCCCTGCAGATTCTGTCAGTGTTTGCGTCTGCGATGACATCAAGCTTTGGGGAAACGTACCGTTCTCAGTCCCAGTCCGATTGCAGATGACCACCAGGAGTTCTTCGCTAGGCTGTCTGCCTGGCTCCTCCCCTGTGCTATTCGAGTCGTCGGAGTCCTGGTCTTCTTCGTCCGAATCGGGCCAACCCTCTGCAACAACCTTCCCCCACAGCGGTCTCAAGCGCAACGCCCAGTAGTTGATCGTCCGCCAGTCCTTCTCCTCCTCCGGCGCCTCCTTCGAGTCAAGCCACGCATTCAGCAGCACAAGCACGCGCGTGCGCTGCGCGACGCAGTACTCCGCGATCTCGTACGGGCCCGTGTCGAGCCCGGCCCACTCGGCGGGCGGCTGCACGTTGAGGTCCATGCAGATCCCCAGCGAGAGCGTCGTGAGCGGCGGCGGGAGGTGGTACGTCACGAAGCCGGTGCCTAGGAATGGATTAGCGTTGTGTTAGGGGGGAGGATGGGAATGCCGAGGATTAGTTTCTAGGGTCGTCGGCCCGCTGTTCGCAGAATAGGCAATGATAGAAACCGGATCGTATCGTCTGCCCTGTATGTTTTCCTGAACAGGTGCAGGCGCAGGATCGTCGACGGGCTGTGGCATCTCACGCCTTCACGCCATCATGGCGTATGTGGCCTTCTCGCCCGGCTTCCGTGGCAGCCAATAGACTGCCCTTCAACCTTGTTTCCGCGGAACACGACGGAACGCTGACAGTGGTGCAACTTACCTGGTTTCGCCCATGTCATGTCCGTATCGTACAGGTTCGTCTTGCGGTATTCGCCAACGAATTTTCCGTCCGGACCGTAGAGCGCGGCTGCATTCGCGCCGACGCGCTTGATCGCCCGTCCGTCCGAGAGCTCCGCATGCTCGACTTCATGAGGGGGCAGTCGCTCCGGGTATCCCGCGACGACATGACAATGCAGCCGGGCGGCGAGTTCCGCGCAGAAGCGCGATGTGGGCCCCGTGCGCGGCTCCTCCAAGTAGGGGGAAATGGCGTCTGCGTCAGGGAAGACGTATCCTGTTGGAAAGCAGTCAGCTGGCAAAGTCCGAGTTCAGACATTCGGGAAGGGGGTCGGGACAAAGCTAGGGCCGTGCGGAGTTGTTCGTAGCGGGTTCACATCCAGAAGAGTGGAGATATCGTTCTTCTTGGAGAGGTCAGTATGTACACGGGCTTTCGTAAACGCGTGGAGCTGCTTCAAAGCCCGCGAGTCCGCCGCCGGGTCGATGCGAGGGCGTACAATTTGTGCGTTCCGATACAGCACACCTCATGTGGGAGGTTGCGCGGAGCGTGGCTACCGTGAAACGCTTATTAGCATGGCAAACGTTGTTCTGTTTTCTTTGTTTACTGAAAGGGTCAATTTGATAGAGGTGATGCCAGATGCCTGAGGGCCTGAAGCAAAACTTTCCTGAAGGATCACTGAATTTAGGTAAAGGTCTTCGGCGGGCGCAAGCGCAGCGAGCTCCAACGAAAACGCCATGTATACATGCTGGGATGCAAGGGATATTGGAGCAGGTTGCGCTTGCGCCATAAAGAATGACATGCTAACGTATGTCTGTACAGCTATGAGACTCGAGAGAGGGCTTAGCATCGATGCCCGAAACTTATCTCTGTCCATCGGAGGGACGTGCAAAGTCTCCTGAATACCGGTGCTGTCGATGTCTATACCCAATCTGCCACCCTTTACAGAGCATTTGCTGATACGATGGTGGCGTACCTGTGAATATCATCTCTGGCAGACAGACGAGGTCGACCGTATTTGGTCTAAGTCTACGGAGCATGCGCACACGTTTGTCTGTTTCAGCGCGGCAAGGAGCGATGCAGTGGAACATACTGTTCGCATAGCGACTGAGCCCTGCGGATATTGTCCTGTACTTGTCCGATCTGTGGTCGCGGATCGATACAGGGATGCGCAGAGCAGTAGATGGAAGTACCTTGGGCGTAAACTGGATTACTGCGATGCGCATGGAAGCGCGCCGAAGAGTAGAGTAGGATCGGTAGAGTGCACGAACGAGGTTGAGCCCCGTGGTGTGTTGTTTGTATTGGCTGTACCTGGACGGGGTAAAGGTGTCGAAGGCGGGGTAAGAACAGTTGTCGTCATTCCATTAACGGAACGGCCTGGGCGTCTCTGCGGCGGGAGAGCGCGGGGTCCAATCGGAGCGCGCGCATGAGAGGGGAATGTGAGACTCCGCCAGGCTCCGCTTGCCGGGAGATCGATGTTTCCACGGCCGACGATGCAGCTGATTAGAGGCGCGGGCGTCTGCGAGGTCCGTCCAGTCGACGGAGAGGGTCCTCCTCCTCGTCCTGCTCGCTCTCCACACTCGCCACCCGGTCTCTGTTCCCACCCTCGAGGTTTGTCCGCCCTGCCCCGCCCGCCCACCCCCTTCTTCCGGGGAACCGCTCGCGCTGATCGCTGTTCGCCCGGTCGCCGCTGGTACACAACATTGCCCTCTGCGTAGAGGTAAGCATTTGTCATAGCCTCCATGCCGACACAGCAGATGTGTGCTAAACTAGCTCCCCTCTGATGACTGCGCCCGACAGATTCAGACAGCCGTGTAAAGCCTCCATCTGCACGACCCTACGCTCCCCCGTCCGGCTCGCTCAGGGACTCCTCCACGTAGCCGCCGCTGATCATCTCGATTCTCTCGTCTTCTGGCCCGCTCCTCCTCCTAAAGTGCCCGCGAGCCTTCTCCGAGCATGGGCAACACATCCTCTAACCCCAACGCCGCCAACTCTCGCCTCGATTCCCCCTCTCGCAACACCCACTCCCCCATCCGCGGTGGTAGCCCAAATCCCTCCCACACTTCCCACCGGGTTCACCGCTCCCTGCGTCACAAGAAAAGATCCCTCGAGTTGCCCGATCTGGCGTCCCTCACTCTCACTCCTGCGTCCTCCTCCCCCGCTTCCGTCTCCCCACACACAGGCAACAGGCGACCCCGCGCGTCTTCGCCGATCCCCATCCCTTCTGCTGCCAATCCCCCTCCGCAGACATTCAGGCCGCAGAACAACCTCCCCTCGGCCGCGCGTATTGACCGCATGAGAGATGGCCACTCGCGGTACAAGTCATCCCTTAGCGCGTTCAATTCCACCCGCTCTTTCCAGTCGGTGGTGCCGGAGTCTCCCCCACGGAGTGATATACCCCTGAGACCCGAGTTCGTGCCGGAGGTGGTTCACAGCACCATTCCGCTCGCACTCGTGAAGGCGGAGGAAGACTTGCACAAACCCGAGCCGGTGAAGATCAAGATTGTCTGGAAGCAGAGCGGGAGGAAAGTGTACCTCATTCGGGCAGGAGACAACAACTGGCAAAGCAAACAAACCATGGAATTTGAGTGAGTTCTCATCCAGTTGTCCCACACTGTGTCGCTCAACGCAAGGTAGTCCACAAACGGAGTCATTCTATACCTTTGTCAACCTACTCCCCGGCACACATCACTTCAAATTCATCGTCGATGACCAGATTCGACTGACGAATGACTATCCCCGTGCCGTCGACGATCGGGATGGTACCCTTGCCAATTATGTCGCCGTTACGGCCCCGTCAGGGACAGGTTCTCCCAACCAGGCGGCATCCGTGTCTCCAGTCACAACGACCCATCCCTCCAACCCAAATCACCAGAACTCCTTCTGGAGCGATTCGAGTACGACAGCCGGCGGAACAGCAGGAAAGGGAAAGGAGGCGGAATGGACAACGGTTATCCCCCTCGAACTCGTCGCGGCTGCCGCAGAGGAGGAAGCGTACCTGGCACGAGCCGACTCACCAACATCGTCCGCGAGCGGTATCCCCGCGCCAAACATTCCACCGGCACCCGTCCTGCCGCGGCACCTTGACAAACTCATCCTCAACGTGCGCCCCGTTATGGCTGGGCCTGCGCTCGGCGGTGCGCCGTCGACGAGCAGTGAACGAGACAAGCGGCGCAGCGGGCGCGAGAAGGAGCGGTCGCGACGCGAACGGGACCGGGCTCGCGATGGAGACAGTCGCACTCGTCCCGCGAATCTCGGCATGACTTCCGCGGAACTGCAAGCTGCCGCGTTGGAGGAGAGCGCAGGACGCGCGAACGGTGCTCCGCCGCCGTTGAACCTTCCTGTAACGACTGCCTCAGGCACGGACCTCACGGCGGCACTCCTTCCGCTCCAGGCGTCGGGCCCACCCACACCTCCGGCGACCCAGACAAAACCGTGGGACGGCCCAGGGGTGTCGGACGATGCAAGTGTGCTGCCCGTGCCGTCGCACGTTGTGCTGCATCACTTGAGCACAAGCGCGATTCGGAACGGGGTCCTCGCCGTGGCGAACACGACACGTTACAGGAAGAAGGTGAGCACGCTGTCGCCGACTCCGCCTTGGTCGCGGACGTCGTTTGATATAGAACGGGTTCTAACTGCTATGCGCCTCGAGCAGTACATTACGACGATTTACTACAAGCCGACATGACGCTTCTTGCACACACCGCCGCTCCCCCTCCCTAGGCCACTACATGCTGCTGCTTCCGCCCCGGCTCGCCCCGATCCCGCATGCTCTTCATCTATACACAGTCTGTCACTCCTTTCGGCCGCCTACTTAGACCAGCGTGTTCGCGCGCTGCCTCCATCCCGCCCTGACATCTCCGTGCACATCTTGAGTTCACGTCCGTCGCACACATTGCTCCTTGGTTCATAGAGAGGGGCTGCTGCCCCGTGCGCCGCCTTTATGTTGTCCTGTTATCCCATTGTCCCCGCATATGTTCCTTGGCCGTCCGGTGAAGGTCTCCCCCGCTCAGGTCAGTGCGACTTCACAAACCCTGATAACTCAGCGGCTGATCTGGTCCTTTTCCCAGTGGCTTATGCGCGAAAACTATGTACGACACCGAACCCCCAACCCCCCATGCCTTGCGCACCACCCACAACCTCAAGCCACGAGCGCGCAGCCGCGGAGGACACGCGTCTGCCACGAGTAACGAAGAAGCCGAAGCACCCAATGAACTGTATCCGTACATCCCCCCACATACCCCTGTCCTCGGCACTTCACTTCTCAACACCCCCATTCACCTGCCTCCTGCTTCACCGCCCGCGTCCGCTACTGCATCTGGATATCGATATCGACTGCTCGGATCTGTCTGTCCCTGTTTGTGCGCCGTATCATCATAGAGCTTTCGCGTCCATCCGTTCGCGTCCGTCCACTTCGCCGCCTGTCAGCCTGTCTCGGTCTTCCACTTGGTGCGGTGAGCTGTAGTCACGGTCGCGGTTGGACGACGGGGGAGCGGATGGCTTGCCCGGTCCGTCTGGCACGCCGGTATCTACCTCCATCTGGGTTTCTTGAGATGTCACGCCATGCTGTATCGATCCTTCATTTCGTGGGTTCCATTGCTACACTGAGCCCCTCTATTGCCGTTTCTCAAGCTAAGACCTCGCCCGCTCCTTTGCACCTGGCGTAGTTCTGGGGCCTGCGGTCATATGCACCTACACGAGTGAATGGCTGCTGATCGTGATTTACGGAAGGTATCGCGGCGATACCCCTCATGGGTTTCAAGGCTCACTATATACGGGTACTCCTGCGCACTTCCCCGTTGTCAGACTCCATCCGCCAGGTCCCCGTCGGCGTGAGTGGTGAGAGTCATCATCGCGGTAACGTAAAAGCTGGCGCCTCGCTGGGCATGGCTAACCGGTTTCCTGACAGGACATGATTTTGGAGTGACAGGTGCGGGTCTCGCTTGTGCCCTAAACTTCAATCTAGCTAGCTCACCCTGCCCCGCAGCTCGTGCGCAAGCACCTTAAGAAACGGCCATGGCCTGAGATGCGCTCGGGAACACCCCCAGGCCCAGGGCACCATGGACTACGCGCACGCACGCCCAGACCTCAGCTGGGTCCCGCACCCCGTCCACCAACCTCCACCACCTTCGGCGTACCTCCGCATCGTGGTCGTAGAGGCGACGTCCGCGCGCCACCCAAAACCAGGCAGCTCGCGCACCGCGCTGTACATCGTCCCCCTCCTGCCGCCCGCCCCGCTGCAGGTCGGGCAGTACGTCCACCTGCACCTCCTGTGCTCGACGACCCCGGACGGCGGCGCGCCGCCGAACATGGACAGGGCGGTCGCGGTGCCGCTGCCCGTCGCGGGGCGGCTGGAGGGCGAGCGGATGCAGTGGGAAGGGGAGATGGAGTTCGTGCTCAAGAACGAGATCGTGGACGCGGGCGTGCGGAGGGCGTTCATCCGCATCCGACATGTGCCGGATGTTTCGGCGCGCGCGGGGCTCGCGGGCGCGCTGGAGAAGAAGCTGCAGCAGCTCGAGGTGCTGCGACGGTGTGAGTCGATGGAGGGGGAGTCGAGTCGACGGGCAGAGTCCTACTCACCTTCACCGACTCCGGAATTGGAGTATGATGCAGATCCTGTGCCAGTTCGCCCTGCCTTTACATATTGGAATGCGCCAGCTACGTACGCCTGATAATGACACATGAACAATTTGTGGGTTGTCTGTATATCGACTTACTTGGAATTCATGTACGATCATACTTTACCGGTACCGGTTACCTCTCCTCGAACACCTTCCACTATTTAAGAACCCCTCACGATGTTTATATACGCTCTTACATGAGTACTGTGCCCCTCCTGATCGAACGCCTTCAAGAACCCCTCACGATCGCCTCGTAGTTCGCCTCTTAGACAACGAAATACATCTCACTCACTTGCTCAACTCGCCCATATCAAGGCGCTTAAAGTAGGGTGACTCATTTACGCGTGACAGATAGCACGGGACTCTGGTCACGTCGCGTTGGCTGAATCAGCGACGCGGCTCCCGCGACTCCAAGCTGGCCCGCGTCGCTGCGTCACTTTCGGGTCCGAGTCTACGAGCGGCGGGTCCGTCACTGTCGTCGGTCGAACTCCTCTCTTCCTCTCTCACATCGTCGTCCCTAAGACTGCCATCTCCTAAGGGCCACCAAGTTGTCGCCGACTGTACAGAGCCTAATAACACTGTAACGACTTACAGCAAGAGCAAGGCATCAACAACTCGATTTGCGGGACATACGACTGGTACCACAACCCGCAAGACCGCAACGAGACCTCGCGTTTATCTTGTGCGCGAAAAACTGTGCTACTCACCCAACGAGAACCGCCTGTCGTTGCAAAGCTATGGACACGCCTGAGAACAGTTCAATGCTGGGGCAAGAGAGCGACTCAGAGGACGATTTCGACTGGGAAGAAGTCGAAGTCGCAGCGCCCGCACTCCCGCTGGACCTTGCACAGCTGCAGGCCGAGACGGCCGCGGGTCTGAAAGAGTACTATGGGGATGTGCACGAGCCTGAGGCGGGCCCGTCGGAGAAGCCTAACATTGAGATCACTATCCAGACGAAGGGCAAGCGCAAGGGCGACAAGGGGTGCGTGTTTTTCGCGCTTGCGGACCAAGCTGTCGTATGCCGAGCTGAACGGTATGGTCCTTAGGAAGAACGAGAGGGCTGTCCAACTGGCGGCAGAGAGACTTATCCGCCTCGACTGCCACAAGGTTCACACCGTTGCGCTCCTCATGAACGCGAAAGTGCGCAATCACTGGCTCAACGACCCTCTTCTTCAGGTATACCTCTCCTCTCGGCCCTCGTTCTCCGTTGTGTCCATGCTCACCTCAACTTACTCTTACAGGCCCGTCTCATGTCCCTGACGCCTTTAGCGCTGCAGAACACGTTTGCAACAATCCACAAATCGCGCATTCCGGAGCCCGCACAGCGCGGTCGCCTCTTCGAGTCCGCGATCACGCGCCTCGCCGACTGGTGGGCGAGCACCTTTGATATCGTCCCGGAAGGCCACATCCGCTCCCGCACATTCGAAGCGGTGCAGAAGACGATCCGGCTCGAGGCGCCTGCCCCGCCCGACCCGAAGGGCAAAGGCAAAGCACGCGCCGTGGAAGAAGACGAAGACGAGGACGACGAAGTGCGGTATGGCATCGACGGGGAGAAGATGCGGAGCGTGAAGAGTCTGATGAAGCATGCGCTCATGCGGCGCGGGTCGCGCGACACGAGCGCGCAGCTGTTCACCGCGCTGTGTCGTGCGCTGGGCATCCCTGCGCGGCTGGTGGTCAGTTTGCAGAGCGTGCCATGGCAGGCGGGCGTCGGCAAGCCGAAACCGCCTACGAAGAAGACGACGAAGGCGAAAGAAGCGAATGGGGATGCCAAGGGGACAGGAAAGGCAGCAGCGGAGGCTCTTGCAGAAGACGACGAGGACGATGATATGGAGGACGTGAGTATACCGGGATCCTCCGCAGTCAGCACACCGAGGGGGCGCACGCCGTTCCCAGGAGGCGGGCAGCGTCTTGACGGGAGCAGCCCCGCGACCAGTGGCCAGGATAAGGGCAAGAAGAAGGCCCCTCCCGTCATCCGACTACGAAAGAGCAAGGGTAAAGGACAAACATGGGGTTCGGCTGCGACGCCTGAGGCCAGCCGACCGCGACCAAGTGGGTGACATGTCCCATCCCATGTCATACTGCGCCTCATGCATGCTGAGCAGGAGAGCGCACTCCCGATCCGACGACCACCGCGCCGGTCTTCTGGACCGAGGTGTTCTCGCGCGCCGACGCGCGATGGCTGCCCGTCGACCCCGTACGCGTGATCGTGAACCGGCGCAAGGCATTTGACCCGACGCCAAATCCGGCTGCGCCCAATGTGAAACCGGACAAACGCCGGCCTGTGCGGGTGGAAAATCGCATGGTGTATGTGCTCGCATTCGAAGAGGATGGGTATGCGCGGGACGTCACGCCGCGGTATGCACGCGAGTATGGCGCGAAAGTCGCAAAAGTGCAGCAGGGAGGCAAGGGTCGCCGGGAGTGGTGGGAGCGCATCTTGCGGATGGTGAAGAGGCCATATCGACTGGTGTGTATATGCTGCGTTATACAGGCGTCTGGACAACTAACCTAGCATTCGTATAGCAACGTGACGACCTTGAAGACGAGGAGCTGCAACTCAATCAAATTACGGAGGCTATGCCAACCTCCATGGCAGGCTTTAAAGACCATCCACTATATGTGCTTGAGCGACACCTCAAGCGCGACGAGGTCGTCGAGCCGCCCACGGAGCTGGGCAAATTCCGCGGGGAGTCTGTCTTCCCCCGTGCGAACGTGCTCTCACTCAAGACCGCGGAGAACTGGATGCGCCAGGGCCGGAAGGTGCGCGAGGGCGCACAGCCCCTCAAGTGGGTCAAGCAGCGCGCCGTCACCGTCAACAAGAAGCGCGCCATAGAACTAGCGCTTGCGGACCAACGCGAACGCACTGCTTCCGCGGCGAGCGCGAGTGCAAAGCGGCTTGAGGCGGGAGAAGGCGACGGGGAGGACATCGAGCTCTCCTGGGACGCAGGGGGCGGTCCTGGCCCCGGCGAAGGCTTCGCGAGTGAGGAAGGCGCGATGCAGGGCCTGTACGCGGAGCACCAGACGGAGCTGTACAGGCCCGATCCGGTTGTCGACGTGAGTTTTCACTTAGCCTCTTGGCTTGACGTGCATATGACGAAACGCTGACTCTGCGGGTGCAGGGCAAGGTGCCAAAGAACGACTTTGGGAACATCGATTTATATGTGCCAACGATGCTTCCCGCCGGCGCGGTTCATGTGCCCTGTGAGTCCATGGTCTCCTATTGCTTCTCCCCTTCTCTGTCCCCCAAGTCATCAATCGGTGCTGGAGATGTATGACAGGTACTGATGGCTATTCTTTCCGCTACGTGTGTTTTTCAGATAAGGGCACCGCGAAGCTGGCCCGTCAGCTCAAGTTGGACTACGCAGAAGCAGTGGTATGTGTTGAGCCTATACTACTCCGCCCCGATCCCTGTCATACCTAACGCCCCAATTGTGCCGCAGACAGGGTTCGAGTTCAAGAAGCGTCGCGCCTTCCCCGTCATCACAGGTGTCGTCGTCGCCGCGGAGAACGAGAGCGCGCTCCTCGAGGTGCGTGTCTGCCCCGGCCCGCCCTGCGCGCCTTCCCTTCTCCCTCTGCCCCCCCCCTCCGACCCGGCCTCCACTTCCCCGATGAATGGCCCCGTTCTCCCGGGCCCGATGACGTGCGCTGACGGCACCCTGTTCACAGGCGTATTGGGAAGCGGAGCAGGACGCAGAAGCGAAGCGGCGCGCAAAGCGACAGGAGCAGGTGCTCCGGCGGTGGACGAAGCTCGTGCAGGGCCTCCGCATCCGCCAGCGGCTCATCGCACAGTACGCCGACCGCGCCCCGGGGCCCGACGACGCTGCAAACACGCACGACGCACCCCCTCAGGAGGTACGTCTCTTTCTCTCTCGCTTTCTCTCGCTGTCAATCTGCGCCCGCGCCATCCCCGCCCGCCCGATGGTGTTCCCTGGGGAAGCCGCGTGCCAGCCGCGAACCTTCTGTGTACGACGTGGCGGCGTGTCGCCCTGATCGTCATTCAGTCCACCTTCCCCTTCCTTTACGCATCGTGGCCAGCCTCGCCTGCGCCACCGTCACTGCCTGAATCGCTTGCTGAGCGCTGATCACGCATCCATCTGCACTTTGTAGGAACACCCGCCCGCTGCAGCAGGCGGCTTCCTGACGGGGGTCGACGACGTCGTGCAGCCGTACACGCTCCCCCGCGCGCGCCAGATCGTCGAGCACGCTGGGATGAGCCGGTCCGCGCTCGGCGAGCTCAGGACGGCCGAGGTCGCCGACGACGATGACGGTGGTGGCGCGGACGCAGAGGCTCGCGGACGCGCGCAGCAGGGCCGGGAAGACGACCTGCTGCTTCTGCGGGGCGATAAGCTGCAGGCGATCGACGCCAACGGGGACGACGAGGACGAGGACGTGGACATGGAAGACGTCGCGCTTGTCGACGTCGCGGCCCCCCAGCTGTACGGCGCGCCCAGGACGATGCAGGAGCTCGCCGACGAGGCGGCGCGGCGGAAGAGCGTCACGGACGACGCGACGCGCGCCGTCGAGGACCTCACGCTCGCTGGCCCTGCATCGGCGCCGGAGACCGCTCCCGAACAGAAGGCCATTGCACCTGGCAGGCGCACGCGTGGCTCGAAGGCAGCGGGCGCTGCGTCCCAGAGCGGCACGTCTGCCCCGGGCCCTGCTGCTGGGCCCAGTAGCGCAGGAGGCAGGGGACAGGGACGGGGACGAGGACGAGGCAAGGCTCCGGCGAGGCGAGCTCCGCGGGGCGCCCGGACGCGGAAGCGGAAGCGGGCGGACGTCGAAGACTCCGAGGGCGAGGAAGAGCCCGAGCATGATGAAGAAGGCGGTGGGGGGGCTTCTGAGGAGATGCAGCCAACGCCATCCCCTACGAAGAGGGCAGCACGGGTGCGGGCCCGCCCGCCTCCGCCGCCGGTGCCGCCCTCTACACGGGTCCTGCGCACGCGTGCGGGGAAGAGTGCGGGGAAGGTGCAGGAGGAGCGGGAGGCGGAGGACGCGTACCGGCGCGCGGTTGCAGAGTAGCGTCTGGCAGACAGCGCATCACCGGGAGCTCGAGAAGGCACATCATTACTATGCATATGGCAGTCCTATAATACACGTCCGGCGCCCGGACCCACCGTATAATCTTATGCTACACTTGTGTCCTGCACAACGTCGTCGGGCTGGCTTGGACTCGCGTCTGCCATTTTGGTCTCCTGAAAATTGTGCAAATGGCCGTCAGTGTCCTGTCTTGATTAACGCATGCCACAGTGTGGGTCCGTAACAGTACACACCTGCGCCTCTGTTGCCGCTATCGCAGATCCTTCGGGCTTTCCCGACGCCGCGACGGGCAGGAGCACCGCGAAGGTGAGGTACGAGGTGTGCCCTCGTACGTCCGGGAACGCTTTCGACAGCGTGATTTTTCGTGGTTCTGCGGTCTCCACTTCGAGGGATGCTGCGTCGTGCACTGCTTGCGCCGCTGGTGTACTCGCCGCCGGAGGAGCAGGCGCCGCGTGCATCTCCGCAAGAGCCTCCGCCTCGTCTCGCGCCTGGTCCTCCGGCGAGACGAGCTCGTCCCCTCCCGCCTCCGTGGCCTCGCCGCCCGTGCGCGCACGTTTTCCCTCCTGGCCCTCTTCGTCTGCGTCCTCGTCCGCCTTCCGCTTCGCAGCGCGCCGCTCGATCCCGAGGCGTGCATTCGCGATCTGGCGAAGGCGCTTTTCCTCGCGGCGCGCATCCGCTACCTGCAGGCGCGCGCTGACCGAGCCCACCTTTTCGAGCGGCGGCGGCGCCTCGACCATATGGGGACGGAGGAGCGTCTCGTACATCGTGATTTCTGTCGGGGGCCGGCGTATCAGCATCCAAAAAAACTCAAGGGAGCGGGCAGAGGGTGAATGGAACATACCGGTGAATCCTGCGTCGTTCAGCGCCGACACGGTGCGGAGAACCTGCTCTATACACGGGCTGAAGCAGCATATCCGCGTCGCGCGATCTTTCTGCGGCGGGCAGCGCGTTAATTTGCGGGTTTCGGGGCGCCGGGGAAGGCGGGGGAGAAACACGTACCCGGAGCGCTTTCTTCGCGTGCTCGATGGCGTCCCATGGCGCGGGGAGGTCGAGGAACACTGCGCCAGGTTAATCTCGTCAATATTTGGCCGGGGGAACGGGGAGAAGTGCACGTACCTGCGTCGACGGTGTCTTCGACCGTAAAGCCGTCCTTGCACACGTTCCGGTGCGTGAGCGTCACGATGTCGTCCATTCCATGCCGCGTGAACTCCTCCCTACCGCCCACGCCCGCACCGTCAGTACCTAGGTACCACAAAACCACCGAACCGCACCCGTCCGATCTCAAGCCACAGAACGCAACGCAGACCGCACGCATCGCAAGGAACACACGGGCCCGCGATCTAGCAGGCGCACAGACGCGCCCCATCGCGCCCGCGCACAAAGCCCCGCCCCGACTCGCCCAAGGCACGGCTGGCACAGCACCGTGCCTCCCGCTAATTGCGCCGAGATGCTAGATCCGTGCGCACCTGCCGCAATCTCACACGCGATGCGCACGGCCATCTTCGTCTCGCGTCTCGTGGCTCGTGGCTCGTGCCCCGGCCTCCGCAGCCACCGGCGTCATGCAGAGATCCAGCGCGGAATCGCCGCTGGGGCGCGAACTTACGTGTTGGGATGCGGGAGAATCGCGTGCGGCGCGCGCGTGGCGGCACGCTCGGGACCATGGATGGACAGCGACGGCATGCGGGCTGGGGCGCGAGCGGCGACGGGCGGGCTGGCGTGAGGATCCCACTGGTCGCGCTACGCTCGTCGCCGCCCGCTGCTCGCTCACCGAAATAGAATACAAGGCTACAGGGCGCGCTCACCTTGCCTTGGCTGCACGCGTCTCGTGGAACTCGTACGACCAGAGGTGGCCACGAGGACCGATGGTGCGCGCGACGGAGTGCGAGAACGAGCCCGAGCCGGTACCTGCGAACGCGAAGCTAGGTCAGCATCAATTTCGGTAGTAGAGGGCGAGGAGAAGAGATAAGTTGGACGAATAAGAGGCGCCAATCGCGCAAAGGAGGGTAGTGCATCCAGTCGAGAGAAGGATGGGGAAGGAGGGGGCACCTGATTGGCACTGGGCGGCGGGAGGCGAGCGGGCGGCGGATCGGGCGATGACCAACGCGCTTCCGCCGCGGTGGACGAGCGGGATCGGGCAAACGAACCGCCGCCCGCGAGAGGCTATCGGACGTCGCCTGCGCTCTGGAAGCAGCGGCGCCCGATGCGGACAGAAGTCGCCCGCCCATTATAGGGCACCCTCACCCCGGAGCGGCGTGTGCAGGGCGGGTGCCGCGCTGCGGGATCCGTTGAACGCGGAGCGCATGCAAGCAGCGGCGGTGGGAGCAATGTGCCCCGCTTTGGGGATCTCTGCCCGCGTTTGCGCTGGCAGGGCCGCGTGTGGGGGCGGGGGGCGACGATCCGACCGTCGCAGCAGAATAGAGGGCCTGGCGGGCACGGATCACTGTCCATGCAGGGCGTGCATCGGCGGGACAGAGGCAGCAAGCAAAGCTTGAATGGATCTGCACGCCACGTTTGGAAAGAAAAGGTGGGAGGCGAAGAGGGGTGACTGAAGGTGTCGAAAAAAGATACACACCTGCTTCGATGACCTTGCTCCCAGGCCGGATATCAAGCCACGCGGTGACATATGCAATATCTGCGAGGTAGAGAATTTGCGTCCGGTGGGGCAGAGCGAGGGTCCAGAGCTCTGGGGTCGGCCGGAGTAGGTGGATGAAGCCCTTGCCGTTGCGAGAGCGCACTTTGGAGCCGTACGGGATGCCGACGAGCTCGTCGTGACGGTAGTAGCCGTACTTTGAGTTGAGCTCTCCTCCGGGGGTGATCACGAGCGGTTGGATGAGATCTCTCGTCTGATATGCGAGCGAGCACGGCAAGAAAAGAGCGAAAGAGACGGACAGGCGCAGATTTATTGGGGGTGTGGGCGGGGGAAGACGTAAGATGGAAGACTGAGCGGGTGTGAGCGGGCAGGCGCACCATCCAAGCGATGACCACGTCTCCGGCCGCTATCTCGCGCGCGGTGGACCACATGTTGGCGGTGAGAGAGGAGAGCTGGGAGGGTGACGGCAGCGCACGAAGGGGGACGGGGCGGGAGGGACGAGAGCCCACGCGCGATAGACCGGTGGGGAAGAGATCTTGCCCAATATGGATCTCGCGTACGCTGCGAGGGTGGGAAGATTGAGGTGCGCCCCGGGATCTGAGGGAGACGCTGGGTCCGAGTCCGTGGCGCCGGGTCGTCCGGTGGCTCTCGCGACAGGCTCAGTGCGAGCAGCAGTCAGTCGAGTGCTGTCCTCTGCACGAGCATCGCCCAAGCCGTCTGTCTCATGCATGTGCCGTCTCTGCTGTGATCGTCACCGCACGTATACCCTCCGGAGAGCCGTGAGCGAGTAGGAGGGAGGAGGAGGGGGAGGCCCGCGTCTAGAGTGAGTGGTGGATGGCAGTGGCAGATCGGACTCGGAGCATTCCTCTCGCCCTCGTCCACTCGAGCACTCTGATTCCCGTTTAGACTCAGCTCGAGCCTCCCCTCTCCTCACCCTCCCCCACCTGCTCTTCTCCTTCCTCCGCCATCTCCCTCCCCTCCCCTCTCGCTCCGCAGCCTCCCACTCTGCCGTCTCCTCTCTTACTCTCCGTGCACCTCTTCTGGCGCCCACCGAACGCGACCAATTCATGACACACGCGTAGTCTGTCCCACCTGCACCTACCGGACGCCTATCCTTTCTAGAAATACACCACCTATCCTCTCCTCGTCCCCCCTCCTCGGCCTTCTGCCCTCTCACCCTCTTCCCCTGTGACGTCCTCCTCTCCCCTGGTCGCCGTCCATGGATTCCTCGTCTCCCGCCTGTGTCTCCTTCAGTGCGTGCTGCCGTTGCCACTCCCAACCTTGTACGCGTCCTGACCTGATCGCCCCGCCCCTTCTCATCCAGTCGGAATCGTCGACTTCACAGAAGACGTGAGCGCGCCTATTCATGACGCATGTTCCCCCGACCTCTAGATTCTTACTCCCTCCCGTTTGACCCGTCCAGGCTAACTGGGTGTACTGTTCCGAATCGGTCTACGACCTCCTCGGTATGTCCCTCCAAATGACAACATCCGTCAACCACCGCTCACATTTATTCCCACAGGTTATGAGCCTCATGAGCTTATTGGAACTTCTTCCCTCAACCTCGTCCACCCCGATGAGTTCTCCGAGGTCAAGGAGCTACACTACACCACCATCTCGCAGGACCAGGCCGCCGTCCTCGCGTACCTCCGCATGCGCCACAAGGACGCGTACAAGGGCTACATCCTCTGCGGCATCGTACGTCTTCTCGCCTCTCGCGCGCTTGGTCCCTGCCCCGCAGCGCGCTGACAGCGGCGATCGCCCGATAGTCTCGCACGGTCTGCCAAAACGTGCTCGTCGGGAGCGTCTCCTTCGCCGCCCCGGGCCCAAAGGCGATGCACAACGCATCGACCGCCCAGGAGGTCAAAATCATCACCCCCACCGCGAAAGATCTAGAGTTTAGGGTGAGCGTCCCGTCTTCTTCGCCCGCCGCTGCTTCTCCCGGCTCACAAGCGGACGCGTGCGACAGCGATGGAATGACCCGAACCCGATGCCGCCCTGCCCCATTCCGCCGTCGCGTTCAGGCAGCCCCACCCGCGACCGCGACTACCGACGCGACCGCGCGCGGGCCATTACGTTCGACCCGCTCCCGGAGCAGTCTGTCCGCACCGCGCTCATCCTTGATCGGTTCAGCGTGAACTGCGGAATTATGTACTGTTCAAACGACAGCCTGCTGTCGACAACGACCTGCATGGGTCGCAGCTTCTTCGACTTTGTCTTGCGCAAGGACGAAGACCTGGTACGCTCGTGGATCGACGTCATCAAGGGCTGGGGCGTAAATGAGCGCGGGCAGCCGAGCGACGGTGGCTTCGGCTTTGGCAAGTTCACCGTGCTCGTCAACGGGCGCGATTCCAGGTAGGTCTTCCGCACCCTCCGCTCCGTGCAGCATACACGGTGCCCCTGCATTTGTTCCTCTCAGGGCAAGCATTTGTGGGGCCGCGCGCCGTGATAGATTTGTCGACCCACGCTGATCTGCCGCGCCCATCTCAACAGCATCCGCCAACCGGACCCTGTGCCCTCACGCCACCGCAACGGCTCGCACGCGCACGCGCATAGCAATAACCACGCGGACCCACATTCGCACTCGCACTCGCGCACGCGCGACGCCGCCCGCGCGCACCACTACCAGACGTCCTCCGGGCCCGGCCACCGCGACCGGGGGGAGCGCGACCGCGGCGAGAACGGACGCGAGAACGGCCGGGAGCGCGAGAGAGATAGGGATAGGGAGCGAGGGATGATGCGCCCGCCGCGGACGACGGCGCGCCCGGAGAACGAGCTCATCGTGGACGCGATTTTCTCGGCGCACTCGGACGGGCTGATGGTCATCCTGCGCAAGTCGAGCTCGTGAGCGGCGGCCGTGCCCCGCGCACACACGCTACCGGTGGCCAAGTATGCTACGCGTGTGGCGGGCCATTGCCCGCCCACGCGTCGTCCGTGCACTTTGCCACCCGGCAGCGTCGCCGCGTGCGGCATGCTGTGGACCCGTCCCCAGTTGAATTTCGCGTCGTGTGTCTGCGTACGTGTAGCTATGCGCGTACATATTTTCGTGGCTTCCTTCCCCTCCCCTCTCCGTGCCGCCGTGCGTCAAGAGAAAATACCGTGTATATCAATACCCCGCCAGTGTACTTACGTCTACCCCCTCACGTCTTCTCTTCCGTCCCACGTCCCCCCGCTCCTGTGTCCCGCCATCTGTCTGTCTGTCTGTCTGTCCGTATGCTATCGATTATCGTCGCTTCGTTCCGTACTCTGTGCTGCCAATGCTGCTCTTGTTTATACCTATACCGCTGCCTAGACACTACTCCGCCCGCCCCTGCATCGCCCGACGCGGCCCTCGATGTCAAACTCGGAACCTACGGGACGCAGGTTGAGGTTCGCGCGGCCTTCTCTTCCCCGTCACCGTCACCGTCTTCGCGCTCGCCTTCGGGTTCTCTTCTGCACGGACGGCTTCCTCGCTACCCACCCGCTCGGGCCTCTAGGTCCATGGTTCGTTTCGTTTCCTATCTCCGTGCTCACGTCCGCCGTGGGGTTACCGGTATAGGATAGCTGAAATGTGAGGCAATCTATCCAGCCTAATGATACGCAGTACGGCTCTGACCGACGGTATATCCGCGACCGCGACGGATTATGACGACAGGCTTCCTTGTTTTCATATGATGCACGGCACCCCGAGGCTGACTGACTGTTCCGAGCCCGTAGAAGTTGCGGACAAGCGGCGGACATGTGGACGTGAGATCACCACACGCACAAGAACCCTGCAGGAACCCCCAGAAGACACACCACGCCGGCATGAAGACGTCGCTAGGGCCGTCGGGACGCGCACGAAGACGAAGCGCAGCCCAGGACGGCAATTCCGTCCGGCTAGCGCGTCGCGCGCACCCCAAAGCCTGGATCACGGACGTACTCGCTCCAGACGAAGTTCGACAAACGCTACCGTGTTATGGATACATTGCAGTATGATATCTACACGAGCTGCCCCTTGCCTGGTGCCAGGCCCCAGAAGGCCGCGGTGGCTGAACTGCGAACGACCGATCGATCGAGCGTGCCCGCCGCCGATCGTGCACGCGATCGCCGCGACCCATGGCGGCGCGGGACCCACAACGGCGGGGCGCCCGGTGCTGGGAGCGGTAGTGGCGGCGTCCACGGTGTGCTGGGCGCGGTACGGCTGCCTTTGGTCGCCGGCGGGGCCATAGGGACCTACATTGCGCTATCGGCCCATCGATTACTGCGCGTGTCTGTGCTTTGTGTGCAACATAGGACGCGGATTGAGTTCAGCGCGCGGGCCGGGGTCGTAACCTCTGATGCCGGTGCTAGAGGCAGGCACGATACCATGCACAGCTTGGCCCATCGTGTTGCAGCTGCAGCCAGGTCCGAGGCGGTCATGGGTGTCTTGTCTGCGCGCAAGGCATTCGCGATACTGAATGCGAAGTAGCTTCCAGGCGAGGTTCCGCATCAGCATTCGCCACGGCTGGGACCACCACGCTCACGCACCGAGTCGTAACGTGATGAAGTCGCCAGACGCAGTACCGCTCGCCAGGGCATGATAGATGACCGTCTGAACCTTCACCCCGCAGGGTCCGCAAGGTTAACGTCCTGGCTCCTGCGCCCCCTCCCTGGCCCGGGCCCCCTCGCGCCCATCTCACCCGGCCGGCAGATCCTGCGCGGCGGGGGGATCGCGCGCCCGTGCGCGTGCAAACAGAACGTCCAGAAGACGCGGATTGGCGCACCGGGCGGCCACGCGTGCCCCGTTCCCGCCCGCGGAGAGTTCGGGAGGCGCATGGGGCACCCACGGCCGGGCGCGGGGCCCCTCTGTGCCCGCACTGGGGCCCTGAGTGTGGGTGGGGTCGCGAATTTTTAAGAGGGTCGACGGCGTCATGGGAGTGCGCGCGCGCAGGGTGGCGAGGCCGGCGTACGTGAATTGGAGTCAGGAGCGTTTGGCTGTGAGAGAATGGCCTGGTCCATGCCGTATGTTAGCACGGCTGCGGCATTCATATAATCCTCCGTGACGGCGCAGTGGGAGTGCTCGCTGCCCGGAGGACGCGTTGTGTCTCATCACGAAGTGCACTAGAGCACGAATGGAGGGATCGTCGCAACATACGAGACGCCTACGAAGGTGTGCAGACGCCCGGAGGCTTTCTAGGTAGTTCGGGGCTGCAACGCGCGCTAGGGGAGCAATGAGCTGCACTCTGAACCTTCGCCGGCGACGCGACGGGCAGCGCGAACTTGGACCAACAGCCGCGTAAAGGTGTTTATGCCGCTGTTGCACAGCGTCCCGGCTCATTGTGTGCATCTGCGCGGGAAGCCAAGTGCGCGGAGCACGGTGCGCACTTAGCGCACACCCATGAGATCCGCGCGACCGCTGCTGAATCTCAGCGAAGGTCGCCCAGCACGGAAGTAACGGCGCTCGCGCACCGGGACGCGGACGTTGCCTGCAGCCGAGTGTGCGCGCCTCTCTGAGCCCGAGGCTGGGTCCCCGTCGGACTTAATCAGCAGACGGGTGCTGATATTGCGTCCATCCGGGGAATGAGTGTAGGTTGTCGTCGGCCGCTGGCTTGAAATGTTGCGTCCGCGGTCCGCAGAGAAGGTTCTGATGCAAGTTGCAGAAGGTTGCAGACGGCTGCAGCGGTCGTTTCATCACTGTCAAAGTGCCAGACAACAGTGAGATTCAGATTGCAGAAAGCCGCGCGTAAAAAGCGTTGATGGCAGGTGCGCGTGTCACCGTGGAAGACTTCGACTGGGTATGGGCTGGTATGTGCCGCTAAGACAGGCTAAGAGGCGGCGGGCGTGTTATCCATCACAGTGGCGCCGTCTTGTCCGTCTGCCACTCACACTCTCTTGTGCAGCATCGGGGTACCACCACGCTGAAGGCCGAGCTCGGATCCGGAGGTGGCGTACTTCCTACATCAACTTGCGGTGGTGGCGCACGAGAGTCGCCTCGTGGATAGAGAGCGATCTTGTGTCTTGAAGGGAAGGCGCGGGTTGCATTCTCAAGGCTACCGGAGCCGATGTATCGTGGCATGCGTAGGTGTGAAGGCAAATCGTCCCTGGACGGAGCGCTCGACTTTATGGTGGAAAACGCCGTCGCTAAGGATGGGAATACGTCAAGCGTCATCTAAGGACCAACCAGCGATGCGGATCGGCCGTCTTGTGATCGAGCAGACTCCCTTGCATGCTTTGTGTACTAGGCGTTTGTGCGGATGCGACCTATGCATGTTTGACAAGTGTACGTAGCAAGTTGCCAAGGGACGTGATTTGACGTACCGCGCTCTTGACATATGCCGTTCACCGTGGCTCCGAGCGTTGCACCACTTCCGAACCCTTGGAAACGAGTTGTGGGCGACGGCGACTACGGCGAAAAGGGAAACGCCGGCCTTCCAGGACTTGCTTTGAGTGAGCAAGGTATAGAAGCACATCGTACTAGCATGTTCCATCGTGTCGGTCGAGAGCCGCGTTGTTTGGCCGGGACGTTCCTTGGATGTCAAGTCATGGTTCGTGGGAGGCCGATGATCCTCGAAAATACGTGTGTACGTGTCAGCGGATCCTGCTGAGCACGCTGTGGCATTGTTTGTGAACACAGCTGTTGAAGTCGCCGTCCCGAGTCGAAAAGGCCTACTTGTTCGGATCGATAAACGTCTCCCCTTAGCCGTGCTGAAGGTAGCGTCTTTAAACTCGGCTAATGCAATGTTCATTGCGCCGCACTTACACGCTAGAAGATGAACATGCGTTAGCCTCTGAGGCAACACACACTAACGTCTTGTTGGTACATACCAGAAAGCGGTTTACACGAATCGCAACAGTCCATTATGTAAGCGTATTACCACCTCCGAAGCTGTTGCACCGGTCAAATATCAATTGCTATGACAAACACCTCTGTAGCATCAGTGAGATGTCATACCAAATAAACAGCAGGTGGTCGGAAAGCGATCGTGCAGTGTGGCATTGACGTCAAGACGGTCAAGGACGAGACGATGAGGGTCCGAAGCAAGCCTCGTCGCCGTCAAGCGCCCACAACCGGGCGCGCGTCGTGAGAACTCGATCACGTGCAAAACGCGTCTCGCCACCGCCACAAACGCGTCTCTAGGCGCCTCATCTCCTGCCTTCTCCTAGTACTCGCTTCGGATTCCTTGGGACGGCTGCTGCGCATATATGCTACTGGAAGATGTCTGACTACTTTGACGAAACTTTTGACGACTATGTGGATGAAGCTGCGGACATCGTGCATGAGGTTTCTCAATCACCAACCACCACGCCCACGGCTCCGACAACCAATGACTTCGGCGACGCTCGCTCATCAAAGGCTCTAGCAGCATGTCACAAGTGCGTAGATATGTATCTGTAATACGTGCATATACTGATGGATTGGAACATAGAGTATTGCTGGAAAGTATGTAATTCGCCAGCTACAGTGAGTGCGCAAACGGTAACGCATGACTCTACGACTAGTATTCGGTCACTCCGAATTCAGAGGTAGACAGAAAGAGATAGTAGAAGCCGCAGTTATAGGTGAAGATAACGCTCAGGGGATCTACCTGAGTTTTCTTACTCAATCTTTGCTCTAGGCTCCGATGTTCTTGTCATTGCACCAACGGGAATGGGAAAGGTTTGGCTTTGGACCTCCATTCATTGGACTGCACTGATCCGCGTACAGAGTTTATGCTTTCAGATACCTGCGGTCGCTGCTGAGGTAGGTTTCAACACTGATGCTGGAGTACCATCGGCATTTATCCGTTTAATAGAATGGCGTCACTGTCGTAGTCTCACCGCTTCTCGGTGCGTCGCACAGCTCTTCAGCCAAGACGTTGTCCTCACTGAAATCACCTTACTATACGTAGCCTTGATGAAGAATCGTACGTTCTAATAATTGCTTACATCAATGGTGCCTTATTACAGTTTACACTCACAGAGGTTTCGAAGCTACACCAACTGGGTGTTGCTGTGGCCTCCCTCACATCCGAGACGCGCCACAATGACAAGACGAAGGTGAATATCATGCCTTTCGTCTGTCTGACTAATGTCGTTTGACTGGTGTTTAACCTTGCGGTTCTCGGGCAGGTCATTCAAGACTTAACGTCCGATGACCCCTCGATTCGTCTTTTGTACAGTACGTTATTGCATCTCGTGTGGCTGAGATTCACTGACAAGAAAGGGTTTAGTCAGCCCCGAGAAGTTCTGTACGCCCGAGATACGTCGGATACTGGTCCAGCTACACAACGCGGACGAGCTGAACCGCTTAGTGGTAGACGAGGCGAGTGAAACCAGCACTCAGGCGCGAAGTCTCAAACGCTTATCAGTTTACTTCTTTGTCTAGGCGCATTGCATATCTGTAAGTCGATCCAGCCTAGGCATCAGGCGTCACTCATTCCGGAGCAGGAATGGGGCCACGACTTCAGAGAAGAGTACAGGCGATTAGGGTCATTCAGGGACAAATTCCCGAACATACCTATCATGGCGCTGACGGCCACAGCCACGGAAGGGTACAGCAAACACCACCTCACATTTCTCAATCTAACGTCGGTCTTTTCAGGGTACAGCAGGACGTCATCCGCAGCCTCAAGATGGCCAGAGACCGCCTGTTCCTGGCCTTGCACCCGTTCAATCGCGAGAATCTCTACTACGAGGTACGCGCATGCCCTCGTCACCATCCTCCCCACCAGCCCAGCGCACTCCATCTCACTCCTTGTACTACAGGTCCGCTACATATCGTCTCCGAACCCTAACGCGCATATGATCGACGTGTTCGAGTATATCAATAACCTGCACGAGCGGCGTGGTCGTGCCTCCTCCGGTATCGTATACTGCAGGACGCGAGCAGTGTGCAACGACCTTGCCGCGTTCCTAAGCAAGAAGGGCCTGCAGGCAAAGGCGTATCATCGAGGCTTGACGTGAGTCACATTTTTGCCGTGTAAAGGTGTAGCATTGCGCTGAACAGGGAGGTGTTAGTCCTTCTGTACTCGACAAAACCCTTCGCCAATGGGACGAAGGTGGATCGGGAACCCATGGTGGCGCCGATGTAGTAAGTGCCTCCGGTCACGATAATCTACAGCAGAAGTGTTAATTCATGCGTGATCAGGTCTGCGCTACGATCGCGTTCGGCATGGGTATCGACAAGCCTGATGTTCGGTGCGCTCGCTCGATTATACTGCTGCATACCCCTTCTCAATTGTCACAGCTATGTTATTCATTTTGACTTGCCCAAGAGCTTCGAAGGTACGCAACTGTCGTTATGCGTTTTCTATGCCCGTCTGATCTGACTATAATCGCTGTGTCCTCAGGCTACTACCAGGAGACAGGTATGTGGCACTTCTGCTGGCGAGTGTACACCTCAAATTCACAACACGTCACTCCACGCAGGAAGAGCAGGTCGAGACGGCCTTGTAGGCTCACACACCACGTATCTTTTCATGCCACTGACCTAGGTCTTGCAGCCAGCGAAATGCATTTTGTTCTACTGTACGCTACCCGGCTCTTCTTTCGCCGTGTCTCGTCTGGCTCACTTTTTTGACAGCGAGGGAAGACGCACATCGTGTCAAACGTTGGGTCACAGAATCGCATTCCAAGCGCATCGTCCGCGCGGAGTCGAACAATGGTCCCGAACCTAGCCAAAGGGCTGCAGATAGTCTGAGCGCGGTAAGTTGCAACCGCACGCCTATCCCTATATATCGCACTCACGGCACTGCCTCTTCCGAGCAGCTGGTGAACTACGCAGAGAACGCACATTTATGTCGACATGTTGTGAGTTCCAAGCCTCGAGTACTCAGCGCAAAAGAGAATTTTCTCATACCCGTCGCAGCTCATATGCAGGTACTTTGGGGAGAAGATCGACCTCCAGGACCCTGAGGCGACCAAGAAGTACTGCAGCAAGATGTGCGATGTACGTGCCGAGCAACATTCCCTCCCGCACTTCGCTTACATTGTCTATCTGGTCAGGTCTGCAAGTACCCAGGCAAAGCCCGCACACGCAAGCTCGTCCTCTCTACGCAGGAGGATGTCGACGCAATACCGTGGCAAGCCCCGGATCGGGTTCGAGATCGTGGAGACGACTTCAGCGGTGGCAGTGGCGAAGCGTCAGGCTCACGCACGGCCATTGGCCATCGAGCACCCTCAACGGGTGGACCGTCAAATTTCAACAACGCAGGCAACAGACGGACGTCCGTGAAACGGCCTGGAAGCCCAGAGGACAAGGAACAAGGACAGCGCCGCGAACAGCACCGTGCAGGCGCGAAGAAGGTCAAGACAGCACCTACCGTCCCAGTGCACATCTGTGAGCACCCAAATTATCATCATGCGAGCGCGGAGGCTGAGGTCACGGAATATGGGCAGCGGCGACATTGAAGCAGTCACTTGGGCGAGCGTTCAAGACGCCCTTCAAGACGCCCTTCAAAGTCCCGCTGAAGAGCTCTCCAGGGACGGACGTTTCACGCTCTGCTGGGGTACCTGCGCCTGCAGAGTCGTGGCGCAGCATACAGGCGGCGGCTGACGCGGGCAGGAGCGTGAAGGGCAAGGAGCGTGCAAGTGACTCGGAGGAGGAAATCGAATGGGTTCCGGCGCCATCGCCACGAAGTCGCAGCCCCCAGGATGCCCCGGTGGACGACCCCGCTGGAGAGTGTCCATGTAAGTCATGTTCTACGTCTACCCTCATTTATGAGCGGTGCTGATGATTGCCGGTCAGCCTCACCGATTCTACTCCCGGAGACCGACGTCGAGCTCGACGCGGCATTTTCACAGAAGATACCCGTACGCATTCACCCGTAGGTCTTACAAGACACGTATTGAGCTGACTTACTTTCCGTAGGTGCACGCACGCAACGAATGCTTCGCCGCGCTCCGCAAAGCCCTCCACAAAGCCCTCCCCATAGACCCCAGCAGCAACGCCTGGCACCGACTGAAACTCACCGGCGCCGTGGATTCCGACACCAAGTGAGTCCCCCTCGCTCACCATCTATGCTCTCGCCCGGCACTAACGACCACGTAGGACAGACATCCTCGCAGCCACCGCGCGCGAGCTCGAGTTCAACGTGCACGCGCTCTGCCGCACCGCCGACGGGTACCGCGAACGCGCGGCCGAGCGCGTGCGCGCCGTGAAGCAGCTCGCGCGGCCGCAGGCGTGGGCCGCGGACGACGGCGCGGACGAGGAGTACGAGGATGCCAGGGACGTCGTCATCGCGCTGCGGCTCGTCGCCCGGCGTATGTGCCGGAATAGCGCGAGCAGCAGGGCGTAGGACGGTAAGACGGGATCGTGTTTGTTTACGTGCGAGGGGCGCGGGTCCGGGTGTGCTGGCGGGGACTGCCGGCGTGTATATGTACCGACTGACGGAGGGATGTTCGTGAAATGAACGCGCTTCGCGTGGTCCAGGGGCCTGCTATTCAGTGCGTCCCTTGGAGGACGCGTTCGCTGCTTCGCTGTCAGATAGTCGTTTGCCTACCGACGGGAGGAACGGGTCGGACCGATGACGTGCAAAGAAGACCGTCGTCCTCCGTTCCGCAAACTCGTGGATCTGCGTACGAGGCCGGATGGGGTTGGGCGACGATCTTGAGCTTAAACATGGCAGTACGTGTAAGAACTTACAAGTGTTGCAGCTCGTCGTGATACGAGTGCTGATTAATGATTGTGAGGCACTCGTTGAAACTTAAGGCACTGCAGAGCACGCTTCACACGAGATTGAAAGTTTCAAATGTGATGGATAGAGCAAAGGAATATAGTACAGCTATGGCATACAAGGACGTGCGACGAGACGATTAGGAATGGGGCGAGGAACAGGAGAGCACGGTCATCGAACTAGCCAGAGCGGACGACATGGAAGGAATCTTCTATAGCTACACGGGAGCAGGGGGTATGGGGGGTTTGGGAAGGGGGGAGAGAACACCGCTCATGCCGCGATGGCCTCAGCGGTGATCGGCGGCGCCGCAAGGGGGTGCGGCGCAGACACCTGAGAGACCGTCTGCGGGGGCGTCGCGAGGTGCATGTGCTGCTCCTGCGTCTGCGCCTTGGGCTTGATCGTGAAGCGGAGGCGCATCGCCGCGCCCTCGCCCTCGGCGGTGATCTGGATCTGCTCCATGTTGTCGACGAGGTAGTGCGCGCCGCAGTTCTCGATCTTCGAGCGCTCGTGCGAGGTGCAGACGGCGATGACCGTCGCGCCCGACGCGACGCCGGCCTTGATGCCCGAGGGCGAGTCCTCGAAGACGACGCAGCGCGTCGCCTCGAACCCGAGCTCCTTCGCGGCGAGCAGGAAGGGGTCGGGCGCGGGCTTGCCGGCCTTGAGGCGCTTGTCGTCGGCGGTGATAGTCACCTCGGGAGGGGTGATACCGACGCGAGTCATGCAGCCGTAGGCTAGAGGAAGAAAGGCGGTCAGTGTCGTGCTCGAAAGCCTGAGAGGGGTGGTAGCTTACCATAGGTCTTAGCACCGGAGGTGGCGACCGCGTAGCGGCCCTTGGGGATCGAGTCCATGACGCGCTTGACGCCAGGGAGGATGCGAACCGAGCGGTCGACGGCGGTAGCCTCGAGCTGCCACGCCTCGAGCTGGTGCTTCTTCTGGAGCATCATCTTCCAGTCCTCGGCGTCTTCCTCAGTCTCCTCGGAGATGGGGTTCTCGAGGACCTCCTCGTTCTCACGGATGGTGGGCGACATGCTGAGCAGGCTGCTGACGCGGTGGAGGAACGAGGGGCGGCGGAAGGGCGCGAGCTGCGCGATGGTGCCGACGAAGGACGAGGCGCGCGAGGATGCACGGGAGGCCGGGTTCGAGCTCGAAGGCGAGAGGGCGGGGGTGGTCGCGCCGGAGTTCATGGGCGAGTTCTGGACGGAGCCAGGGCCGTGCTTGTTGTACGCATCGGCGAAGAAGAGGATGGACTCCTCGAAGGCCTGGACCTCGTTGTCCATCTCGTGGTGCTTGATATGAGGCTTGAACTGGGCGAGGTTGTCGACCGCGCGCTTGCCGTGGGTGGCAGCGATCACGTAGGCGGGGTCCTGGCCAATGTCTTTTGCGACCTTCCCCCAGGCGGCCTCGACGGCAGAGATGGAGTCGGTGAGGGTACCGTCCTATCAACACACTCCCATGGTTAGCATGCTCCGGAGGCTCGGCTGACGAAATGTACACACCATGTCAAAGAGGACGGCGTCGGCGTAGAAGGTGGTCTCGGTGTTGGCAGACATGACGATGAGAGACGAGTGGTATCAGGTGGTAGTAGATGAGGTAGCTGGCGTAGGTTCCGAAGAGACCTGGGTGTGTTTGGTATGTGTAGCGGAGAGGGGATGAGTGAGGCTGGAGGGCAGAGAGGCGGGGTCTTATATATGTTTCTCGGGACGGGTGCGGGCGTGACGTCAAGTGCGCGGTGAAGGACTGTTGAGAAGCAAATTTTGAGCGGGCGTCGGGGCTGTCCGCGCATATTGGCTGAAAGTGGAGCGTGTGCACGGAGCCGGGGTCGGAGGGAAGATTCGCGATAGCGCCGGGCGGCGTTCGCCACGTTCGCCACTCGGCAGGAAGGCCGACGCTCGAGGAGCGCGATAACCACCGTTGCCGTCTCCGCCCACTCGGGACAGGCGCGGACGAAATCCAAGAATCGATGGGCGTTGAGTCTGCATTAGGCAACTCCGTTTGATGAGGCTGCTAGATCCCATCGGCTCTCTTCGCGCCCCCTTTCCGCATCGGGGGCTCGCTGGCCCGACAGAGTGGACCGCGCTCGGCACACCGACGTCGCAGCCCCTTCCGTCACTTCACATGCGTTTGCATTCGAGGGTGTCTGTGCCTCTCGCATCCTAGCACGGTGCATCACTCCCCGAAGCACGATCCCAGACAGCGACCGCTTCTTCGAACAGCGCAACCGTTCCCTGCGCACACCCCAAAACTCACGGCGGAACGGACGTGCAGGCGCTGCGGTGGAGCGGCAAGCGTTTAGACGACCGATCGCGCCGCCTCGGAGCCGTAGGCGCCGGGCGGCACCCAGCAGCCCGACGCGCGCGCTGCCAAATGAGGGGGGCCGCCGCCGAGGACCGCCGCAGTTGGCGGATCGGCGACGGCGGGGCCGCCACCGACGCGGCGGTCGTTGGCCAGTCGGGGGGTAGAAGGTGCAGCCGGCGGCGACGTCATGACGCGCCGAGGATGCGTGGGAGGGCAAATCGCGATCGGAAAGGGAAATTGTGATGTACCTTGGATTAGACGCGGCCGTGGTGGCGCCACCCCTGTCATCACCGCGGTTGCCGACGCGCCCCATTTCTGCCTGCGTCCATCGACGAGCGATATGTGCTCGATGCAGTCATTGCGAAGGTGGAGCGTGATGCACGTTCGCAAGCACAGGCGCGCCGTCCTCCCTCTCTCCACCCGCGACGCCCGCGAATTCGCCCTCCCGGGGCTCCACTGGCATAATCTCTGCACATCGTCCCCCTCCGCTAGCCGACACCTCCTTTCCTTTCCGGTCGAACGAGCTCAGTTTTACTTGCCGGCCACACGCGTGCTGCGCTCCCGCGCTCGACAACCATGGCTGACACGGTGACAGCACCCTATATCCGGACCGAGACGATCGAACTAGCTGCTTCCAAATAACCAAGTCCTCCGTGCATGCGCAAGTGCCACTCGGCGGCGCACCCTGCTTTACGCGTCCGAAGCCACCACCCACCGCGAGGCCCCGTTGTTCGGGCCCGCTCCTGCCTCGGACTGCTGCAGATTGCCTGCAGAGGGCGATGCGCGTGGGCCACCTTGATACCGCCGTCCAGGAACGCTGACGGCTTGTTTGGCGGCAGTGGGCGGCATGCAGCGTGGACCAACAGCTCGTCGCCCGCAAAAGTGGCCATGCTTGCCCGTTCGGACGTGCCGCGTATCTGGACGTACTCGCCGACGATCCTCACCCGTAACGTTCGCACGCCGCGCGGTCGTTGGCAAGAGTTCAAGTTCGCTGGTGGCGTACCTTGAGAGAAGCGTGGACCACGGACAAGTGAGAAGCACCCCGTTGTACGTCCGCGTCTCACTCCGTCCGAGACCTCCGTGGCATTGAATCAACGCCAACGCCAACGTCAACGTTCGTTCGTGCGTTCCTGGCCAAGCGCGTCCTTATCTTCCCAACTCTAATCGCGCTCCGTGTTTTTCATGCCTGCCGACCGCAACAGCATCAGTCGGGCCACGTCGCAGTATTCTTAGCGCGGCTTCTGTTACGGCCGCAGTGCCAGATAGCACTCCGGGCGTTCCTGCAGAAGAAGGCGCGCTCTGTGCATCATCGCACACGTTCCATCCCGCCTTCCCAGAAGCACTGCCCTTCTCCTTTCCGGGCCTCTGGCTGTGGCCACAGCGCCGCTCCTCTGCTTATGGTGCTATGTCCTACCGCGAAAATCGCGGCACATACCTACTTCGCGGCGGAGACTGCTCACGGCCCACGCTAACAGCCGATATCTCGCTACACCCCTCTCTAGAGCTTTCTCTGCATCACGACGCTCATCCTTTGTTGGCACGGCGGACTGGATTCGAATTCAGACCCCCGGATATGCCATGTCCCTGGCCCACGTTCCCTTTCTCCCGCTGCGCTTCCTGCTTGGAGCGTCCGGGCGAGCTTTGTGCGCGTTCCGCAACGCACCCCGATGCGGGAAGATAGAACCACGAACGCACTGTGTGTGGCGGGTGGGGCCTGGTGTACGTACGGCGCCGCGTCGGCACGGCGGGCGGCATGGCATCCGGGGTACATGGCACGCCCGCTCATGGCGCCCGGGGTGGCTGGCAAATGGGATAGAAGGCGGACGCAGGCAGGTTCGAAACAAGGCTAGCGAGACAACTACGCAATGGGAACACGACGCCACCGCGCGAGACAACGGAAGGCGCGGAGGCTCGGATGTACGCTCCGAGGCGGGGCTGTCAGTTGTTTAGTTTGAACGCCGTGCGTGTGCATGTGAGTGTGCGGGATGCCACGGTGGCGAGGGAACGGACGTCGAACAAGCCTGAGAGGCCTTCGACGTTGCTTTGTCGCGCACGCCGGTCCGAGCGAAGGGCGGTAGGCGACGACAAAGGATGAGAGCGCGGGGAGTCTACTTGAAGTGCTGAAGGCCCGGGGTCGGGCATGCCTATCGCGGCCTGGCCATCGGGGGTGGTCGCTGTGGGCGCGCGCCGCGTCCCACAGGCCGTCGACGGGGCGCTGGTGGTTGTGCGTTGAGTATTCAATATCGGACCGACGGCCCTGGACGGTTGTGGAACTCGCGCTACCTACGTATGCCGGTGCTAGGATGCTCGTCGGCCGCTGTGAGGTCCGCCCGACACGTCCGGGAGGGCCGTACGCGCACACCGACGTGTGAGGCGGGCTCGCGCGCAGCACGGGGTGCCAACACGGTATGCCCGTCGCACACGCACCCATGATACACCGCAAAAGGGGCTAGAGGCTCGGGGTCTTTGCACAGCAGGACCACGGGACACACTTGGCCTGGGCGGGCCAACAATACAGATCTCGGAGTTCAATCCACACACATCATGGTGTCGCGCAGGCCCGTCTCCGACGCTCCGCCCCCAGCCCATCACCGGCCCCGCAGGTCAGCGACGGGTGACAGCAGGTCCGCGGCCGCGATCCAGACCCTGAGCGCGCTTGTGGGCGAGTATGGGTCCACTGGATGCCCGGAGCGGAAGGAGGGCTTGGGGAGGAGGGGTCCGCGCGGGCCTGGGCCCGTGGGCGGAGGCGCTGGCCAGGAACGCACGCGCCCCCGTTGCTGTCGGGGACTGGCGGTGCGCGTCCGGTGTTCAAACCAGCTCAGGGGACCGAGCGCGATGTCGCCGACGGCGCGGAGACAGCAGCAGGTACGCCGTGCTCGAGCGCGAGGCCGAGGACAGGTACTTGCGGGTGGAGCAAGCAGAGCCAGATGATCGATGAGCGCCCAGGGCAGAGTCGCTCGATGTGTTCCAAAAATCAGCGTGCAGATATACATTCCAGGTACGACATACCGACAGGTACACAGGATAAACAGGGCGAGTGAGGCAAGGTACAGTACACGAGAGCGCGATCCGTCATGTCCGTACACCGTCCGCCCGGGGACTTGCGTGTGTGGCCCGCGGGTGCAGCGGCGCCACGACGTCCTCCATGTCGTCGTCCTCGTCGCTGTCCTCGTCCGCGAGCTCATCGACCTCCGTCTGGTGCCCGCTCCCTAATGTGGACGGCTCCCCAGGTACAGGCACGGCAGCTGCTGCTGCCGCGGAGGCACTTGAGGCTGCGATGGACGCGAAGAGCTCGGGGAAGGCGTTCACGTCCATTACAAGATGTGGGCCACCGGCGTATGCTGCCATGGGTGGTGGGGGCTGGTCGACTGCGGGCCGAGGTGAAGGGTGTGCCGGAGAGGGAGCCTGAGGTGGTGATGTAGGTCGGGGTGGCTCTGAGGCCGCCGTCGGTTGTGGTTGTGGCATGGGCTGCGCGGCTTGGGCTGGTTGAGGAGCCTGGATAGGGATAGAGGGCATGACGGGTGGTGGGTACGCCACAGGTTCCTCGTCCTCGTCCCCATCCGCAATCTCAGTAAGTTGCGCGGCCAGTAGCGCGAGCTGGGCTTGCAGCGCGGCGCGCTCGTCCTCCGTCAAGACCGCGCGTGGAGGCTCCGCTGGCGCCGCCACCCCAGCAGCGTTCACGAGCGCGCTGAGTACAGCAGCAAGATCCGCGTCGCCGTCAGCGAGGGGCGCTGGCGGGACCGCAGAGGAGCCGCCCTGCGCGGATGAGCTCGCCGCGGCGCCGGATGCGTTCGAGGACGACGAAACGGAAGCCGAGAGCTCGAGGCCCCCGAAGTTGATCGCCTGGAGTATATGCTGCGCGGCCTCCCAGGCATCGCTGCCCTCGCCCGACTCGTCCTTCTCTTCCGCGGTCTTGGCAGTGCTGCTTGCGGTGGCAGCGGTGGTTGGGGCTGCAGGTGGGGGTTGGCTGGCAGCCTTTGCTTGCGCGGATTGGCCGGCGGCGGGGTGAGGATACCCGGGGTAGTGTCCGTAAGGGTACGAATATGGGTAGCCGTTGTACGGTGGCTGAGCGCCGCCTGGGGTGGGCGGATGTGGATGTGCCTGGAGCGGGGCGTGCGTGAACGGCGAGGATGGTTGTGTGGGGGCATGATGCGCCGCGTACGTTGTCTGTGCGAGTGTCTGCGGCCGTCGTGTCGTCCGCTTCGATGTCTGCATGAACCCGATGACAGATACCAAACAAACGAAAGGAGCAAATCGCGCGTCGTGAGCATATCGGAAACTTCTCGGAGAGAGCGTACGTACCGCGCCGCCTTCCCACGTAGGGTTCAGGCGATACTTCCCGCCCGCACGCTTCTCCAGGCGGCCTCTTTTGTACGCCTTCTGCAGTGCCTGGGATGCACTCGGCCGGAAATTTGTCTGTAGCGGGTACCGAGCAGCCATCCACGTGAAAAGATCTTTCGGAGCGGCACCTTCCGCATCCCCACAGTCCAAAAGCGCCTCGACGATCATCTCTTCGTAAGAAGGCAGGTCTTCTGCTGGTGGAGGGGGCGGGGGTTGTGCGGGAGGTATTGGAGGACGAACGAGGGGAGTGGAGTTGAATAATGGATGCTGTCCGTGGGCATGCGGCGGGGGTGGCGAATGCGCAGGCACAGGCGCAGGATAGCCTGGGGGCGGGCCATAAGGTGAATATTGGTAGTGTGCGGGGTATGCAGCGGGAGGGGCGTAATATGGGGCATGAGGGTAGGCGGTCTGCGGATTTTGCGGCTGCGGGACGGCGTAGCTGTAGTGGGTGTAAGGGTACGGGTTGGGAGGGTGGAGGCTTGCGTGCTGAGCCTGGGGCTGGGGCGTTGACGCGTGCGAAGCAGGGGCGGGGGATGGCTGAGAGGGACCAGCCTGTGGCTGAGACGGCGCATTGGCGGCGGATGTCTCCCCTCCGTTGGGCTGGGGTGCAGGAGAGGGCGCGGCGGTGATTGTCGCACCAGAGTCGGAATTACTTGCCTTCTCTTTTTCCCTCGCTTCTTCGGCAGGATCCCTCAAGGAGCCCATAGGCGGATCTGGGTCCACCGCCGGCGGAGCAGGAGGACCTGGCGGATGGACCTGGTGTGAGGGCGTACCTGCATTCGAAGGCGAAGCATTTCCGTTCAAGGGTAATGGGGGAGGATTTGCAGTAGCCGCATCAGGCTGAGGTGCAGGTGAAGTTGGTGGAGGAGGCTGAGGTTGGGCGGTCTTCTTCAGCTCAAGAATGGCCGCTTCAAGATCAGCCGGCCAGATGGTTTTCTTGACGTGTAATGGTACATGAGGCTCGAACAGCAGACATATTTCGATGATCTGCGCCGGTGGAAGGAGGGCAAGGTATGTTTTCTTCGAGGACGTCGCGTCGATGCTCGTGCTGATGCTCGCGCTCGCACTCGGGTTTACAGGCGTTGGATTGGGCGCTTCAGATGTACCGACTAGAACAGCATTGGCTAGAGAAAGGAGGGCAGGTGTATTGTAGACGCACCTGTGGATGGCGGACTCGCCGGGGGCGGAGGGGTGTTTGTGGCGGGCATGGGATTGCAGCTATACAGCCGCTGTGCAGTTTTTCCCTTCAAGATTCTCAGCCACACGCGCCCCCGCACTCGGCGCTTGTCAGGCGCTTATGCCTGACCGTCCTCTGGCGCGCATACACTCACCTCTATCCGCACCGCGACCTTCGACCATCTGGCATCTGCCTCCTCTTCGCCATTCCTTAGAGTCTCTAGGTCTCTCTCGCTGCGACCTTGACCTTACATGGGAACATCTCCTCTGCATGCTGTAGCGTCTTCTTGGCTGGGGTCTACATACCTACATGCGTTCGCACTGTCGGTCAGAGCTGGCTTAATTTCTCAGCGACCTCATGATGGTAGTCATCGGTGCGTGTCTTCACGTTATGCGGTGCGCTCGGCCGAAGAAGTCGAAATATGTATATTGAACCCTTGATTATGCATTTCGCAATACACCTCCGTCGTGCACGGGCACTCGTGCTACATTGCCAATTACTGCACTGACTGAAATGGCGGGTTGCCGTCACTCTGCCTTACAACATGCTCGCCCACCTGAGACGTACGCATGGGCAGCGAGCGATGACCATTACTTCTGAGTCCATCGATATGGCGATAGCGATGGCATTGCTCAAGTGACCGGAGGGTTGTTCTATAAGAGGACAGCTATCGACGACAATCAGCTCTCAGGACACCCTCAACATTACCACTCGTACTCACCTCAAACACCATGACGAAGCAGATCGTATTCACCGAGGAGGCCCTCCCTCCTCTTCCTGTCTACTGCAAGTGCATATCTCGTCGAGAGATATTGTGGCGTCTCACCTTCCCGTAGCGCAAGCTGTGATCTCCGGAAAGACCATATACGTCTCCGGGAGCATTGGCATCACCAGAGACATGAAGCTCGTTGACGGCGGTGTGCAGGCGCAGACGGTGAGTTACGATCTCCGTCGATACGGGTTCCATCTGGCTTACCGGCAATCCCGCCAGCGCGCCGCACTTGAGAATATGACGAAAGTGCTCAAGGGGGCCGGCGTTGGCCTCGAGAGCGTCCTCAAGGCGAACATCTACCTGACCAACCTCGCGCGCGACTTTGCGCCGATGAATGAGGTGTACCTTGAGGTGAGCTTAACTGCATGCACGTTCTACATGATAGTGCGTTCTAGGCAACTGACGATCCTTCGCACGATCAGTTCTTCGCCACAAACCCGCCGGCGCGTACGTGCATCGGCGTCGCCGCGCTGCCGCTGGGGGCTGAGGTCGAGATTGAGTGCATCGCCGAGCTGCCCTGAAGCACGCCGGCGGCATTTGCACAAATGTACGATAACACAGCTATGAAAGGACGGGTAACAGCAGATTGGCCTTGTACGCTCTGCAGATCCTCGGCATACCGCGGGCTCCGTGTGCGGACTACAGCAAAGACGTAAAGGAGCTATGTGTCCGGAGCGGATGCAGATGAGCTTGTTGCTAGCTATGTCGCCGCGCAACCTCCCATCCGTCTTGAACGTCAGAGAAGCCAGCGCACATCGGTATCTTGCTCGCGCCTTCTCCCGCGGTGAAACTGTTTGCGTACTCTCCAAGTGGCACTTCATTGACGTAAAGAGCGTACAGCACAAAAATACAGGATAGGACAAGGCGTGCCTTACCACGGAAGATTAGCCAGCGGGAAGTACCGCCGCAGGAGAAGCCTGTTCTGTATGAGTTCGGGACGAAGCCAGCTCGTAGGTTTACGTATGGCATTGTTTGGGCTTGCCCGCCGGATCGTCCTCCGTCGGTCGTTCGCGTTCATTACGATCACCATGCAGGACACGAGCGAATACAGAAGACGAAGACACGTCAAATAGCCTTGCTACAATTGCGAAGTTGCGCCGGCTGCGACCGCTATACAGAACGCTGTGCCTCCTGAAACAACACCTCCCCCTTCTATGGGCGTATCTCAAATGCGTCATCCAGCTGCAGTCCAGTATACATCGTACGTACAAGGAGACCCACCGCCGTGCCCCTTGCGATTGCCCTTTCTTGACACGGCGTATACTCCGACACGACGTAATGGGCATTGGATGCATATGCGCGAGACGACATTCCTCGCAGATAGTATGTACATCGGCCACTTTGGGTCGCATTTAGCGGAACGTTTTCCTGATACGAGTTACCTAGGGCTCGTTCTCCGCTGTCGCAAGGCGATATGCCTCTCGGATCAACGCCTCCGCCTCCACCGAACGCGGTTTGATTACGCATTGACAACCTTCAGGAGGACTGTAAAATCTGTCGTCAGCGACCATTTATAGAGGAACTACGTTCAGAACATACCTCACAAGGCCGTGGCCTTCCTCGTACTTCGCCGATACAGGGTACCCTTTGTCGTCCAGCGGTAAACTGAATTCGAAGACGTGCAGCAGTGAGGCGATGTTGATGAAAAGGGAAGGGATCGCGAGATAACGTCCGGGACAAATCCTGTTATGAGACGGACGTCACCGTCGTGCCTCAATTCATGGGTGAAGGCTGCGCGTACCTTCGACCGAATCCGAACATATAGTCAGTAGGGTCCTGCACGGTGACGTCCAACTTTCCGTCCTTGATGAAGCGCTCCGGACGAAATGCGAAGGGATCCTCGTATGTTACAGGATCGTGCAAGATGTCCCTGTCAAATTATGACCGCCGAATAGCAATCACGACAAACGAGGTGAGTAGGGTGCCAGTGAAGATATCAAACGGATTAGTGCGCACCAAACGTTCGCGATAATCGTAGTTCCCGCAGGAACGAAATTTCCGTTGACTTGATCGTCATCGAGCGTGCTATGGGGGATACCGACAGGAAAGACCACGTGCCAGCGCAGGGCTTCTTTGACGATCGCATTGATGTAAACGAGTGCGTCGGTATCGCTATGGTCGGGAAGCCGACCACGGCCGACGATTGCGTCCAACTCGGCCTGGGCTCTCTTCTGGACGTCTGGATATAAAGCCATTGCGATGCAGAATGCTTCAAGTGTGTATCCAGTCTGCTCTCGAGGTTTAGTTTCCCGAACCTGTGGACTCGGGGTCCTAAGGGACATACCGTATCCGAACTGCCTACATCAAATAGTTCGTCAGACTATGATTCGCAAAGTCTCCGGTATGCAAGGCGTACCTGCAACGGCAACTGCGCAGACATTTTTCGCGATGTCTATGTCTTCCAAAGCAAGAGATGACTGATCATCGCGTTTCCCCGTCATCCGCATCAAGAGGTCCGTGGCGACGCCTGGGCGAAGCTCACCGGAGTCCTACAATAACAACGGTCATCGCGATATACCAAGAGCCAATCGAGCGGTACTCACCAGACACTGCCGAACCTCATCGAAGAGCGAATGTTTCATCCTCTCGTTGGCGATCTTGCATTTGGCGAACATTTTTTGGAAACCGGCGCCAGGAAACCAAGAAGGAAGGTATCTGAGAAAGGGCAGGATTTCAACGGCGAAATGGCCTGGAGTGGATTGTCCAACGCCTTCAATAGCGTCCGCGGCTACAAACAGTCGTACATCGGTTTCATCCTTGATGTCCGCGCCATAGACCGTCTGCAGAATGGTCCCTTGCATAGAGCTGCGTTTGCCGATTATCCAAGTCAACGCACAGCTCATCGCCACCCCGAATGATGTCCACTCACTATCGAATGTTTTCCCTTAACGCCGTTGAAGATTCGAGAAGGCTCCCTAGGAACCTGTGCGTGCATGTGCGTTGTATGAACAGGTATCTGTGAATCGTGCCCGGATGAAAGTGCTGCCAGAATTCGCGCCGATGTCTCCGCCACCACTGGCCGTATGGTAGGAGGGCGGGGTTGTGATCCTGTCCGGAGCTAACCGTGTGCGGTCAGCAGCTACGTGCGTACTGGAAGTGGATCTGAACGACTCACAGCTCGATCACCGGGTTCGGGGGTCTGTCTGGGGTATTCTTTGAACGTCTGTTGAGAAGCTCGTTGGCGAGCTGCGCGCTCCCAACCACAAGCATGGGTGTTCCCAGGACGTGCATGTAGACCATCTCGCCTGGCGCGGAAGTCAAAATCAGCTTTGAAGAGTCCTAGCAAAATCATCCAAATGTACGTACCGTACTGCGCGCAGAGCGCGCGATACCCACGCCAAGGCTTGTTTTTGGGTATGTCGAGCATATTCCCGATGACGGGAAAAGGACGAGGTCCCGGAGGTAGAGGAAGACCTCGCGTACGGGCTCTCCAGCTCAAGACAGACCTCACGTAGAGCACGACGAGGGCAAAAAATGCAAATACAAGAGCGAGCCCGGGAGAGGACAAATACGGTTCGAATGGCATGTTGGGCGACGACCGGAGGTCCAACGGGAACTTAGACGACACCCCCGCAGCGACTTCAGTCTCTTTATTGGCCCCCTTAAAAGAAGTAAGGAATAGCGTTAGAATACGAACTGGTCATCCCGCGGACTAGCCGAAAGTTAGTCCAACAGCGTGAGTGAAGAACCAGATACGCGGCACGCTGCCGGAGAGGACCAATTGAACGTGATCGAATCCGCGTACGTCTTGGTCGCATACGTATATCGGCACTGGGCGAGTGACAGCGCGTGGCATAGCCAGACGGCATTCAACATCGACTGCGCATGCCCGGAGTACCTGAACAACTATACACAGTTAAAGCGTTCACACACATGTTGAATGCGACTACGCACCCGCGAAACTTCCCCGCATCAAGCCAGCGGCGAAGCGGCGGTCTGTGAATTGGCATCACATCAGCTGCCCGTGTCTCGAACCTTGAAGTTGCACCTTTCAGGTCCACCAGCTCCAACTCTTATGTCAAGAAAAGGAGCGCGGCACGCTGAGACCGTGATATGTACGCAAGTGTTACAGTCCTTGATAAGGGATTTTATTAGTAGGAAAGCCCAACTTGTCATCTTACGCTACTGAAGGTCTCGAAAGAAGGGACTGAACGAGGGGGGGTCGATCGTAGTTAGATGCCTACCACTCGCCTGCCATGGCCGCTCAAGTACCGGATAAGGGGGGAGACTGCTTCGATGAAACGGGGCTTGACAGTATACTGACAGTCTGAGGGTATCTGGTGACCGTCAACGCGGACGTCGGAAGAGTTACGCGCGACAAAGGTCCGCAAGAGCACTTACGTGAAGAGCCAATGCGTTTCTGCGTACCTCACCACAATTGGGACTTGTCTGTCCAGAGGATAGATGTCGAAGACGTGCAGGACAGAGGCGCGATAGTCAGATACACTGGTGACTCATCTGCGATATGCCGCCCCGGTCATGGCCTGCTCCGAGCCGATGAGCAATCAAACGTCGCAAAAACAAAATCGCGTGGACGGGGGGAATCGGGACTTGCCTTCACGCATGAAGGGCTCTGGCCTGTATTTTTCGGGATCGTTGTCGACCTCCAGGTCATGGAGTATCTCCCTAAGGTCCATATCAACATGTGATAAATGTTCATGGAATAGAAACGAGAGGACCCACGACATATGCTGGGATCATCTCTTACATGGGCCCTTAGTAGTAGTACCAGTGCTTCTAATGCACGTGCGGTCAAATTATTTGTCAAATCTCACCACGCACAGTGCGGACTCATATGAATAACGCGCGTTCCGAGTCGCTGATACTACACGTACATCAGGTTCGAATTCGCTTGGTCCTATTTTCGTTTCTGATACGAGTCCGGCGGCCCTTCTTGAAAGCTCTAAGACATCGCAAGGCGATATGCCTCTTGCATCATTGCCTCCGCCTCCGCCGAACGTGGTTTGATCACGCATCGGAAACTCTCGGGAAGACTACAAGATCTCAACTTAGCAGATGTATGCAACGTGTCTGTGGAGGGGGAAAGGCTGAATACCACACATACCTCACAAGACCATGGGTTTCCTCGTACTTCACCGATACTGGCTGCCCGTTGCGGTCGAGCGGTAAACTGATGTCGAAGACGTGCAGGATTGAGACGATGTTGATGAACAGGGAGGGGATTGCGAGATGGCGTCCGGGACAAATCCTGTCAGGAGACGTCACAACCCTGTTGCAATGAACGGGAGAAAGCTGCACATGCCGTCGACCGAATCCAAACATATAATCGGCCGGGTCCTGCACAGTGGGGTCCAGCTTTCCGTCCTTAATGAAGCGCTCTGGACGAAACACGAAGGGATCCTCGTATGTGTCGGGATCATGCAGGATGCTCCTGTCAATGGGATAATGAGATAGGTTAGCGGACCATTAGTGAACGCGTTCAGCGGGTTAATGTTCATGCTCACCAGACGTTGATGATTATCGTAGTCCCAGCAGGGATGAAATACCCATTGACCTCATCATCCCCGAGTGTGCGGTGGGGTAAGCCCACAGGCACGACTGCGTGCCTGCGCGGGGCTTCCTTGAGGACTGCGTTCACGTATACGAGGTTGTCGGTATCGCTATGGTCAGGAAGGCGACCGGAGCCGACGATTGCGTCCAGTTCGGCCTGAGCATATTCTTCTAAACGTCGGGATACAAAGCCATGGCGAGGAAGAATGCTTCGAGCGTGTAGCCGGTCTACCCAAGAAACCTGCGGTTTGTTACTCGAACATAGCAGCGTACTCTCAAGCTAGGTATGAACCTCCTATGAAGGGGGGGTGCGGGTGACCCCCCGTGGGAACGTCTGAGTTGGAACCCCTTGGTGAGAGAACGAGCGGGCTTTCAATGGATGGCTGAAGCTCCCGGCCCTCGAGAGCTCCATAGCGGACTGTGGGCGACGTATCACAATAAAAAATTGCTCTTGGGGAATGCTGTCTTCTCCAAACCACCTCATATATTTTCAGGATTTTCAGCTGCGTAGAACGGCGGGCGAGGAAAGACGTCGAGACACTTTTTGGCGCGTCGTTCCCACGGGGGTCACCCGCACCCCCCCTCATAGGGAGGGTCCAGCCTCTATTCTGAAGGAACGACTGTCTTCCGCAGAACTAGAGTGCTGGTTCACGAGCCTACTCTCAAGCGTACCGTATCCGTACTGCCTGCGTTGCGAGTTTCGTTAGACCATGATTCAGAGGGGCTCCGGAATGGAAGCATTACCCTCAACAGCGATTGCGCAGACATCCTTCGCAATTTCTATCTCTTCCAGAGCGGGGACTGACTTGACATTGTAGTCCGCCGCCATCTGTGTCAAGAGCTTTGCGGCAATGCCTGTACGATGCTCGCTGTTGAAATACGGTGACGTTGAATCTATCTAGTACACATAGCACCTGTCGTATACGTGCATATCGGACTTTCATTCGAGTACTTACTTTACTTACCTATCACTTTAAACTCCGCACCACCTCCTACGTACGGCCGTGCTACGTCTCTCTTTCCTCAGTCGTTCTTCCACCGACTGAGGTATGTTCATCCT